TTTTAATTTCTTAGTATTCTTTCTTGAATATACCTTACTATAGATAGGTTTTAATTCTTCGCATATGAAAACAAGAATTAAACCTTAAATGATAAATGGGGCTAAATGTCTTACCGTTCTGCTCCCATTGGACTAATGAACGCGGGCATAAGCCATACATTGTGCTATGGAGAAAATTTAGCCTGTACAGCGGCGCTACGATCTATCGATTTCCAACTGCCAAGATTTCTTTTACATGCACGCCATAATGTATACAGGATCTCGATTTTTCGTTGTCTCTTGCTAGATTCTCCGTCCAGCACCATCGGAAAATCCCGATGAACTTTTTTAGGTTAACCAAGGAATCAAACACGGGACCTCCGGGATAATAGAGACTTTTGGCAAGCGGATTTTTCGCATCCGTATCCCGTATCCGTATCGTATACGTGATACGTTGCGTCAATGTAGTTTTAGAGTTTTGGCAGATTTTAGCAATTTTTGGTTTCACTAGTGTATAATTTCAGAAAGTTTAGCCCGTAGATCAATCAGTTTGCAGACAGGCGGGAAAAATATGAAAATTCCGAGAAAAACCCATCAAAAATAATGATTAAAATCCAGTCGTTATCACTGTTAAAATCACATCAAATATACACCTTCGTGTTCTAGGATACACACAGATTCATAAAAACGCTATGATGCAACAATTCAGCGTCTAAAAGTAGCAAAAAAGACGGTAATAAGACGACAGTGTTATACGGACCATTTCCGTATGAAAGCCGTTCCATACGTGCTGTCGTATCCGTGTGCCGTATCACGTATGAGAAATACACAGACATTGATGACGTCACACGCAAAATCCATACGGATACGCGATACGGACCAGGAAATTACGCTTGCCAAAAGTCTCTAATGTCTCAACGTCTTACTTACTGAGCTGCCGTGGTTCCCGCTCACATAATGCAGTCTTGTGGATTAGTGAATTCTGGATTGCTTGTGTGTGTGGTTTTTTTTTTTGGGGGGGGGGGGGCTACCATCCTAGGACTTTAGGCGATGGTCCAGGGGCCGCCTAGGCCCCGGAAGCTCCTGGGGATCTAGATCGTCATAGATACGTTCTGGCTAATGAAATTACTCATCAATAAAGTGATTTTATTTTATTTTTCTAAACCCCTTACCATGCAAACACAGCCTATGGTGGTTTCCTGCGATACTAAACTTGCATAATAATACCAAGGTTGTGAACACTCTAGAGGTCACAATTTTTATACGATTTTGATGAAACCGACCATGTATGTTTATAACCGAAAGATCTCGACATTTGTAGGTTGTGGACCCTCTAGACCTCACAGTTTTTATTTGATTGTCAAAACCGTTCAACTATATCACCGTTACACCATAATGACGGCTGAGTTCAAATTTCGCGAAAATCGTACCGAAACTGCCCGACAAAATAGCCGCTACCCTTAAAGGCATGTAATACCCAGGTTGTGGGCAATCCAGAGGTTCGAATTTTCATCCAATTTTGACATATCCCAAAGATCTGGGTTCTTTTCGATATTGGCGCGTCTTAGACCGATTATGACCCCTGATTGTACGAAATATCACGTTTTTAGCATGTGGCCCCTCTTATGTGGTTATCTCAAAGCCGTTCAAATATATCACCGTTACATCATAATTATGGTTGAGTCCGAATTTCCTGAAAATCGGACCGAAACTTTCAGTCAAGTGGCCACTCCCCATTTACGCAAATAGTATAAAAGCATGTAATGCCAATGTTGTGGACCATGACCTTTTACGCCCAATGTAAAATATGAATGAAGTTTGTGGACCTTCCCGAGGCTACCATTTTTTTCTCCGACTCATGAAGTCAAAAGTTCTTGGATGAGTTCGACTTTGGTACGCATCAGACCTTACATTCTAGAGCTATAGCCCCTGCTTTTTACGCAAAATTTGAAATATGTATAAATTTTTAGGCCCTTCTGAGGGGCTACGATTGTTGTCCCATCCATGCTGATTAAACTTAACAAATAATGTTAAGGATCAAAAGATCTTGACTGAGAGGATGGGACCTATTGATTTTACCTCTTCCCCATACATTTCTTAGAAAATGTGGGCGCATTTTGCATGGCAACCCCTTGTTTTAACTGGTCATAACTGATAGCAGTGAATTATTTGATAGATAAAGGACACAAGGAAAGAGTCTGAGAAAAACTCTACCCAGTCGTTTGTTTTAATTACCTAATCTGTCATAGATGCAACGAAAGTGAGATGGGGTTGAAATAAAGATCGACTGTTCAGTTAACTAATCGTGACCCTCGCAACTAGGAGTCTCTTTACCCAGGGATCAGTATAAAGCATAACAGGGTTTTCTTATGAAAGTTTATGTTCTAGAAGTCTCACGGCTATGTTAAAATCAGACTTCGTTGTATCTAACGGTATAATTACTTTGCGGAGAAAAGAGTACTTGCGGCCTAATTACTCCCCCCCCCCTCCCACTCCGCCTGGCCTGCTATTTTATGAAATAAAAACATGTTCTCGCTCCGCAGCGATCAGTAGTTCAATTATTACTTCTTTTTGAATTGTAGCATTGAATTATCTCATATAATTATCTCACTGTGCTATATACCTTTTGGCTTCGTATTTGAGCCAATTGGGCGGTAATTCGATCCCCATAATACCTTTGACCCCGTGGTTGTACATTTCTTGTTTTCGTTTTCTTCTACTACTCGTATAATCTTCATGACAAGGACAGTTATCAAATCGTTCGGATGGGACGAAAAACCGAGGTCCCGTGTACACATATTGGCGTGCACGTAAAAGATCCCTCATAACACACTGTATGGCGTATGCCCGTCTTCATTAGCCCAGTTCGGAGCAGAACAGTAGGACGTTAAACACCATTTCATTTCATTTCTATAATCTTCATTATTCTAGGAATGTCTATGCCAAGGATACAACATAAATATACTGGGCGTTATGATTTACCCAGTCCTAGATTAGTCAGCCTTGTAGCACATCCTGGTCACAGTGTCACATCTTTCAACACTGTAATGTTGATGCAATGGGGACAATTCTTGGATCATGATTTGACAGCAGCAGCTATAGAACAACGTAAGGGTGTTTTTATTTGTTTTTAACTTAAAGATACATTATGGGAGATTTGATAACGAGTTGACAGTTCTCACTATAATAGTTAAAAGCTAGGTAATGTAAAGGCAATTTGATGAAAATTTCATTCAAATTGATCCACTATGAACCGAGAACTAAGCGGTTGAAATTTCCGCCAAGCCTGGATCATCATTACTAAAGTCGGTACGATAAACAGCATAGTCTCGATTATCCATTTAATCGTTAAATCGTGAAGGAAGGTTATGTAGTAAATCGGCTCATAATCCACTAAAGATCGCAGGCTAGCGAAGCCACCGAGAGTTGATTATGGCCTGGATAAGTTAATTAATGTTCAATTAATAATTTAGATAACATTTCAGGCTTAAAGAAAGACCTGCAATAGAAAGATTTAGCTCTTGCATAATGTATGTTTAAATAACTAGTCATGCAAACTTCCTGTTGGTCGATCACTATAAGCTATCTTGGCAACAATGACGTTAATACCATGCGACCCTAAATATACAATATTAAATGGTATACCACGAGGTTCACTATTGAGCCCTTGCTCTTATGTATATAGATTATATTTGGTTGACATAGGACTTGTCTTCAATTATTCAAATACAAAAATCAATACAAGGTCTCCAATAAATTCAATATAATTATTGTTTATTTTCATAGCACTAGAACCATCGCCATGTTGTGGTCACCTAAAAGCTAAAAAAGGACATTTGCACCCTGATATTTTTACAAAGTGAGTATACAAGCAATAAAAATTGAATGAGATGGAATTGAGCGTTCTGCTTTGCTATTCCAGGTTGTCCAGTCAGCCCCTTACTCACTGAGCGACAGCTCCCTGGCAACAAATAAACATTTATCTTTCCAATGAAGAGTTAGTTATCTGGGGCCTGTTTCACGAAATTTTAACTAAGATAAAATTGAAATTTTAGTAATTTGATTGGATAATATTAGATTGATTTTAGTGCTTAGCCAATCAAAATTGAATTATCTTCTAGAATTTGGATTTTATCTTTAGTTAAGATTTCGAGAAACAGGCCCCTGGTTGTAAAACAATAACACGAACAAATTAACGACTGGTCAAGTTTGGCAAAAAGTTTGACAAGGAATTTCAAAATTATTTAAAGGGACTATCCCGAGTCCCAAAAATAAATGTCCGAGTACGTATGAAATTTAAGCCCCAAAATATAGAGGAATGGTGTATTTACCCTGTCCCAAAATTTCAGTTCAAAATATTAAGTCGTTTGGACGTGAACGTCAAAACTGCTTATCCGGACACGTAACCCTTTTATGATTTCGGGTCAATTTTTTCGTTAGGTTACCTGATAATCGATTCCCGTCCCTTTAGAGGTCTATACAGTACATGACCCACGTGATGTACTTGATAGCGAAAGGTAAATTTCACCTACACATTATTTTTATAAAATAAAAGTCTGGTTTTATCCAGACACCGCATAATACAGCTTGGGACACCGATCTCCATTTCCAGATGAAGACTGACAGGTTTAAGTTGTTTAAAAACGTATCATATATATTGAGTTAGTTGCTCGGCCCTAAGATAGAGGATTGTAAGGGATTTTAACACAAAATTAATCAGTTTTATTCTCCAAAATATTATGGGGATTGGCCCTTTAAGTTTTCTGCCAGTGATGATCAAACTTTGTTGGTCAACTGATCACTGGCATCTTGTACTTTTTATTTTACAGGAAAGGGTTTTGCTTTCCTATATCTTATGGAAATGAATATACTGAGCCCTTTTTCAAGGAAAAATGTATGGAATTCATTCGATCTCGACCAATTTCAGACACAATAGGTAAGTTTGAGGATCTCCATCAATATCAGACAAAATGTGTTAGTTACGGAAAGTAACTTGTACACCGCAATCAATTGCAGACAAAATGGGTAAGTTGTGGTGACAGTGACTTTTACAATGGGTAAGGATATCAATTAATTTAAGACCAAATGGGTACGTGCTGACAGGGACTTATATTGAACATGATTTCCATATGGATGTTCCCAAATAGACGTCTATAGCATTATATTATTAGGCCGAGAGCTATGTAAGTCTTCATAAAAAGAAGTAGAAAACATACCAAATGATTCAATTTAACTTCTAGTTTATTGACGATGGTATATCACTAAATAACACTGCGTTAATATAACCTAGGTTCATCCTATATATACGCTAGGGCATGTGTATTTTATGACGATTGTCTGGTATAGGGAATGTTAATGTCAACCAAATAACCAATACTAAGACACCTAAACTAGAAGCTGTACATAAAATGTGTATGGTCGTCATCAGTGATTTGCCGTTAAGCGAAATAATACCGGCGTCCATCGAAGCTGTTATGCATGACAGAATTCCGCCATAGGTACGACAGTCACCAAACTCTCGTACTAAAAGACGAATTGGAAATGAAATGAAATGGGGTTTAACGTCCTACTGTTTTGCTCCTAACCTGGGCTAATGAAGACGGGAAATAGACGAATTGGGCATTCATTTTGAATTTACAGACTTTGCATTTGACCTCCACTTATGTTGTATTTGTTTTTGTGTACCTTTTGTTTTGTATATTTTTAATGTATTCATATTTTTGAAAATACGTTTATTTTTTTCCATTTCAAGATAAACAGCACCCAAGAGAACAACAAAACTTGATAACAGCATTTGTTGACTCATCTAATGTTTACGCTAGTGACAAAGATACCCAAGATTTTCTACGTGCTGAGAACGGTAAGATAGCATCAACATAGGAGACATTGTGGGCCCCACAAAAGGCCCCATCGCAGCAAAGTACCTTGTCAAATTATTTTAAAATCCATTATTCATTCTATACCAAGGTTGAATAGTAAAAATCTGATGAGAAAGTTGGTCCCACATAACATGCTCAAAATTTACGATCCAAATTTTAAAATTCTTCCTTGTGCCCCAATGGGCAATATAACTAAATTTTATTTCATTCTATATTGTGTTTACGAGATCTAAAAAAAATGATGGGAAAGGGATGGAGAAATCCACGAATTGCGATCTAAAAAAACTAGCGATATGGATTCTCCTTCGGCTCCAATGAACAGTCCTAAAGTATCTCGCCGTTTCAGGGGTGGATCCAGGAATTTGCCAGGTTCCGGAGACAATGTTTCTTTTCGGGGGGTCCTCGGCCTAAAATATCTTTGATAACTGCACGGTCTCTATCGTCATTTTGAAAAAACACAGAAACTGTGATTTTGAATAAAAACATATTAAATACATGCACCTACTATGCTGCGACTACCCCCTCCCCCTCCTTCCCGGAGCCGCCCCTGCATTTCTATTCCAGTTCATATATGTGGAGTTTGTAAGACCACGTTGAGTAAGGAAGATGCCCATTCGAATTCATGTTTTCCATCAGATATTGCTCCATTATATACGATTTTCCGGCGTGGTTTCCCCTTGTCAGTGGTGCAGGACGGGGGGCCTGACAAGAACAGCTGTCTAGTCGTTCGGATGGGACGAAAAACCGAGGTCCCGTGTACAAATTGGCGTCCACGTAAAAGATCCCTTGGCAGTTGGAATTCGATATAAAAGTAGGCCGTAGCGCCGCTGCCCGGGCAAAATTTCCCTCATAGCACACTGTATGGCGTATGCCCATCTTCATTAGCCCAGTTTAGGAGCAAAACAGTAGGACGTTAAACCCCATTTCATTTCATTTCATTTCCATAATATATGATTATAGCCCGTATTAGATATACGACCCTAATTTAAGCCACATCTTACACCAATATTCTCTTTGTTAAATCTAGGACGATTAAAAATATCTGCTGGTAATTTATTAATGCGTGGACGTGACGAGGATTGTATCAGAACCAATGCACCCCACTGTTTTGCTGCCGGTAAGTATCTGATATTGTCTGTAGAGAGTAGTAGAGAGCTATATATACTACTGTATATAAAATGCGACTTCATCGAAGATATGCGTAGTTTTGCGACCAACACACTATCATTGGTAATTAGTAGCCTATCATAACATATGGCAAAATATGAAATGAAGGGAAATTGGCTTCCTGGGACCGGTTGCTCAAAACTAAGTTATTTTAACAATCCATTAAACTTAACGGATCGTTATCTTGCTAACGTGTCATTTGTTAACGGTCCATTAAATTTCTGTTGCTGGAAAGTCAGTTTTATTATCCGTTAGCTAACGGACTGATTAAGATTAATGTAAGAGAAGAGTGTTCATTGGGCTGAATTTTAAATTTTTAAATTCAATGTACATGTATAACAACTTCTATGAAGTTAGTATTAACAAGAAACTGAAGACAGTGGAACAACTGTGCAGTCTGTTCACAAAACTTGATTAAAGACAAAAAGATAACTATAGAATTTATTACAGAAACCACTATAAAAAAAACTACAGAATGCTTTATATTTTTTCCTTTAGAAATTTTAGCATAAATCTGTAGGAAAAATTATGGGATTTGCACTACAAAGATATTTGGGGCCTTTTATTTCCTCAGACCCCCAAAATTCTGTAGAATACTGTATAGAATTTCATCCTATAGAAAATGGAATAGCCATCTGTCGCCTCTGTTAGCCAGGGTGAATCTTTGATTATGATGCTATGTGAAGAATCAGGAAGTCCAGGAATCAATCCCGCTGTTGGCCGAGGAAGTTCTACGGGATCTTCCAGCTTGGTTTCCTTCTTGTCGATGGTGCAGGACTGTGGGGCCTGGCCAGGAAAAATATCGTTCCAGACTGGATTCCACCTTGTCGGTGGTGTAGGACGAAGGGACTGGGAAGGCAAAACGCGTCTAGGCGTTCGGATGGTTCCAAAAACTAGGGTCACATGTAAAACACAGCTGGGCACGTAAAAGAAATGATGCCCGGTCAACATTTCCCTCATGGCACACTGTATGCGTATGCCCGTCTACATTAGCCAAGTCGGAGCAGAATAGTAAGACGTTAAATCCCATTTCATTTAATTGACTATTATGATATATTACAGGAGATGACAGAGTTCACGTGTTTCCTGGTTTAACTGCCTTACATACTCTGTTTGTTAGATTTCATAATCATATTGCCGATAGACTGGATGCAAACAATGACTGGGATGCAGAAACATTATTTCAAGAAACTAGAAAAATAGTCATCGCTATAATGCAGGTAAGAGATTGCACATCTCAGACATGCAGTTCCATTGAATGAGACGGGTTTCATCCTACAGATAAAATTTGACGATATGTTATTCCCGAAATGACATAATTTGTGTCGAGTGCTCGTTAAACCCCATTTCTATCTTTTTATTTCCATTGTTTCCTTTATTTTAACATCTTTCTTTTGGGCACCAATTACATGGACTAATCAGAAAGTTCCATTCAACAGCTTACAATGCCAATAAATGTTTCCTAATTCAAAGGAGGGGGGGGGGGCGAATGGTTAACGCGTGCGCATTGGATCAGGTCTGTCAAGTGGCGTGGTTTCGATTCCCCGCTTGTTCGTGACAAGGAGTAGGGTCGCCTTACAACCTCATGGGTTTTCTCGGGCCACCCGGTTTCCTCCTGCTGCTAAAGACCCCTACGCGCAACGTAGGGGACGTTAAATTGTCAGCCAATTGATGCGCAATTGTCCAAGTATTTGAATTGGCGAATCTTAGGCTACTGTGGACTTGTTCCTGTGGTCCCAAAATGTATATATCAACGGCTACAACTAAACATCTACGTCTCCTGTATGTTTTAACCTGCTAGCTAGAAATTTTATTTTATATTTTTATGCATTTTAACATTTAAATCCGGTTGTCCCTTTAAATTCAGGCCCAACTGCTACCTACATTTCAGCTCGAAATCATTACCTATGACCTATTTCCAACGAGGGTGTTACAAATGCATATAAATACATTTATTTCCTTTTTGTCTTTTTCAGAAAATAACGTATGAAGAATTTTTGCCCGAAATTTTGGACAAGCGTATTCGAAATTATTTTCGTTTAAACCGAGGCTATTATCGTTACAACAAAAACATCAATCCCAGTATTTATAATGCTTTCGCTACGGCTGCCTTCCGATTTGGACATTCTCTCATCCCGGATTTTCTCGTCATTAATAAGAAAGAGGTTAAAACGCGAGACCTGTTCAACAACCCCGAATTTATGTTTAACAGCATGAAATCCGTGGTCAAAGGGATTTTGAGTAATCCGACCGAATTAAGAGACAGATTTGTTACCAAAGAGGCCACGGATCATCTTTTTCAAAACAACGACATTTCTTTTGATCTGGTGGCTTTGAATATTCAACGAGGTCGGGATCACGGTTTACCGCCTTATAACGATTTTAGAGAACGCTGTGGATTACCGAGAGTGAAATCTTTTTACTCTAAGGAACTGGGAAGAAATCGTAGGGGTCTCAGATGGTTGTATCAGTAAGTGTTTCTTAAAGGCCCTTTGCGCCATTTTTCTTTTCGCTAAAATTTCAAATTACTTATGGCTTAATACACGCTAAATATGTATCGGATTGATTAGTCAAGATTTTATTAAGAAAACAAAATCAAAATACCAACGCTAGATAAACCCCCCGGGGCTCGAATTCAATCGGATTTAAGCTAGGCCCATCAGGTTTCTCCGCTACAAATATAAAATGCTGGCGTCTTGTTACGGCCTACTCTTATATCGAATTCCAACTGCCAAGGGATCTTTTACGTGCACGCCAATGTGTACACGGGACCTCGGTTTTTCGTCCCATCCGAACGACTAGACAGCTGTCCTTGTCAGGCCCTCCGTCCTGCATCACAGACAGGGGTAAACCACGCCGGAAAATCAGGATGAACTTTCTCGGCCAATGCAGGGATCGAACACCCGAACTCCAGGCTAGCGAGCCAGCCTCTTACCCACTTAGCCACGCGACCCCCCCCCCCATTTTGAAACTACATGATGCATCTTGTTATTTAGTTGAGAAAATAAAATTGTCGTTTTCATTATCCTTTAATACTTTGCTCCCAATCTGATTAAAACAAGATTCTATTTCGTTTCGTTTTTTATAGTTCAAAATTTTGTTTTACTCGCCTTTACTACACTAGGATCTGGAAGAGTTGTTATCGTTGACGTGTTCTGGATGATGTGAGGGTTTAGGCAATGAAACGGTCTGTTATAGCACAATTTTAGCACGTGGTGCACGGAACTATGGGTAATCCACTAGAAACATCAATGCTGGTTGACGTCATATGGTCAAAAGTGTTCTCAGGGGTACTGTAAAATTGATAGACAATGTATATCTATTGTTCTAATGGTCGACAATTTTTTCACAGAGGGGGCTACGGGCCTGTTGTCACACAGGAATAGGGCTTGCAGCATAAGGAACTTTGGGTGCGAGTAACAGACGACGTTGATTCTGTGGCCATTTTGGAATGCCATGCGCTGTTTTTTAAACATGAAAATTCGGTGTTAACTACGTATTTTGTGTGTTTTGTTGATGTATAGACCAATTTGTGTAAAAATGCAGTGTTTTTATTCCATATTTCAGCGATATAGATGACGTAGACTTATTTACTGGGGGGCTGTCAGAGCCCAATTTACCAGGTGCTAGTCTAGGACCGACATTTTCTTGTCTCGTTGGTTTGCAGTTTCATGATCTCAAATATGGTGACAGCTTTTGGTTCGAAACAGATGACCCAAGTAGAGGATTTACGGAAGGTATGTTGACGTACAAGTTCGATTAGTATCAACTGAACGCCACCTCACTTGGCTGCGATTCAGGCCGAATATATCCCAGTCGATTACTTAAATAAACAGGCAAGAACTAAATATACTTATTGCAGGTCTTTCTTTTTGCCTTAAATGTTATATAAACTATCAATTACACATAAATTAACGTATCCAGACCATAATCAACTCTCGATGTCATCGTATAGTCTAGATTCTCGATAAATTTAAATACGTTTTGCGGTTGATACGGTTACCGTAAAATGGATAATCGAGACTTTGCCTATTATCGTAACAACGGTAGCAATGAAAATCGAGGATACACTGTTCTTGCAACGGCGAAAACTCGGCTCTGAGTGAAGTAATTTGACTGAAAGTTTTAACATATTCCCTTTTAATTATCTATTGTTCAACTAGTATAGCGAGAACTGTTAGATCTTTATCTAATCTCCCATAATGTATCTTTAACGCCTCTTGAGCTGACAATAAAAATGTGTCCATTCATTCGGATAATACGATGTGCAAGAACAATGCTGAATAAGTAGTATTCAATTCCTGCCCTCGATTGCTCAAACATTTAAAATCAGTTACCTTCTATTATATTAATAATTATCATATGACTGTGTGGACAAGAATTCGTTTGAGGTGATTGATTGCATATCGTATCACCACTTTCATTTCAGAACAACTCTACGCTATTCAGCAGACATCCTTTTCACAGATATTGTGTGAGCAGTTCCACATAGGATATATACAACCTAACCCATTTAGAGTTGTGACATCGAGGTGGGTAAACACTTATCTCGTATCCCATTGAGTGTCAGAATCCGACGATGCTGGCCTCCAAATACAAATGTGATATGGTGATAATCGCTTTTCGGTGCCAGGCACTCAACCCAAGACAGCTGAGTAATGAGATACCAGCCCGGAAATCCTGGGGCACTTTCAGTCAACACCGGAATCCTCCCCGGGATCTCCTAATTAGTGCTGGAATCAATTTAAAACTTGATATCCTACGGTGGCCCATTGCTGCCATTCGTTAATGTATACCCTTTTCTAGTAATTAACCTCATATAAGAAAGATTTACTCTGCAATACAATGAACGAGTGTTTCGCAATAAAAACTATGGTAAATCAAAAAACTCTGAAAAACTTTTTCTCCGCAGTGGAAATCTTTCCTCCGCGGTGGAAACATTTTTTCCGCAGTGAAAATCGTTTCTCCGCGGTGGAAACATTTTCTACATATACATGTTTCCACCGCGGAGAAAATGTTTATAGCGCGAAGAAAACGTTTTTGGATGCAAAACATTTGATCATCATAATGCAGACTGTACCCAACAATAAATACCTTGAAACTTTTAACAATAGAAAACCGCCATGCCTACAAGTGATGTAACTTTATTTCCAAAATTTTATCTAAGCAATGTCCTGTTTATCTGTTCAATCTTGTGTCTTTCTATGAAACTCCCTACACCAACATTAATAACAAACTAATCACTCTGCGACCAAAGCTTAATATTGTAAAAAAAACAGCATCCGTTTTAAAGGCTCAAATCTATGGAATTCTTTACCATCTTACTTAAAACTGACCACTAACTTAAATTCTTTCAAGAAACAACTTTTTAAATATTTTACTATCAAAGAATAATACTGGTACCCTCTACATGTATGTCCATATATAAAAATGTATTTTTCCTTGTTTCACATTTTTATGCCTTTTGCTATTGTTAGTTATATGTTTTTGTTTTTTTATGTGTTATTATATCTGTCTCCTTTGGTGCTGTCATCTTTTGTATTATAATTTCAAACTGATTATTTTATACTCCTATTCATTCCTCTCTTTTATTTGTTATGCTATCATCTATTGTATTATATTTTTCATGAAGGGCAGGATGGTAGAAAGACTTCCACAGCCTAATCCTTACCCTTCTTAAATAAAGATATTATTATTATTATGTAATATCCAACCGGGACCTCCTAATTAGTGAGCTAGGGCCTTACTGGCAGAGCCATACTATGGTTTCCTAAAGGCAAGTTGACCCTCCCCTATGTAATAATACTATGGGATCGATAGTATAGTACTTTTTTTTTAGAATGCACGTCTTCTTTAGCACGGTTGCTGTCGAAAAGTAGGATGTTAAATCCCATTTCAATTGTTTCAGAATATGATTTTTTTCATTTTATTTCAGTAATCGACGAGTCCGTTGTAGCAGTTTAAAAAGGTTAGATCTACATGGATGGTATCAGCACTAGATGCATAAAACTAAGGATTGGATTCTGACCAAAATAACAACACCACTGCTCATACACAGTTACATATTTCTGAAGCAATGGCAACGAGCATTATCATTATTATAACATCCTCACAAGTATCTATAAGGCTTCATTTTTGGACTCAGTCCCTATGTAAATCAAATTACTCTTTTTTGTCTAGATCTAATAACCGGCGTCTACCGATTTAACATTATGTGCGTTTCAAAATATAGTTATCAGCCAGTTCATCGTGCAGACATCTGGGATGGACTCAGGGGCGGATTGGGGCCGGGAACCGGCCCGGGCTCCCGTGTCGGAGCGGTCCCTTTTACTGAACGCGGAGCCCGGACGGGGTGTCCGTGGCGCTCTCCCCCGGGAAAATTTTGAAAAATGAACCCCAAATATGCGATTTGGTGGCATATCTGATTATAATCTCTGTCAAATAATATAACGAGTTAATAAAAATGTCAAGGAATGTTTAACACCAGCGCCAGGAAATCGTCTCGCACTCATATTCAGCCAGCAGACCAGCTATCATCAAATTTTGCTGAGTTACAAACCATCGGCACACGTTTCTGGCGTATCCCCACAAACAAGGTGCAGATGACTTAATAATAAGTAAATTTGCGGGCGACAGTGTCGGGTGAATCCGATGAAATTTTCGGATGAAATTCGGAATCCCCATTGCAGGATTCCAAATTCCCGCCCACATCCAGCACACCCGGCCCAGAAAGTCTATTATACCAACCCATTCCAGACTCCAGTGATGGCGTGGCGGCCCGTAATCATCGCTACATGGCCGGTCCAATACATGCCCGCCCCCCTACCCTTATATAATGTTTAGCAGAAAAGGTTTTTTTTTTAAACGAATTGGACAAAATTAATTTTTTTCATTTTTTCTCCGACCAGCCCTTCGGGCCCGATCGCCCAATCCGCCCCTGAATGGACTTCAAGGCACATTCAGGAAAATAGAAACTTCGCGGGTTTTAAGACAACATTGAAAGCTCATCGCTTTAGAAACATCTATGATAGAACACAAATAACTTAGAAATGACATTTGGACAAAATGCAGTCCTACACAAGACCACGTAGTTCATTAGCCATAACTACACTTGTTTTGATTGGTCTACTAGGTTCGCTTGAGGACTAATCAAAATAGTATATTATACAAAGTAGTAATTCAGCTCTTCAATTTTGAACCCTTGATGTGTAAATGATTTAATTAAATCAACCTGTCCATAATATCATATTTATTGTATTGGACGTTAAATCTGTAATAAACAACAACAGCTTTTACTGACTATTAAAATTAAAGATGTAAACGATAACGCTCATAACCATTGATTCAGAAAATATGACCCAATAATTATAGACCCGTGGGCTAAATATTCAAATAAATGTCATGATGGTCGATATGCATAATACGGTAACCTGTCCACAAATAAGGAAGGTTGCTTAGATTCCATGCAACTAAATTCTTGGCTCAATAAATTGAATCGGCAAAAAAAAAAGTTTTTCCCATACAAAATATTTGTAATCATGTGTCGATAATGACAGCATTTAGAAAAATGTGCTTGCAGCTTAAAGTCGGTGAATGTCATTTGCATTACTCGAACAATTTCTATTTACTCACAACTTAATCTACTATCAATTCTTGTTGTGTATAAATCACCTATTACTTTTTAGTGTTATAATTAAAAAACAATCCGCAAAAAATAATTCGAATAATTTTTTCTTTCTGGTGTTTTCTATTGTTTTTCCTTTTAAAATGATATCAAGCATTTGCTTGAGTTGTAAGAGAAACGAGTATCAAATAGATTTCACAATGTGGGCTCTTCTGTATATACGTGCCTGACAAGGACAAGGACAGCTGTCTAGTCCTTCAGATGGGACGAAAAACCGAGGTTCCTTGTACACATTGACGTGCACGTAAAAGATCTCTTGGCAGTTGGAATTCGATACAAGAGTAGGCCGTAGTGCCGCTGCCCGGGCAAAATTTCCCTCATAGCACACTGTATGGCGTATGCTCGTCTTCATTAGCCCAGTTTAGGAGCAGAACAGTAGGACGTTAAACCCCATTTCATTTCATCTAAAAATGTATGCGATCAACGATTCCCCTGTGTGGATGTCTAGTCACGCCCACCCTGGTCTGATAACCCATATTATAGCGAGAGGTTACTGGCCATAAGTAGCAGGGATGTGGACATACCGGGAAAGCCTGCAGTAGAATGAACATACGAGAGCCTACCATCGATCTCCCCCATAGCATCCTCGAATTTAAAATATGCTCTAAGCTTGGCAAGGTCAATTTATTGAGGAAATTTTATGAATCTGTCCGAAATGTCAAACAAAAAGTCAGCAACTTCATGTGTAAATAAATAACAAGTACTCCTTGCAATCCAAAATGCATGGGTTGGATGACTAATAACCACAAAAAAAAAGGTAATTGACGAAAACTTCTAACCGCCTTTGGGAAGTTATATAAGTAATTGAGATCTATATTGAATGTCTGTTATTATCTGGGGGGTTGGATGGCTGAATGGTTAGCATGCCCGCGATGTATCATAAAGTCTGTCATTGAGTCGACTGGCGTGGTTTCGAATCCCCGGTTGTACGTGACAAGGAGTAGGGTTGCCTGTCCAACCTCGTGGGTGTTCTCAGGGTCCTCTGGTTTCCTCCCACTGTTAAAGACCCCTACGCGCAAGCGAATTATTGAAATAAAATTAAACCATATGTTAGTCCCGAAATGATCTAGTTTGTGTCGAGTGGACGTTAAACCCCATTTCTCTCTCTGTGTTGTTATCTATTAAATCATTATTCAATCGAATGTTCATTTCTGGAATTTAAAATAAAATACCTATTTGTTTGCTGTTTCACACCAGTGTTGTAATAAATGACTTAAACTGAGATTTTTTTTTAACCCCGAGGGTAGTTAGAGTTATTTTTAACAAGATAATAACTTTTATCAAGCTGTTATTATCTAACAATTTTGCTGTTTGTTGTTTCACACCAGTGTTGTAATAAATGACTTAAACTGAGATTTTTTTTTTAACCCCGAGGGTAGTTAGAGTTATTTTTAACAAGATAATAACTTTGATCAAGCTGTTATTATCTAACAAGTTTGATGTATAAGAAATAATATTGCCCAAAGCTCCTGGCCAAATATTTTTTCATGTAAACTTGTTTTGTTAAATCGGGAAATTGGTATTGAAAATATAGACAAACTGAGGGACTCCGGTATAAGTTAGTGCTTGGGTAACACAGATATAACACTAGTGTTCATGTTGTATAAACATATCCATGTTTAAAACAACTTCAACACCACAGACCTTAACTCGGAAGGGGGGTGGATGGCTGACTGGTTAGCATGTGCGTGCTGTATCTTAAGGCCTGTCATTGAGTCAACTGGCGTGGTTTCGAATCCCCGGTTGTACGTGACAAGGAGTAGGGTCGCCTGTCCAACCTCGTGGGTTTTCTCCAGGTCCTCCGGTTTCCTCCCACTGCCAAAGACCCCTACGCTCAAGCGATTTATTGAAATAAAATTGAATCATATGTTAGTCCCGAAAAGACCTAGTTTGTGTCGAGTGGACGTTAAACCCCATTTCTCTCAACTCGGATTGATTTCAAATAGAGCGTGGGTCTGAGGTTGAATTAGGACAACGTTACACCACCATCAACTTAACCCAGGGCTTGAATTGACCCAGTGTATAGTGAACTGATCGTATCATTACATAGAACTTAACCTAAGGGAGAAATAAGATCTATGAGTTATTGAACTACAGGTTAGATTGTTTAAACTTGAGTTCATCTTAACCGTATAGCCTTTTATAACATATGACATAAAATAAACTTGGGTTTAATGTATCGCCCTCCTGTACCTACCACCCATCCTCATTGGTCAAGTAGGAGCAGAACAGTCCACTGACGCTAACTAGGTCATTTCGGGACTAACACATGGTTCAATGTTATTTCAATAATTCGCTTGCGCGTAGGGGTCTTTAGCAGTGGGAGGAAACGGGAGGACCCGGAGAAAACCCACGAGATTGGATAGGCGACCCTACTCCTTGTCACGTACAACCGGGGAATCGAAACTCTGCCAGTTGACTCAATGACCGTATGATACAACGTGCACATGCAAACCATTCGGCCACCCAACCCCCCAGGATGGTAGAAGGGTACATGGCACATAACACAGTGTTATATACAACCCCCCTCCACCCCATGTGTAATGGAAATGTGTTGTGATTTTTGTTGGGGGTGTCAAACTCTAGGGCCACCCCGATTGGCTCGAACTCTAGTTATGCCAGTGCCCACTCATCAGTATCAGAAAGTATGACAAAATGAAAATCCAAGTTATTAAAATTAACAAATATTTATTATATTATTTTTATTATTCATAAATAGCCATTTTTTATTAAAAAAATATAAACAAGTTAAAAATATCACTTATAAATCTGGAGTATTGGCATAATCTTCTGTATCAGCTAAACTTTCTGATGGATTACTCTTTCGACGGCGCCAGCGCTGGCATCTTGGACATGGTATTTTCTCAGACATGCAAGATTTATGAAAGACTGCATTACAAATTGAGCACTGAAATTAAGAACATAAAATAAATTTAATGTTGTCTAAGAAGCAGCATGAGCCTTTTCTATTTAATAAAATAATAAAATGAAATGAGATTTAATGTTCTAATGAACATTAGGGGAAATTTGCCAAGGCAGCTGTACAGCATACACTTATTTCAATAACCAAGTGTTGGGGGATTTCTAAGGCACCGTCAATGGTATACACACAAGACCTCATTTTTTTTTTGTTCTATCCGGGGATCACATGGCTAAGTGGGTAAGACGCTAGCTCGCTAGCCTGGAGGTCGGGTGTTCGATCCCTGCATTGGCCGAGAAAGTTCATCCAGATTTTCCGGCGTGGTTCTCCCTTGTCAGTGATGCAGGACGGAGGGGCTGACAAGGAAAGCTGTCTAGTCGTTCGGATGGGACGAAAAACAGAGGTCCCGTGTACACATTGGCGTGCACGTAAAAGATCCCTTGGCAGTTGGAATTCGATATAAGAGTAGGCCGTAGTGCCGCTGTTCGGGCAAAATTTCCCTCATAGCACACTGTATGGCGTATGCCCGTCTTCATTAGCCCAGGTTAGGAGCAGAACAGTAGGACGTTAAACTCCATTTCATTTCATTTCATTTTTGTTCTATCCAAACGACTATGCACCATTGTTTCTTGCCAGACATTTAATTCTTCACCACTGACAAGAGGTAACCCACCTGGAAAATCCTGAGGAACTTTCTCAGACAAAACCCGGATCGGGCAACACTGGCTCCCATTTTCAACAGCACTCTTAATTTAGAGAGCTATGGGGCTTAAGGGTGGCTCAGTACAAACTAGGTCATATCATGAATAACAAATTGTACATCTTTATTTCAATAAATCAATTGTGTTAGGGGCCTTTAGCACATTGATCAGCAGTGAATATTCGCTAGGCTGCTACAATCACTGACAGGGATGACATCAGTGCAGGTTAATTAGCTCACAATATTAACATCTGCAAATTAAATTCTTAAACATTTTTTTTTAAAGTATTAGAAAAATAAATAAAGGTGTTTGAAGTATATCTGGATAATAAAATATTTCCTATTTAGTGTAAGTAGGTATATGAAATGAGTAAAAAGCACCATTCTGCCCGGATCAGTTTACGCTACGGTGTCTTATGCAAACAATGCATGCCCTGTCAAGCCAATGACCAACACTGTGTGATGTAGAAGGTATTTGAACTTATAAAAGTCAGTCATCTTACACAGAGCTAGAAGAAGCCTTTCGCAATATCTCTGTGGAACAGTTGGGTCTTTAGCAGTTGGAGCCAAGGAAAAAACTCAGAGAAAACCCACATGATTAGGCAGACAACCCTACTCATTGTCAGATACCGGTCTGGGATCAAAACCAAGCCACTTGGCCACTAACACTGTCCCTCCCCCATTCATAGTGAAACTTACCCTGTGCGTTGTAATCGTTTCAAAAGGATAAATAACCTTTTTACTGCTACATATTTCACATATAAAACCTTTCTGGCTACATAATAAACAGTCATACACATGCTTGGAAGCAAACTTATTGATTTCTTTCAAACTTTTAGCTAACTGGCCAGAATACACATGAAAAAAATCCTGTAAAAATATAAAAACACAAATATTGTGTGGGTTCTATTTACAATGATTATACATACAAGAACAATTATTTAAAAAAAAAATAAAAAAAACCTAATCTAAGGCCCTACAAAAAAATGTTCTGTTCCTCAGACAATCCTTGCTAAAAATCAGATTTGTTTTTTTTTGACTTTACGACTGGGCTAAACGACTTCTCAAAAACATCACATTGCCGGGAAACATTACATTAATCTCATGTTTTTTTATAAAAATGTATGATTATCCAGTATCATTTATGATTGACAATAACATTTATCAGAATTGTATACTTGATAACAGAATCTACAGTGTACATAACTTCTTGTTAAATGCAGTAAATAACCAGCCTGTTTTTATGTGTTGAAATAAACAGGCCATGTGACTCCTTTTAAGTGACCCCCAAGTAGCTGAGAAACAGAATATTTTTTCTTATAAGGCATTATCAATTAAAGGCTAATCTTTCCAATTTAAGAACAAAAAAACAAAATGAAAACAACACTAATGTTATAACATGTACTTCAGATAACAAACTAGATGTTTAAATAAAAACAAACCCCATGTTAGATACCATCTTGGCCTTGATGTTCATAGAAAAAAACATGTTTATACCTCGATAGATCTACACAGGCGGACCTCTGTTTTTCGTCCAATCGGAACGAATAGGCAACAAGTGGGAACTGGGTTGGAAAATCCTGAGATTCTTCTTGGCCCAAGCCAGGATTCAAACGAATGGAGAATCACAGTGGCTCCGTGAGGAGGACGCAGGCTCGCTAACCCAGAGGTCCTGTATTCGATCCCTGCATTGGCCGAGAAAGTTCATCAGGGTTTTCCGGCGTGGTTCCCCCTTGTCAGTGGTGTAGGATGGAAGGCCTGGCTAGGGTCAACCTATAGTCGTTCGGATGGGACAAAAAAAAAAGAGGTCCAGTGTACATATTAGCGTGCACGTAAAAGAACCTTGACAGTTGGATTTCGAAATAAGAGCAGGCCGGAGTGCCGCAGTCCAGGCAAAATTTCACTCATCGTACACTGCATGGCGTATGCCCGTCTTCATTAGCCGAGTCGGAGCAGAACAATAGGACGTCAATCCCCATTTCATTTTTCCTTCTGAATATCTTACCCCTAATGAATAAACATGAATGTTGTCATAAAGGAATTCTCTAGGCCACACTCTACGTCGTAATTCTTCAGCTACAGACTGTTTACATGTAAATAAATAGGTCTTCAGATAAAACAGCTGGATTCTCAATAACTACAAATATAATACAAAACTTATATCAAACAAAATAAACAAAAACATTCACCATGACTTATATACAGGGCTGGTGCCACAATTAGACCGTCAACTAGGATGCAAACCTTTGAGATGTGAAGTATTGGAGAAAAATAATCAATGACTGGGGTGTTACTTATTCTTGCAATTCAGATTTAAAACAAGTGTAATACTTTTAGTAGAATTTTTGCTCGAGAAATAACATATTCGCATAATATGTGATATGTACTTAAAATACTTAAATCAACTTAGGGTTTGAATGACATATTGTGATATAAAAACACTTGTAGAGCCATAACATAACTGGTTCTATGTCAACAACATGTTAACAGATATCTCATGAGAATATTCTTCAGTAAAATTCCATTCCACCATATAAGGGTGGGTTGTCGACATCATTGGGCTCAATTAACCAATCTCTATAATCATTTACATCATATTTGACCAATTGGATAATTGAATGTCCAAAACCAGTAGATACAAAATTAGGATACTGGTGAGAATTCGCCAGACTTCTATTAGGTTCCAGAGGGCTTACATCTGAGTTCCTAGACAGCCGCGAGGCTGGCTAGGGTAGAGAAATGGTTTTAGCTAGTATTGTTATCGATTATGCTTGTATACCTGTATTCAGCTATATATATATATAAAATATGTAGAAGCAAACTGTCGCATTGTTATTCCTGGTAAAACAGACGTCTTAAGAAACTGTAAGAAGTAAATACACAACGTGAAGCAGAAGTAAAGACAGCTAGAGACAAATTCTAGACGATCACAAGGCTACAGAAATATGTAGTAAGAAAAGGTGCATGGGCCGTACGTAAGATGTGGCGACCGGTTTTAGTACTGTGTCCGCTCTCCACGTCAGACAAAGGACCTATGGTGCTACATATTCTATTTGGTGCCGTAACGGAGTTTCGACCTTCCGGGTAAGAAGTCACTTTAGAAGACGAATACATATTTGAAGACGTTAAGAAGAAAACCTGTACAATCCAGCAACAGAAAAAGTCTGGTGGAAAAAAAATCTAGTAAAGATATTCAAAAAATTGGGTAAATACATTTTGTTTGGTAAATTAAATGTGTTAAATTTGTTTAAAGACCAAATAATATTAATTTAAAGTTAAAATCTTATTAGAATCTAAATATTTAAAATTTAACTGTATAGAGAATAAATTAGTCATTCATAAGTTTTGATTGATAGGTTTATTAAACAATATAATATCACTGGTTAGGTATGTATATTATCAGGTTAACATGACCTGTAGTAAATTTGAGTAATAAAATTAAAGTTAAAGAGAAAGTTTAGGGAGTAGGTTTTAAAAAAAAAATGTTTTGATATAACTAAGGAATAATAAGGAAACGGAATAGGGAATAAAGTAAGGAACTAATGTTGTCTCTGGATCGCAGTGAGAACGACGGCAGAGCTAAGGATGAAGTTTTTGAGTGATTAACTCTAGTTTCCTAGTTGGCCGTGGATTCTACTGTGATTCGTTAATTTGTGTTTTTTGTTGTTTCGTATACTATATAATTTTAAGGCCCTTAGTCCAGGCCTTAGAGTTGTTGTAATTTAACTTTTGATTAAAAAGTTAGGTTATGTTGAAAATCCCATATGGTTCATCTAGGGATGTTGGTTATAGTTTTCCTGGGAAAAACTAAAATTATTGGCACGTTAAATTGTGAGATTATCGCAAAGTCATTAATACGAGTTTAATAGGAGGTTAAAGTTAAGAATGCGACACTTTTTTTTAGAAAAGTGTAGGTATACGGTAGATTTTGTCCATATATAATTTTATGTAATTAAATTTTTGCTTTAGAAACGTAATATTAACGTTTAATATATACTGCTAATTGCTTTAAGCTGTCGACACAAGAGGATAGGAATGTGTAATTTGACATGAGGTCGAATTATAATAAACAGTAGGTTCTAACACTGTTAAATTTTACGTGATGCGTTAATATATAGGATATAATAAACTGTATGTGTATAGACTAATGTTCCTGTGGATGAAAGTGCACTCATTCACTTGGGACATGGTTATAAATTAAATGAAAATGGGGTTTTGCATCAAACTGTAGGATGGAATGGAGTGTCATTCATATACTGATCATATTTGATTGACAGTTCTATTCTAAATAACCTGTTAGGTAATACTAATGTGGAATAAGTAACCATGGGCTTGTTTCATGTGTTGGTGTATTTGTTTTAATTCACATACAAAATGGTAGATTTATATGATTAGTTCAAAAAGGTCACAATACTGACGGTGAAATATAAAATAACAATGTAGGAATTCTAAAACAGAAACGGAAATTATAAAACATAAACGTAATTATAAAATTGTCCATTACTGATCGAGTTAGGTCAAGAGGTCAAAGTTAGTTTCAAGATTTATAATTAAAGGGACACATCAAAGTTTATTAATACTTAAATAAAGTTAATTTTAATTAAGAGTAAGATTTACAAATAATTTTTCGAAATAATAATGTTAGATTAATATGAAAATAAAGTTTTAAAAATAAAGATTTAGGAATAGTTAGTTCTTGGTCTGATGGCAATGACATGTTTGATTGACGGATAAAATTGTACAAACCAATCATACTTAGAAGAAAAAAAAAAGAAAGTTTCAACTTGACACTATGGTAGCTGAAACAGACCAATACAAATCCAAGAAGAAGAAATGGTTTACCAGTTTACCAAATTGACATTTCCTGAGACAGAATTTAAAGTGAAACCTGAACTTTATAAATATTATGTGATGTGTTATAGTGTTTTGAAATTAGGACACTTGAAGATTTAAAAAAGACAATTTGTGTTTTCTGTGTTTAGGCTTAGTGGATATTCATAGGATTTTACAGTGATGAACTTTTTGGAGAACTTTTGCATGCAACTTTTGATTTTTGATTATGTGTGTTTGTGTTTTCACAGTTTTGTTATATAGTATAGTATCATTGATATTTGCCTGTTGCATGAATAATTATAGGGTTTAGCACATAGATGTTTTAAGAGTCTCTTACCTGTTCATTTAGCATAAATCTTGCAAGTGGGGGAGGTGATATATGTTGATTTTCTAGATTTCTGCTACATTTATGAATAGTTATATAATTCTACAGATGTTGGTATGGTTATTATAAAGGATTCGAGGGATCTTTTACCCAATACCGAGCAAAAAGTCTTAAAGAAAGGGACGAATGTAATACTTTTAGTAGAATTTTTGCTCGAGAAATAACATATTCGCATAATATGTGATATGTACTTAAAATACTTAAATCAACTTAGGGTTTGAATGACATATTGTGATATAAAAACACTTGTAGAGCCATAACATAACTGGTTCTATGTCAGCAACATGTTAACAGATATCTCATGAGAATATTCTTCAGTAAAATTCCATTCCACCATATAAGGGTGGGTTGTCGACGTCATTGGGCTCAATTAACCAATCTCTATAATTATTTACATCATATTTGACCAATTGGATAATTGAATGTCCAAAACCAGTAGATACAAAATTAGGATACCGGTGAGAATTCGCCAGACTTCTATTAGGTTCCAGAGGGCTTACATCTGAGATCCTAGACAGCCGCGAGGCTGGCTAGGGTAGAGAAATGGTTTTAGCTAGTATTGTTATCGATTATGCTTGTATACCTGTATTCAGCTATATATATATAAAATATGTAGAAGCAAACTGTCGCATTGTTATTCCTGGTAAAACAGACGTCTTAAGAAACTGTAAGAAGTAAATACACAACGTAAAGCAGAACTAAAGACAGCTAGAGACAAATTCTAGACGATCACAAGGCTACAGAAATATGTAGTAAGAAAAGATGCATGGGTCGTACGTAAGATGTGGCGACCGGTTTTAGTACTGTGTCCGCTCTCCACGTCAGACAAAGGACCTATGGTGCTACACAAGTTTCACTTTTTGTGCTTTTAATTTTTATCTGCTAAGCAGCTATGGCCTGGATAGAAGTCAACATGGTCAAGGGAGCAATAACTCCATTTAAGAATTCAAATAGCTTCGAAGGTGACAGGGGCATTAATGTGGAAATCACAATTTTTAGTTGACAGGCCAAACAATCCAAGCTAATTTGGAAAAAAACAAACCTAAAACTTTGACCTGTATGCTTCAAGCATATACACAATTTTTTTTTTATAAAAAAGTGAGTACTTTTGTTGTTGCTTTATTACAGAAAATAAATCTTTACCTTAACTTCTTGCATTTCTGGTACATGATCATATAGTTTAGGATTTATAACTGATACATCTAACAAAGCTTCTTCTTCATGTTCCATTAAAAACTTGTAATTAGCTTTACAAACTACAATTTACATAGTATAATATGATATACTACAATATACATAGTATAATATGATATACTACGATATACATAGTATAATATGCAAATACTACAATATACATAGTATAATATGATATACTACAATATACAGAGTATAATATGATATACTACAATATACAGAGTATAATATGCAAATACTACAATATACATAGTATAATATGTTAAAACTACAATATACAGTATAATATGTTAATACTACAATATACATAGTATAATATGATATACTACAATATACAGAGTATAATATGCAAATACTACAATATACATAGTATAATATGCAAATACTACAATATACATAGTATAATATGATAATACATATACTACAATATGCATAGTATAATATAATATACTCTTCAAAAGAAAGTAGGAGATATTGAAATGCAAATACCTATGCAGGTTGTGATATGATAAATAGTCATGGACACTTGACATGCTTTGAGAGTATGTTCACAGATAAAGAACTTATCACCCCAACAGAACTGCACTTGCGACACGCAATAGAGCCATACATGTGGGAGGGGTTCATTGTCAAATTTGACACTACAAGAAAGGGTTGATGAAAACTGCCGCGTGCTGGTTTATCCTCTCCATGTTTGCTTTCCTATTGGTTCTTGCATAAGATCTACTGTTTAGCATATCTTTGCTTTAGTGTGTTATGTTTAATTTGATCAGGAGGCTTGTTCATCAACCTCAACGTCAACCGACAACACTGCAAGAATTGGCAGTGGCACTGCAAGAGAAGTGGGTCAGACTGCCCCAAAACGTGATTGGACGCTTGATTAGGAGCATGCCAAGACGAATTGCTGAATGTCTGAGGATTGGTGGAGCAATTACTCATTATTATGACAAAAAACAAAAAGGTCCATTTACACTTTTGACAGTGTATCTCTTTGCGAGTGAAATGGGGCTGTCAGATAAGCTGCCCATATGAACTGTTTATGTTCATGTGTAGGCAATTGGCCTGTTATTAACATACACTGGTTACCTCTAATAAAAACAGCAGTGCATTTCCACAGTTTTGTATTGTTTCTGAAGATCCCCTACTTTTTTTGAAGAGTATATAATAATACAACAATATACAGAGTATAATATGATAATACTACAATATACATAGTATAATATAATAAAACTACAATATACATAGTATAATATAATAATACTACAATATACATATCACAATATACATAGAATAATATAATAGTACAATATACATAGTATAATACATGTATGTAAATAGTACAATATATATAGTAAAATACATTAATACTACAATATACATAGTATAATATGTAAATACTATGAAATTTTTAAGCTGTATGACTTCAATGGTGTCCTTTCTTTACCTCTTTTCCAAACTATTGTGCAGTACTTAATCTTAAAGGGCAAAATATGTAGTTTCTGCGATACACTTACCTTGTTGTTTTCTAAAGTCCCAATTATGAACAATTGAAGCTGGAATATAAAATTCTTCATTTTCATGGCATTCAAAACAATAATATCCACCATCAAATGTACAAACTCGAGGTTTACCATAAACTGTAAATATAAATATAACACAAATTTTATTGTAGAAAGCAAAACATTAATTACTTGGTATTAACTCTTTTAAAGGGTCGATGCCTCATATTATGCATTTTCGCTTAAATATCAAATTTGTCACAGCTTATTCCATGCTAAATATGTACTCAGATTAATTATTTAACATTTGATTAAAGATACATTATGGGAGATTAGATAAAGAGCTGGCAGTTCTCACTATAATAGTTAAAAACTAGATAATGTAAAGGGAATATGCTAAAAAATTTATTCAAATTGTTTCACTCTGAATCCAGATATTATTGTCTAAATTTGAGGCCTAGTCTCGATCATCATTACTAAAGTCGGTACGACAAAAAATATAGTCTCGATTATCCAATTTTGGATTAAATCATGAATGAAAGTAGAGCAACAAATGGTATTCTAATCCAGTAAACATCGCAGGCTAGCTTTGACATCGAGAGTTGATAAGTTAATTAATGTCTAGTTAATAATTTAGATAACATTTCAGGCCTAATGTATGTTCAACTTTATATTTCTCATCAGTAAATGGTTACTTATCGTACAAGTAATTAATTTTTTAAATTTCCACCATTAATTTAGTTTAGGAGCATTAAAAAATTCTGATCCATTGTGCCTTGCATCTTTAAATTATGAACAAATCTGGAAGATACACCCCACCCTTGCTTTATATTTTAGAATATTGAATACATACATAATCCAACTGGTCGTTTACAACCATTACACTGATAATTTTGAGCATCTAGTCCCTTTTCTAAAGCAATCTCTGTCATTTGTTGTTTCTTAGTGGAAATTATCTGAAAATAGAGTTCTGTCATTAAAAAATCTCTAAGATATCAAAAATATAATTGAATTATTGATCTAATGGATATCTTTAATTCTTTTTTAAAATCATTGCTGTAAAATATGCGTACAAGTACAATCCATTCTGTAAAATTTATCACAGTAAAATCCATTCTATAAGCTTAAAATTCTTTAAATTCTAATAATCATATTTCTTTATATAAACATATTATCAAAATATTCACCGAATAAAATCCATTCTGTAAGGAATATGTGTGTTAAATGTAAACTATCACTACACAGTTTTATAGTACAGGGCTGTGTTTTACAATACATGACTGTGTTTTACAGTACATGACTGAGTTTTAGAGTACATGATTGTGTTTTACAGTACATGATTGTGTCTTACAGTACACGATTCTGTTTTGCAGTACATGGTTGTCTCTTACAGTGTATGACTGTGTCTTACAGTACATAATTGTGTCTTACAGTACATGATTGTGTTTTACAATATATGGTTGTCTCTTACAGTGTATGACTGTGTCTTACAGTACATAATTGTGTCTTACAGTACATGATTGTGTCTTACGGTAAATGATTGTGTTTTACAAAACATGATTATATTTTACAGTATGTTCTACAATACATGATTACATTTTACAATACATGATTACATTTTACAATACATGAATATGCATGAAATGCAAATGATGTCATCTTAATGTTACAAAAACAAACAAAATAAAGATGAAGTAAATATATATTTTAAGCAATAAAACATTTAAACTGACAAAAGATATCACATCAAATTCAGGCAGAAATAGGAAAAATAACAAAGTTCTTATCATAGGGAAAACTAATAATCTGAAACAATTTTATAAAGACAAAAAGTAAATATAAGAAAAGTAGAAGTTTTCATGCCGAGATGATTTTAAAATATCTAATAATACAAATGATAAGCATACATGGATGTTTGAAAGTAGAGTGTGACCATTTTCTGTGAAAACCGATATATCTCCAAATAAATCATGTGCTAAAACAGATGTGCTCTGAGAAAGACGTAATACCAGTCCCTAACATGAATTTAACTGATTTTTGTTACAGTCAGTCTTTGAAATGTCATTGAAATCCCTCAATATATTTTATCCTGCTTTCCAACAAAGTCTTATTACATATTATGTACATTGGTATTATATGTTAAAACTTATAAGTTTTATACTTAGCTTTTAAACGAAAGTGCCTACGTCCAAAACGGAATTTACACTTATTTGAAAGTGAAAACATCACCCCTACAAGACCAAATAATGTTGGGAGGGCTGCACAATTTTATTTAAATTCAGTGTTGAGATCTGTCAAATAATGTACTATTGCACAAATAAGGAAAGATATTAGCCACAAATAATAACAACCCAGTGCCAATTTGTCCCCACCCACTCGCATTTGTCCCCACCCACTCACATTTGTCGCAACTCACTCACATTTGTCCCCACCCACTCACATTTGTCCCCACCCACTCACATTTGTCCCCACCCACTCTTGACCTTATGCCCTTATATCTTGATGTCTAAAAATAAAAAAAAAACCACTTAAAACAAAATTAGAAGCAATTAGTGTAATAAAAGCCAACAAAAAGAGTATTAATTTTCACTACACCACAGGCCATTTTTACTTTAAATACTGAAAATAAAATGTGCAAGAAACTGAAAGTGGCGTTAATATTTATACACTGTAGGGCCATTCTGTCTACTCGATGTATCATTGGTCATTTTGAGCCTAACACATGGTATATCTTTATTTTAAGTGGAAGCGAGGTAGCAACAGGGCATAGTGAAAACTCATCATATATAAGTGTGGTATCGAAACATGACTATTTGAATTGATAATAGATTGGATAATATAAAGTGTGCATATTGTTAGATTACTCTGACGTCCCCACCACAGAAGTCCCCACCACAGGAGTCGTATGAAAACTTGAAATTAATTTTAATTGTAAGTGGTATCACAATTTAAAAATATCTGACAAGAACCTGAACTGACATGAAATGACCCCACAATCATACTATATTTAGTATGTAAACATTTGGCATTTAATTCAAAAAGTCTTATTGATCACTGTGCACATGAAGCTTAGGCCAACCGCCATTAAAATAAGTTGCTATATATAGGCTATAAATATACTAGAAATATTAGTGAAAGCTGCACCACACCACAAAAGTTAATACAACCAAATGTGATCCATTCTCTGTATAAAGAAGACTTACAGCATCTTCTTCACGAGATAAATAAGAATCAGGAACTATTTCATAGTCATCAAGTCCACTGTCACTCAGCTGAAAATCCATCAACAATGTATTGTATAGCATGATAAAATCCTTGACTCCATGATCGTTTTTCAGTTACCATAGCAACAAAATATTTGAATTTGGGTAGAGTCTATTTTTAAGATGATTAGGGAGGTTGTAAATTGCTCCCCAGAATTGTATGGATAAAGGTGATTCAAATCCAGTGGCACAGTATTATGGTGTGTTGTGTCTAGGGTAAGCCACAATAGGCATATTTCAATACGGGTTTCGCAAAAAAACAAAACAATTTAACTGTTTCATTTGATGCTTCTGTTTACCATTTGTCCCCCACAACCCACTTCATATGCCACTGTTCTAATTCATTGCAAAATGGCTCAAGCCATACGGTTTTGTGGTCTAAGGGAAGATAATATGATGATAAGAACATTATGACAGAGTTACCTCCCTTACATCATTGCCTGTACTGGAAGTTGGTTTTGGTGGAGGTGTTGTTTCTCTTGTATCTAGATTCTGTAAAACTTCATCCATGGAAGCTGAAGTAACCACACTAGAAGGTGTATAATTTTGTAACAATGTACCAAAACTTTCAGCTAAAAATGAAAACAAATTTGTTCTGAGTGTAAAAACAAATATTATCCTTCCAGTTAGTTCCTTTAGGAACTGTCTCTGATCAAACGATGTTCGTTGACAGTTTCTACTAAGTTCAAGTAGAATTTAGCGATCAAATAATCATGTGGTCTGCACATGTTCGTGTCTTGAATGGCTGATCAGTTCAAACCTATTTTGTGTATGTTTTTAATCGCAAAATTCTGCTTGGAATTAGAGTTGAATTATTATAAATGTGTGTCAGCTGTGGCAAGAAATGATTCCTTTGGCAAACAAAGAAGAATCAAGGTGAATAATAGTCGGTAAGAATTAAAAAATAGCCTTTGAACAGAGGTGGGGATGAGCGATATTTTCATATTGCACCTATATAGAAAGTGATAGGAACTGTCAGCAGACATCGTCCGATCAGAGACAGTTCCTAAAGGAACTACCTTCCAGTATATACCTAAATTTAACATGTGATTTATTCTATATTTCTTTACTGTCAGTGAATGATAGCTGTTATTTCTTTCTATTTTTAAAATCAAACTTTGTCATGTACATTTCAAGTCGATATCCATAAAGACTTTTCAAGTAGTTCCCAACATAAAAAAACCCCCACCAAATTTCAAATGAAGACTACATGATAGTAAAATAATCTTCATAATTTTTAAAAATGGTGAACTGATAAACCAAGATTACTGGTTGGCAGTTAGACCAAGGTGATACTTGAATGAAATGTTCTGAAATTTAGATCTCCAAATCCTAAGAATAATGGATCTCATGCTAAGAAAACATCTCAACAAACCATTACAGCTGAAACATGTTTGTTAAGTTTATATTAATGACATCACAGTACCTCAGTTATCAGGACTGACGAATATGTGACAACACTGAATAGCATGTCACTTGATTACAATTCCGTCAAGTTTGGAAGTTTCCGGACTAACAGTCAAACATCCCCAATACAAACCAAAAGGTAAACAATAACGAAATGATTTGAAATGAAACGGGGTTTAATATCCTACTATTCTGCTCTGACTGGATTAATGAAGACGGGCATACGCCATACAGTGTAGTATGAGGGAAATTTTGTATGGGCAGTGGGACTATGGCCTATTCTTATATTGAATTCCAATTGCCAAGGGATCTTTAAAATTTTACGTGCATGCCAATGTGAACACAGGGCCTCGGTTAATCATCCCATCCGAACGACTAGACACGTCGGAAAATCTCAATGAACTTTCTCGGCCAATGCAGGGATCGAACACCCAACCTTCAGGTTAGCGAACCAGCGTCTTACCCACTTAGCCACCGTGGCTCTGTAAACAATAACAATTAGATTATACTTACATTTATTTCTTTGTGGTATTTCCTGACTGGTACTTGAAGCTCTGGCTCTTGGTAGGTCGGTTACATGATCCATATTTTCTTCATCAAAAGGTGAAGACCAACTATTTACATGGCTTAGGTTATTACCAAAACTTCTTGGACTATTGCAAATATTGACGCCATTTTCCGATTTATTGTTTGTTTGTTTTGGTGATGATTTATGTTTATTTATTTCCTCTCTCGCTAAAGCAATGGAAGACTCGCTATCAACTTCCACGGTGTCTACTGTCTCCACAACAGCCGTTGATAAAGTGGGAGCAATGGGTGCACTCTTCTCTCTTGGAGAACAATTAAGACTTTCAAAGGGAGGTAATTCGTCTTGCTTACTGTGCCGTCTGGTGTGTTTAGTTGACTTGTGTGGCGAATGATTTCCATGGCTATTATGAGGGGATAACTCTTCTGGCTTATTCGGTGGCTTATGTTTTGTTTGCTTGTGCCCTGAATGACTGTAGCTAATATCTGATTCAATTGGACAGTTAAGGATTTCTGCTTCAATCTGAGCTAGTTTGGCTGTATCTAATGAATCAACTGTTTTGTTAGGTTGAGTATCACGAGGACAATCAACTAACTCTCCCTTGAGTTTCTGTTCTTTAATTAATGCTTTAGAATCTACTGGCAATTCATGTGGCTTATTTTTGTTCAGAGAGGTTTTATATTTTTCATCGTGGAAATTCTTTTGTTCAGATGTTTGTGCCGCCTCCTCTAAATATAAATCTTGATCTACAAAGAAACCATCTCTTGGCGATGGATTTTGTTGTTCCGCGTGATCAGGATCAGGACAAGAAATTTGACTGGAACCTGAGCAATCGGAAGGACTGTAAAAATTTCCAATCAGTTTTTTTATATCTTCAACATCTTGTCTTGTAAAGCCAGAATTAGAAAATGGTGTATTAGGTGGAACTTTAGGTACCGCAGAACTTGAAGCATTATCTGATTCAGCACCATCCTTAGATTTGGATCTAGAGCTACGAGCTAGAATAGGACTCTCTTCTGATTTGGATCTTTGACGACTTGTTGACATAGGTGGTTTCGAATCTGAAACTAATATCATATTTTTCTTACCATACCAGTCATTTATTAAAGGAGAATTCCACCTGCAGTAGGTTTTTTAAAAAAAAATATAACCCTCCCCACACCGGATCGTAATAGAGAGAGAGAAATGGGGTTTTACATCCACTCGACAAAAACTAGGTCATTTCGGGACTAAGATATGGTTCAATTATATTTCAATAATTCATTTGCGCCTAGGGGTCTTTAGCAGTGGGAGGAAACCAGAGGACCCGGAGAAAACCCATAAGGTTGGACAGGCGACCCTACTCCTTGTTACGTACAACCGGGGAATCGAAACCACGCCAGTTGACTCAATGACAGACGTTCTCCCGGATTGTAATAGTTTGTGCAATTGTGATTTTACTGAGCAACAGTCTGATCCCTAGTAGAATAAGAATTATAATAAGCAATGTATCTAGAATAGAACCATGTTTTAATATTTAATTTCCTGTTTGAACAGACAAGCAAAAAAATATCAGACAAAAAATGAACTGAAAGATATGTTACCAGTAGGTGATACATCTACTATAGCAGAAGGTGTACTGGTAGGTTCAAGTATACCAGATAGAGTTAGAGGCGTGGTTGTCCAGTTATTTAATACACTGGAGTTGAAAGACAATTTAAAGTTTAATTCAATTAAACCTGAAACAGAGAACATACAGAATATAAAAGACCGAATGGAATGAGATTTAAAGGAGGTAAATCGCTAATATTTGGGACCTAGAAATTGATACAAATGGGTCACAATGCATATAATAATGTAAAATGAATGTATATAAACTGATTTACATTCAATCATTTCCGTTTTTACTGTCATGTTCGGCTAAATATAGGCAAGAAGTCTCAATTCAAACGGCAATCTCTAGCATCTGGTTATTCCAGTCTACACGATAGTATTTATTGCACATGGCATCACCGTTTGACATAACTTATGGAATATTCCTAGCCTCGTTCTTCGAGTCCCTTATTACAAATGGTGCTGAAATGCACTCTGGTACACAAGCCAGCACCATCTAGGTAAAATCTTTTGATGGGACTATTTTTTTTAATTCAAGTGATAATTTGATTTTGATTTGTTAAATATTCAATTTAAGTATATTTTAGTATGGGATAAGCCATGACAATTTAGATATTGGACGAAAATTGACATTTGGGATCTCCAACTATAAGTATAGATTTTTCAATGAGTAATTTGAAGTACGATTTGTATACTTTCGACGCACACTGGCTAACTTACCTTTCATATAAGAAATTAATATACCAGGTTGTTCGATATCTCGTAAATAACTCACTTGATGATAATAATATCTGTAAATATCAATACACATGGTTATAACACTTGATGATAATAATATCTGTAAATATACAACTGGCGGTAGTTTTTACTTTGATGTCCATAGCAGTTATATCTCATAACAACCTGTCATGACATCATCATAGGTTGATATATTCGTTCATATCAACCGCTGATGACGTCATGACAGGTTGATATTTCATATCAACCGCTAATGACGTCATCTCAGGTCAATATATTCGGCTCATATCAACCGCTGATGACGTAGATGATCGAAATAATACAAAAAAACACAGAAATAAATTTTTATTCTTTTGACAATTAAAATTTGTTATGGTACAGTTTCTAACATTCAGGACCGAAAAAGACGGCGTACTTATTGACATACATGTATTTAGATCGGTTATCCATGTCTAAGACATCTTTCAGAATTTTCTTTTCGTCCACATTGCGATTATTTCTCCACACACTACAAGACTTGAAAGTATTTATCGCCCAAGAGTTCCTTTGTAAAATATTTTTGGGTACAGTCCACTTAAAACAGTCGGTCAAATCCTTCTCTGAACATACTGAAAACCTTCAATCATGGTTCACTGTCAGAATTCTTGGAAAAGAATGCCTTTTGGTTCAAATTTTCTGCAGGCTTTGGATAGATCCTCGTCAGGGGTATTGTCTACAGGCTGACGAAGAAAGTGTGTCCAGTAAAGGGCACAGGCAGAAACATTGCTATCTGGGCAAAATTGAAAGGCTGAGGAGACAAAAGAAAAGGCTACCGAAAGAACTTAAATTTGTGATTATTTCTGGACTAAATCTTTTTGCCTTTGGCTCGTTACCTGATTTTTTTAAAATCTAAAATGGATAATGGAAAACAGCTGGTCAATTCCGAACTAAAACCTGAAGTCAAAATAAGAAACTACTTACTCTAAGGTTTTTTTATCAGCTGTCATGGACTCTAAATAACTCTCCATTAATCCATCGTTTAATCCTAATCGTATCCATGCCTATAAAATAGTTCAAAATCTAAAAATGAATATATTGAAAATTAAAATCAAATTACTTAATTATGAGCGAAGTTATAGCTGTTTGAAGATGTAACGTAAACCTTCGTTATTATAGCACTTGACATCAGAGATTAAGTCTCGATTATCCTAATCTGATTAAAACAGATCCTATTTCGTTCCCTTTTTTATAGTACAATTGGTCAGACCTTTATGTAGTGTAGGCCATCGAAAGTATAAAAAAGAACGAAATGAAATATAGATTTGTATTTTAATCAGATTGCAATTATCCATCTTATCGTCAAATTTTTAATCTTGTGGGTGTTCTAATCCATTTAAAACTCATTCAAATTACTTTATCCTATGCGAAGTTATGAATGTTTAAAGATGTACCATACATGTACATGCAGATCGTTTATTATTATACATGTAGCAACAGAAATTGACATCAGAGACTAAGTCTTGATTATCCATATTATCGTCAAATTGTTAAATCTTGCAGGTGTTCTAATCCATTTAAATCTCGACCATCCGATGATCTAGAGAGTTGATTATAGTATAGACGTGTCATGTGAATAAATGTCTAAATAATAATTTATATAACATATGAAGCCAGAAAAAAGACATGCAATAGACAGATTTAGCTCTTACATAATGCATTTGTAACTATAAAATTAAAACAAAGACTTTTGTTGTCTTTTTTGTGTTAATTATTAAGCAAAAGACAAGATACAAAATAAAACCAACCCTACCCTGCATAGTCCTATTTCCGTTGTTATCTGACCCAGATGTTTTAACTGGGAGATCACATCCTTGTGCGTAAATCCAGCAGCATAATTCCAGAAGTTCTGAAAGGAAATAGAAATTATTCTCCGTTTTATTTGAACCGAAATGAAATGGAGCTTAACGTGCAATTCATTGTTTACCACCTGTTGGATATTTTATATAAGTAAATCAATATACATACCTACTATTTATTGTTTACCATTTAAACACAACTTATATACACATACATACATACATCAATAAACTTTGTTTAATTTAATAGAACAACACCAGGCTGGGAAATAATGAATTTAGTTGCATAACAAAATCTAAGTCAATTTTTTTTTCATGAAACTCTAAAATTAAAAATACATTAACCTGAAAATATTTATCGGGTGGTTATTTCCAATACAAGTATGGCAAATTTGGTTTATATGGAAAGTATACACACCCAATCTTACTATAAAAATACTGGATTACCCGAAAAACACTTGGTAAAAATGTCAAGGTATCACTAACTGGCAATCCGACTGTTGTCTGCCAGCTTATTGTGCGCTAGCTTGACTGAGGGAGCGGTTGTTATTTCTTGATCAAATAGTTAGGCGGTTTTGGGCACGTTGAGGGGTGTCAATGTACAATTAAACCGCAGAAAAAGAAGTTGACAGAAAATAATTTAGAATCAAATAATAAAAAATAAATTCTGAAAAATGGACCCTCCTTCAATGAAGTGAGGTGACAGACATGGCATCTAAAAACAGTTTATTTATAGCTTGAGGTATCTCCCAAGCAAATACAAAGTTTTGAGAGGGATTTGAAGCAAATTTTTGGTAGATTAATTAGTTTTAATAAGTTTTTAGTCCAAATATATCATCAAATCACACAGTATGTGGGAAAGTATCTTTAATAAATCAGAGAATCATCTTATCAAAAAAGACACAACTAATATATACTAGGTGGATGTCGGTACAGTTTCATATAGTTTCATACTGAAGAAATTGAGATATGCTCCACGATAAAAACTGTGTACCAACAACAATGCCAATTTGTTCATAAAAACACAAAGTTTACAAAGTTTCATAAAGATATCTTGACCGGGTTATGAGATATTATCAGTAAAATAATCAGAGTGGAAGGACAAGCACAGCCCATTTAAAAAAAACAAACCCCCTAACTGGTACATGTATATTTTGTTCTCTAAGATGATCACTTGCAGTATTCTGTCATATGACAGGGAGAAATTAAATGTATGTCACAATGACAAAGCCACTTCTAAATTTACAAACAATGACATTATTATACTTACTGCATTCACTTGATTCACATGATCATGGTTAAAGTTTACATAACTAGCAATCTGAAATAATAATATATTCAATTGTTGTGCACATAAAAGAACCCTTGACAGCTGGATTATAAAATAAAAGTAGGCTGTATCGCCATCCCAGACAAAATTTCCATCATAGCACACAGTATGGCATATGCCCCATACCCCATTTCATTTCATTTCTCAACTTGGTACATTGGAGTGAAAAATCCAGTGCAAAAACTGTAAAGACTTCAGGAACTGGCATAAAAGAATGCATAAAAAAGATAGGTTGCCATGCAATGAAAAAACACCTACATCAGCTAAGTTGCCTGAGCAGTATACAAAGGTTGTATATATTCATTCTTTTCTAAGAAATGAGAGCATTTACAACACTGATCAAGAGAAACAATCCATGAAGTAATTATTAGAAAAAATCAAAATTTTATTAATTTCTTGTTCATCCTAATGTTATGATATATTATAAACCAGCGGCTGCCAGGCAGGATACGCCCACATTTTCGAGAGATGGATAGAGAACAAGCTAACAAGAAAGTGATTTTTCCTACAATCAAGGGCCATAATTCAGGAAATTACAATTCGATATGCGCAAATATCGAAAGGAACTGAACAAACGGCAGCCATTTTGTCTGTCAATTTTGGGCCGATTTTAACGAAATTCGAACTCAGTCATCCTTAGGGTGTAACGGTGATATAATAGAATTCAGGAAGTTACGGTCCGATATGCATGAATATCGAAAGGAACCGAGATCTTTGGGTTATAAACTTACGTTTCAAGTTTCAACAAAATCGGATAAAAATTGTGACCCCTATAGGGTCCACAACCTTGATATACCATATTCTTACGCTATTTGGGAACGAACGGCGGACATTTTGTCTGTCAATTTTGGGCCGATTTTCACAAAATTCGAACTCAGTCATCCTTAGGGTGTAACGGTGACATAATAGAATGTTTTTTTAAATCGGATAAAAATTATGACTTCTATAGGGTCCACAAGCTAAAAACGTGATTTTTCGTACAATCAGGGACCATAATTCAGGAAGTTACGGACCGATACGCACGAATATCGAAAGGAACCGAGATCTTTGGGTTATAAACTTACATTTCAAGTTTCAACAAAATCGGATAAAAATTGTGACCCCTATAGGGTCCACAACCTTGATATACCATATTCTTACGCTATTTGGGAACGAACGGCGGCCATTTTGTCTGTCAATTTTGGGCCGATTTTCACGAAATTCGAACTCAGTCATCCTTAGGGTGTAACGGTAATATAATAGAACGTTTTTTTAAATCGGATAAAAATTATGACTTCTATAGGGTCCACAAGCTAAAAACGTGATTTTTCGTACAATCAGGGGCCATAATTCAGGAAGTTACTGTCCGATATGCGCGAATATCGAAAGGAACTGAGATCTTTGGGTTATAAACTTACATTTCAAGTTTCAACAAAATCGGATCAAAATTGTGACCTCTATAGGGTCCACAAGTTAAAAACGTGATTTTTCGTACAAACAGGGGCCATAATCCATGAAGTTTCGATCCGATACATGCCAATATCGAAAGCAGCCGAGATCTTTTGGGGATACACCTATATTTCAAGTTTCGTCGAAATCGGATAAGAATTGTGACCTGTAGAGAGTCCACAAACAATTGTGGACGGACGGACGTCCGGACGGACAGGGGCGACAGCATAATACGTCCACATGAAAATGTGGGCGTATAAAAAACATGCACCGGTAATCAAATGATAACTTTAGCTGGTTGGAAAAAATCAGGATTCCTCATCTCATGAACTTAAGCACAATGTATAGCCTCTAAAGCATCCCCATAATTTTTCAAAATGATCAAGGGTAATAACTACAACTCTTAAAATAACTATCGGAAATCACTAAAAATCATCTCGTACATTAACAATGCGGATAAATTTCTCAAGTCAATTGGATAATAACATTAGCCTCAAGCGCATTCACAAGATTTTTCAACTTGATCAAGGGTCATAACTCTGACATTAATTATATGATATTGTATAAAATCAATAGGTTTCTTTAATTACATAAGGTTAAATTAGTTTCTGTTCATTAAAGCGAGAAAATATCTTACCTTAGCCGTAACTGAATCTTTCAGCCCATGAAGAAATACTGCTTCTAATACATTACAAAGATGGTTAGCTGCATCATTACTATAAATAAACAACCACAATATTTAATAACATTGAAAAGTTATTTATGAAATATTTATTGTTTTATAGATATGTGCAGGGCTGGATCCAGAGCCCTGCTCAACTATATAAAAAAATTATTGTAAAACAACACTTTTTTGTGAAAAGTGTCACGGTTGTGTGCTTTATCCTTTATCATCAGATGGTGGGATGGGATGAGCATTCAAAGCGCAAGATAATAATATAGACATATGTGATAACATAACAATGCTTCGCATCAATGAAACTGAATCACAATGTGATCCTATTAATTCATAATAAAAATTGACGTCAAACTGGGCGTTCGATTTATTTCTTTAAAAAGCTCAGCGTGAGTGTGTATGTATGTAAATTGGAGAGTGGAATCATACATTGTCAGCTGTCAAATTTCCTTAACAGGAACCTGGCAACCCCTTCCCCCCACCCCACTCCCTGCAAAAGTTCCTGGATCCATCCCTGATGTTTACTGATAATCTTATTATTTCAAGCTATTTTATCATAATTCTTTTAATTCTATCCTATCACCACCACCATTACCCTAGCTTTTGGTGTATGGGTTACCAGGAAATCAATAAGCACACTTAACACATCTGTTAAGTATTTAAATACTGTAGTTACATTTACTATATTTAATATAGAAAATTAAGAATGTTTGGTTTTCCCCTGGTCAGTGGTACAGGAACAGTGACTAGTCATTCGGATAGGGTAAAAAAAGGTCCAGTGTACATGATGGCGTGCAAGTAATAGAACCTGTAACAGTTGGAATTTGATGGGGAGTAAGCATTTCCTTCATAGCACATTGCATAGCATTTGGCTGTCTTCATTAGTAGGATGTTACTTGCCCCGCCCCCCCCCCCCACCCATTTCATTTCGTTATGTTTTACCTGATTTATCTAGTTATAACATTTCAAAAAGTCTTTAACAATGAAAAAAAAAAACCAGGCCAATGAATAAAAGTCTGCAAATAAAATCCAAATATATAACTAAGGCCAAAACAATTTACTTTTTGGTTCTTTGAGGTCCTCATAATGCATTTGAAGTAAGATCAACCAAATAATTTTTGTTTTTAAATTATTTTAACATGTTTCCTGAAGTTCTTTAAATTGAAATTGGTGACCTAAGTCTAAGTCATTAGGAAAAGAGTTGCACAAACAGGAAAACTGTGTATGGTAATTAAATTGTTTCAATTGAATTGTAAATACAAAGGTCATAATTCTGTGGAATACAATTACTTTTTATTACTGAACCACATTTTAATTAGGATTCCCTTAATCTAAATCAAATAATGATGATATAAAGACTAGGGAAGCCTAGTCAAAACCTCACTCAGTATATAAACAGTAATTATAAATTTGTGATTTGTGTGTAGATGTGCAATTACGTGTAACATATTATATCTGAATGCACAGTTCTAATTATTTGTAACATATGGTGTACTAGGTTATTGGCACTATATGTCTAGACAAATCATGTGTCTTTTATAATACAGATCTCATTATATTTATAATGCTTACCAGTGTTAATGAGGTCACAGACCAAAAAAAGACTGCATATCAATTTAAATGAAGTATTTAAAGATACATTATGGGAGATTTTTATAGAGAATTGGCTATTCTTGCTATAACAGTTCAAAAGTAGATGATGAAAGAAGAATATATTGAAAATTTCAGTCAAATTACTTTATTCTGAACATAGTTATCATCGTTGTAATATTTGACTAGAAATGGTAGTGAAATGTGCCTTCACCTTGGCCGATCGTTTGATTGACAGGTGTTAACTCCACCTACATATCTCGATTATCAAGTAAAGTTTTCAATGGCATGCGGAAACGCTCTACAGCGGCCTCGCTAAGTACACTCTATCATTTAGCCTCGATCTAACTGACGTATTCTCATCAGGATGCGTCATATTGGAATTAATTAATAAGTGAAATCCTATTTAAATCCGAGCTGTAGCCGAGCCATCCGTGGGTCTACAGAGTTGATTTTGGGCTTGATGTTTAAATAAAGATCTAATTTATAATTTCTATAACATCTGAAGCCTAAATTAAGACTTACAATAATCAGATTTTGCTCTTGCATAATGTATGTTTAATTGTTTTATTGATATGAGTACACAGTGCGTTGAAAGCGTGCAAGAGAGAGAGAGAGAAATGGGTTTAACATCCACTTGACACAAACTAGGTAATTTTGAGACTAACATACTGTTCTAAATCTTAATTCAATAATTAACTAGCACATAGGGGTCTTTAGCAGTGGGAGAACCTGGAGAAAACACATACACAGTTGAACATGCGACCATACTCCTTGTCACCCTTTGATATAAAGCAAATGCATTAGACCAATCGCCCGACCCCCATCCCAAGGCAATCCCTATTTGATATAAAAATAGAATAAAGATTTTAAAACATAAAACAGTGTTACTGCGACAGTGTGAACCCTGTTAAATCCATTTAAACATACATTATGCAAGAGCTAAATCTGCCTATTGCAGGTTTTTCTTTATGCCTGAAATGTTATATAAACTATTAATTGGACATTTATTAACAAAACAAGATCATAATCGACTCTTGATGGCATCGGATACTCAAGATTTTAACTAGATTAAAACGGTTCGCCATTTAAAAATGGGAAAGCAAGGCTAAGTCCCGATTACACCAGTGCCCTGGTTACCACTGTGCTGAGAATGAAGTAATTTGAATGAAATTTTCAATATTTTCTTTTTTCATCATCTATTTTTGAATTATTATAGCAAGAATGACCAACTCTTTATTAAACTCTTAAAGATGGGTTCCCGCGTACAAACTTGGTGATTTAATGGTATATATGGACCAAAAACATATTCAAACTAATTAATTTGTCATAATTATGCTTCAAATCCTTCTCAAACATTGTAATTGCGAAGGAATGCCCTGCTACTAAAATTCAACCAAACCAGGTCATGTTTACGTCACGTCTTGGGAGTCAGAGGAGAATTCATTGCATACATAAGACGATGTTGTCTTTAATCGCTTACTATTTATTACAAATATCGAATCCTAATTAAATTCTTGGATTATCCACTACCTTTTTCCGTCATTTTATCTCAGAAAGCATTGTACGTCTAACTCTTCATAAAGTTTATCAACTTGTACATCAAGCGCTCAATGTTCGCTTGTGACCTTTGACATCCCACGCGCAGGAGTTCCTAATCGTCGGGCTGTTGATTAGGGGAACCCTTACATTTTTGTCCTGTATACGCTCCATGAATGTTTTTCGGGGAATCCAGTATTTTTCTAGTAAGATTGGATATCTCTACTTTCCATATATACCAAAATTGCCATACTTTTATTGGAAATAACCAGCCGATAAATACTTTTCTGGGAACCCATCTTTAACTAATGTATCTTTAATTATACATCGTCAAAAGCATCACTTACCTGTATACTGGTTCATCATCGTTCAAGTATCTTACCTGTATACTGGTTCATCATCGTTCAAGTATTTCTGTTGTAAATTCTTTAACGAAACAGAGAATTCTTTAGTTAAAAACTTCTTGATTTTTTTTTCTCTTAAAAGCTCAGCTTGTGTAAGGACTGTAAATAAAGAAGGGAAGTTTGAACATTGGGTCATCATCCATCAAATCAATTCGAGTTGACTGAATATATTATAAAATTTGTAATGGTGACTGAACTACCGAAAGTGAGAAAAAAATTCTTAAAATGTTTTATATGGTCAACTCAGATTTAAATATAGAATTACGGTAACCGTGAAACAATCTGATTAAAATACAGATATATATTTCGTTTTGTTTCTTTATATGTACTTTCGATGGCCTCTACTACGGTACATAAGATCTGACCAGTTGTAGTGGGAGGTCACGTCAGAGGTAAAACGAGCGGCTTTTGACCCTATGACGTGAGTCAATTGATTAACCAATCATCGTTGATGTTTCTAGTGGGTTACCCACAGTTGTGCAACTCAGGCCAAAAATTTGCTGCAATCCCTCACATCATCCAGAACGCGGATTATATAACAACTCTTCCATATCCTAGTGTAGTAAAAACAAGTAAAACGAAATTTTGAACTATAAAAAACGAAACGAAATAGGATCTGTGTTTTAATCAGATTGACTGTGAAAATGGAACTTTTCTAGAACCAAGCTAATCAGTTATATGAGTTTATATGCATGGTCAATGGATATGATAAAAGTATGGATTAGGAGTCTTAATATTCTCTTGCAACTTGTCATAGTTTTAACCTGTAGCCTAACATACTGGAATCTAGGGATATAATATGTCTGCTTAGAGAAAAAAGTATTTGATATGAGTAGGTCTAACAATATTTATCAGTTTCAACTTCTCCATGTTTCGCATGAAGCACTACCCGGTGCCAGGCATTAGTTGACATGTGGACAGGTTAAATAGGTCAGGCTTTACTTTTGGTCAGACTGGTATGATAGGATAACAATAGTTATGGTGTTGTTACCTCCCTTTAAATTGGTACAGTCTGTTGTCCTACTAACTGGGAGGTTCACTATAACCGTGAAGATGATAGTGATGAGATAGTATAAGACCACACAGGAGTGGTGGAAGAACGATGCCAAAAATAAATCAAGCGCCGTAGGGGTGAAAAATTTTCATATAATATGTAATTATAAGCTTTTAATTTTTTCGTGACTGGGCCTAAATTTCCTGGCATTTAATTGAGTTCATAATTGATTGGAGCAAATTCTTGTGAACCACAGGATAAGAAATGTGACAGAATCTCAAGGCCTGCATTTTAATTCTGTCTGTTTTGTGAGAGTTGACAGAACATTTTGGTACTGTCTACCACCCCACGACCCACTCACTAGTGCTACTGATGATGATGATGATGATGATGATGATGATTTTGCCCTTTATAACAGAAGTTATAACCGTGAATATGATAGTGATGAGAGAGTATGAGACCACATATCAGGTGAGGAAGAATGATAATATAATTAATTGAGCGGCGCAGGCGTGAAAAAATTTCAGACAGAGCTTTTAGCATAGTACTAATAGTAGGTGCAAAAATATATCAGAAAAATATTTCAGATATTATATAATACGTAATTTTGGAGAGAGAGAGAGAGAAATGGGGTTTAACGTCCACTCGACACAAACTAGGTCATTTCGGGACTAACATATGGTTTTAATTTTATTTCAATAATTCGCTTGCACGTAGGGGCTTTTAGCAGTGGGAGGAAACCGGAGGACCCAGAGAAAACCCACGAGGTTGGACAGGCGACCCTACTCCTTGTCATGTACAACCGGACGTAATTTTGGACTGGGACACATACAGCTTCTATAATTAATTGGCAACATGGTACGGTATATAGACAATAGGGTTATCATTTCTAGGTTAATAACAGCTGACATATGGACCAGTTCACCATACTTTCATTAATCAGTGGGGTCCCTCATCCGAAGTAAGTTAACACTAACTTTAAGGAGTGGGTGGGGGTACTAGTACGGTTACTACGATACAGATCACATTATTAACTGCAGGGTGGGAGTATGAGCATCAACTTTACTTTGAGTCACAGATACCAGGCCTGGTTTGAATTTCGTGAAGTTGAAGATTGTGCCCATGGTGAAATAAATAAGCCAATAGACTAGTGAACGAGTGACGAAGTAAGAGATCAATATCATATTCATATTTCTTTTCTGTGAATGTAGGCCTAAGTAATATCAAGAAAGTTATGATTTCATGAATTTTGTATTTGGCCAGGTGCAGACGCTTAGTTATTGAAAGTAATTTTAAATCCTACCCTTTTTCTTCTTCAAAAAGCTCATCTGTACTTCACCTTTAAAATTTCAAAAGTAAACAAATAAGAAACAATACCAAAACAATTTATATCGGTCAGACAAGAGGATCATCTGCTCTAGAAAATCATAACAATCGCCAGAGGGCGAAACGTATTTCCGGAAAGGATCCACGTATGGTCAAAGGGGGACAACTCTAATTTAGATTTCCCCCGGAGAATCTCTACCCACTGGGTCAATTCAAGCCTTAATAATAATAATAATAATAATAATAAGTTCTTTATTTTCAAAAGGGTGAAAAATTAGACTTTGCAGCCTGTTTACAATTCTGCCCTTAAATGACAATAGACAAAACAAACATACACATATGTTATACATACAAGGAAACTGAATAATGAAAATCTATTCTTTTCATTCCAAATAACATCAAATGCAGAAACCGATAATGGTTTAAATTTAAATACAGAATAGTTATATAACATTTTGGATATAATTATGGAGTGATTTTTTAAAAGTTGAGAGAACATGTAATGAGTTTGAATTATTTGGAAGTGAATTCCATAAAACTGGTCCATTATAACTAAGACTAGGCCTTTGTTTAAATTTAGTACAATTTGGATGTGGAATTTGTAATTTAAGATTTATAGAGTTGTAAGGAGTATTTTAAAATTGAAATAAGGAACAAAAGTAATTTGGACTTTTATGTTTTAATATTTTGAACAGAAATATATATTTATTCATTAAATGACGTTGTTGAATGGTAGGCAGTTTTAAAGATTTTGAAAGAATGGAATATGAAGAATCAGAAGAATTATATTTAATAATAGGTTTGTTGAATATAATTTTAAATGATAATTTTTGGATAATTTTAAGTTTATGAAGAGAAGAAATTTGACAGGAGTCCCAAATGGTAGCCTTGGCTTAAAGGAGCTAGATCGCTAACATTTGGGACCTAGAAATTGACACAAGTGGGTCGGAACTCATATAATACTGGAATATGAATGTATATAAACTGATTTACATTCAATGGTTTCCGTTTTTACTCTAATTTCAAATCAGTTATGTTCCGCGAAATAAGCCAGCAGTCTCAATCGAATGCAAATTTCTAGCGCCTGGTTATTCCAGTCTACATACGCCGTTTGGTTTGGTGCAATATGTCTAGCCTCGTTCCTCGAGTCTCTTGCTAGAACTGGGGCTGAAACGCATTATGGTACACGATTCGTGTACCAATGGTAAAATGTTTATTTTGTCTTAAATATTGGATATCAGAAGCCCATCTTTTCCGGTAAGATCACAGCATCAATGTTGATTTAAATTGACAAATAATTTGTGTTTTCAATGTTGAAGATTTTGGATGATATTGAGTTAAAGACTTATAGCTACTTTAAGGTGGTGTAGTGTTTAACACCAGTTAGATCAGTGTAGCACTGGCGCAACGCTGTGCTAACTCAACCTCAGACCCCCGAGTTAAGGTCTGTGGTGTTGAGGTTGTGTTAATTAAACAAGGATATATTTACACAACATGAACACCAGTGTCATATATGTGTTACCCAAACACTAACTTATACCTGAGCCCCTCAATCTGTCTATATTTTCAATATCAATTTCTCGATTTCAGAAAAAAAAATACATGAAAAAAATATAAATACAGGGATCTTTGTGCAATATTATTTCTAATTACATAAAAACTTGTTAGATAATAATAATTGATAAAAGTTATTATCTTGTTAAAAATAACTCTAACACTAACCCCTAGGGGTTAAAAAAAAATCTTAGTTCAAGTCATTTATTACAACACTGGTGTAAAACAACAGACTGCAAGAGGGGAATTTCTTTTAAGACTTTTAGATTTAGTTTTAAGGCTTAAAATGATTTTTTTTTACCAATATATGACCAAAACGTAAGATAAAGAAATGTTGATCGCAAGCCTGCTGATTTATGAGAAATTTCAGATACGAAATTTCGACTGTATAATGATCAAATGAGACTACAAAAATTCAACATAGATCCTAGTTACTTAATTTCATGGAAGCGGTTAGTTTTCCTCAATTGGCTTTCTTTTCCTTTTTTTTATACGCCCACATTTTCATGTGAACGTATTATGCTGTCGCCCCTGGACGTTCTTCCGTCCACAATTTGTTTGTGGACACTCTACAGGTCACAATTTTTATCCGATTTTGACGAAACTTGGAATATAGGTCTATCCCCCAAAGCTCTTGGTTCTTTTCGATATTGGCATATATCGGACCATAACTTCCAATTTTTAAAATAAAAACAAAAAACAAACGTATAAATTGATCACTGTTACACCCACATGACGATTGAGTTCCAATTTCGTGAAAATCGGACCAAAACTGCCTGACAAAATGGCCGTTCTTTGTACGCAAATTGTGTAAAAGTATGTAATACAAAGGTTGTGGACACTCTAGAGGTCACAATGTTTATCCGATTTTGATGAAACTTAAAGATACATTCCCGTATACAAACTGGGTGATCTGGCGATATATTTGGCCTAAAACATATTCAAACTAATTAATTTATCATAAATTTGCTTCAAATCCTTCTCAAAACATTGTAATTGTCAAGGAATACCCTTGCTATAAAAAATCGATCAAAAGAGGTCATGTTTGTGTCACGTGCGAAGTCGGAGCAGAATTCATTGCATACACAAGACGATGACATCTTTAATCGCTGATTATTTATTACAAATATCGAATCCTAATTAAATTCTAGGTTTATCCGCTGCCCGTGTCTTTTTCCGTGATTTTTATCTCAGAAAGTGTTGTACGACTAACTCTTCATAAAGTTTATCAACATGTACATCAAGCACTCAATCTCCGCGTGCAAACTTTGACGTCACGCGTGCATATATTCCTAATCGTCGGGCTGTCGATTAGGGGAACCCTGACATTTTTGTCCTGTATACGCTCCATGTGTGTTTTTCATAGGATATCTCTACTTTACATATATACCAAAATTGCCATACTTTTATTGGAAATAACCACCCGATAAATACTTTTCTGGGAAACTATCTTTAAAATATATGTTTATGTCCTAACATTCTCAGTCCCTGTCGATATTTGTGCATTTTAGACCATAACTTTCTGGATTATGACCCCTGATTGAACGAAAAGTGGCTTTTAATTTTAGCTTGTTCTCAATCCATCTCGTGCAAAAGGTGGGCGTATCTTTCCTGGCAACCGCAGTTTTTTTTTAGTTGGCCAGCTCATGCAAATTACAGAAGACAAAAACACAGTGTAACATTTAAAGATAACACTAGTGTTATAGGTGGTTTTTTTTATTTTCCACCGGTGTTGACACTGGTATTACCCTAGTTTAGACACTGGTGTAAACACTAGTGCTAAATCGAGGGACACAGGTTAAGGCACTAAAAAGAACACCAGTTATACACCACTACAACACAACCTTAACACAAGTGTAACCCGGGACTTGAATTGACCCAATTGTCGTATACCTAAACACTAACTTATACCTGAGCCCCTGAATTTGTCTATGTTTTCAATATCAATTTCCCGATTTAAGGAACAAATTAACATGAAAAAATAAAAATACACGGATCTTTGTCCAGTATTATTTATTATTACATAAAAACTTGTTAGATAATAATAACTTGATAAAAGTTATTATCTTGTTAAATATAACTCAAACACTAACCCCTAATAGGGCTTACAAAAAAAACTCAGTTCAAGTCATTTATTACAACACTGGTGTGAAACAACAGACAGCAAGAAGGAATTTCTTTTAAGACTTATAGATTTAGTTTTAAGGATTAAAATGATTTTTTTACCCATATATTACGGCCAAAACCTACCACAAAGAAATGGTGATTGCAAGCCTGCTGATTTACGAGAAATTTCAGATAGGAAATTTCGACTGAATAATGATCAAATGGGATTACAAAAATTCCACATAGATCCTAGTTACTTAAAGGACAATATTGGTGCCAGTCATTATCACATATGTGATAGAGCTGGTTAAACACATTCCAAATATAATTTTAACACAGAGATCATTGCTACGATAGCTGAGTAATACAGGTTCCCTGAATCGGAAGTGACGAACCCCAAAGGAAAACACGAGTCATGCCTCTATATAACTGACTGATGTGACGAGTGATAACAGATACACGGCCGAATTTCTGCTCACTAATAATTCCTTCGAAGATCAAAAGTTGTTATACGGGACTGTAAGAGGATACCTGACAATTTAATAAAGTAATTAGATAACAGAACACGAGAAAAATAGAATTAGTCCGTACATTCCCTTGTTTATTTTCATTCTATACCTTATAAAAACATGGTAATGCACGGACTTTTTCTGTTTTTCTTTCGTGTTCTCTTATCTAGTGGCAGTCAATTCTTTTATGAATTGTCAGATATCCTCTCACAGTCTCACACAACAACTTTTGGTCTTGGAAGGAATTATTAGTGAGCAGAAATTCGCACATGTATCTGTTATCACTCGTCACTTCAGTCAGTTATATAAAGGGATGCCACGTGTTTTCCTTTGGCGTTCCGTCACTTCCGATTCAGGAAACCTGTATTACTCAGTTATCGTAGCAATGATCTCTGTGTTAAAATTATATTTGGAACGTGTTTAATTACTTCTATCATATATGTGATAATGACTGGCACCAATATTGTCCTTTAATTTCATTGAAGCGGTTAGTTTTTCTCAATTTCCTTTCTTTTGTCGTTTTTTATACACCCACATTTTCATGTGGACATTTGCTGTCGCCCCTGGACGTCTTTCCGTCCACAATTTGTTTGTGGACACTCTACAGGTCACAATTTTTATGCGGTTTGGAGTTATTTGGACGAATCTTGAAATAGGTCTATCTCCCAAAGCTCTTGCTTTCTTTCAATATTGGCATATATTATATATCGGACCATAACTTCCTGGAGTATGGCTCCTACAAGTGTATGGAAACTCACGCTTTTAGCTTGTGGACTCTCAATAGAAGTCACAATTTTTATCCAATTTTTTTTAAAAAAAAAGAAAAAAAACGTATAAATTGATCACCGTTACACCCTCGTGACGTTTTAGTTCCAATTCCGTGAAATTCGGACCAAAACTGTCGGACAAAATGGCCGCCGATCGTATGCAAATAATGTACAAAATATGGCATATCAAGGTTGTGGACCTTCTAGAGGCCACAATGTTTATCCGATTTTGATGAAACTTTAAATTTATGTTTATATCACAAAGATCCTGGTTCCTGTTGATAATCGCGTATATCCGAATATAACTTCCTATAGATTATGGTCATTGATTGTTCGTAAAATCGCACTTTTAGCTTGTGGACCCATGGCCGCTCTTTGTACACAAATTGTGTAAAAGTATATAATACGAAGGTTGTGGACACTGTTGAGGTCACAATTTTTTATCCGATTTTGATGAACTTTAATTATATGTTTATGTCCTAACGTTCTCAGTCCCTGTCGATATTTGTGCATTTCAGACCATAACTTTCCGGATTATGACCCCTGATTGAACGAAAAGTGGCTTTTGTTTTTAGCTTGTTCTCTATCTTTCTCGCGCAACCGCTGTTTTTTTTTTAGTAGGCCAGCATATGAAAATTACAGAAGACAAAAATACAGTGTAACATTTAAAGATTACTTTAGTGTTATAGGTGTTTTTTTTATTTTCACCGGTGTTAACACTAATATTAACCTAGTTTAGACACTGATGTTAACACTAGTGCTAAATTGAGGGGCTCAGGTTAAGGCACTAAAAAGAACACCAGTTATACACCACCACAACACAACCTTAACACGAGTGTAACTTGGGACTTGAATTGACCCATTGTATGCATTTTCCCCACTTCAGTTCAACTGCACTGTTTAGTATTTCTATTTATGGCATACGAAGAATAAGTACTCAGAATAAACCGTGAACTAGGAACTTATTATCCTTTATTGATGTCATGAATTGAAACATTCAGGAAAGTAGCCTACGAAAGCACTGAATTCACTCTGAGTGACAGTTTGATCTGTGTAGGCCTAGATCTAGGCTTATTATTAATGTTTAATACTAACAGTTTAATGTTATTGTCCGTTTGTAATATCCTCAATAATAACAATTTTTAAGTGTGGAGGTTTGTAAGATTTGGGAATCACGGTGGCCAAGTGGCTAAGACGCTGGCTCGCTAGCCTGGAGGTCGGGTGTTCGATGTCTGCATTGGCCGAGAAAGTTCATCCAGATTTTCCGCCGTGGTTCTCCCTTGTCAGTGATGCAGGACGGAGGGGCTGACAAGGAAAGCTGTCTAGTCGTTCGGATGGGACGAAAAACCAAGGTCCTGTGTACACATTGGCGTGCACGTAAAAGATCCCTTGACAGTTGGAATTCGATATAAGAGTAGGCCGTAGTGCTGCTGTCCGGGCAAAATTTCCCTCATAGCACACTGTATGGCATATGCCCGTCTTCATTAGCCCAGTTCGGAGCAAAACAGTAGGACGTTAAACCCCATTTCATTTCATTTCATTTGTAAGATTAATCAAGTTTGTTGAGGTTGATTATATTAGTAGGCTACTGGTATAGCATTAAACTCCATGCAAAGTCTGGTCTGTGTTGTTTTTATAAATTATCAGTAATACCAATATTGCTAATTTAAAGCGGAAATTGCAAATTTTCTAAGAAAGTCAAAACGTAATTATTTCTATGTCTTTTGCTCAATAGGTTGTCAACTCACAATTATATGATCATAGGTGTCATTCTCACACTTAAAACTCATTTACACAGGAAATAATAAGACAATTACCTCCCTTGTTTTCTATTCTCCACCATGGAGTAGCTTTTTTCAAACATTTGAAAATGAAGAGGAAAATGATATTTTTGCCAATTTCTCAGCTGGCAATAGTGAATTATAGGATTAATAGGATTATTCTTTAACAAGGTAGGACTGTTTAAAGATACCATCTATTTTCAGGCTTTATTTTAATAAATTTTAAAAATATAACTTAAAAATTTGCATAAAAGTTTGATAACAACAAAATTTCAGTTCAAGTATAAAAGAAAAATCTTTAAACCACATTTCAAAAAATAATTTCTTTATTTCATTTGTTTTAAAATAAAAAGAAACCAATCAATTGTGTACAAATAAAAGGTCATCAGTTTGAACAAAACAGGCTCGCTGGGACAGGCTTATATTACTAGTCTGATACCTATGTTTAGGTTTAATTTTTAAAAAACAAATTGGAGAAGCATCCAGTAACACCATACTAGCAAGACTTGATAATCTTTCAGATGCATTAAAATAACTGGATTGAATCTTATGAAAAACAGATACCGGTACTTATATACTTGGGTACCGGTGATAATATTTTGAGAAAGCTCTTCAAAAGGTCGTCCAATAATACATGTATTAGTATCTGTTTTCCAAGAGGTATTGTTCACTGATATATAATTTTTCTAAAATAAATAAATGTTAGTGGAGTTACCCAGAGAGCAATCTTATTTACCACAGACTTCTCTACACCTGTTTGTTTCAAATTTATATAATGACACCCAATAACTAAAATAAGGCTTTCTTTCTTAATGGGGTTTAATGTTCACATGATACAATGAAGGTCATTTTGGGACCAACATATCGTACACTTTTATTTCAATAATTGGCTAGCATGTAAGGTCCTTTAGCAGTGGGGGGGGGGGGGTGTATGAAAAAAAACCATGAGGTTGGACAGACAACCCTATTCCTTGTCACGCACAAGCTTGGGGATCGAAACCAATGTCAGACCTAATGATCTAAATAGAATGGATTCGCCCTGCCCCGACACACATTTAAATAAGAATAGCTTCCAAGACAATCTATCCATACAAGCATTGTAGTTTGAAACCAATTAAAAGTTATTTTTTATTGAAAAGGGTTTGATGCAGGAAAGGGTAATTCTTAACAATTATAAAGATGAACAGCAATTTGTTATAACAACTTGGGCTAAAACAGGTAGGATCGTCTCCATGGTAACCCAGTATTTCACAACCCAAGTCTTCAAAGATATCTTCCCTCCAGATATTCCATTAGATGATATATCCAAATTTGATTTGGAATCTAAATAAGGAAAACAATCAACAGAAATAATTAAAAACACCACACATTTTCGTTTTGTCATTATGAATATTCGATTAAACATAATATGATTTTTCATCACATTTAAATCACAATTGTTCTTTGGAGTTAATAGTCTTCCGAAAACTGTTTCAAATTGCCCTTTGAGGGCTTAGACTCTCTTTAATCAGTCATATGATTAATGAAACAGATCTACCTTGGTGTTTTGACTCCATACCAGTCAATTATTTGGTTAAATGCCCAAATCGATATTGAAAATAAATTTTTAAATCTGTCGGATAGTGGGGCCAAGATGACCTAATTATCCTAAAGGAATATACCTTTAATTAGAATTAAAGGTAGACCAACATGGAAGACAACTTGGTTTTAAAAATGCGACAATAAATGTAAAAAGATATAAATGCTAAACTATTATTTGTGGTTGTCTGTGATTGATACAGGGAAACTATTTGATATAATTGAGAACACTAACATTAATAAGTCAAATTTCTAAAAGGCAACTTTAAGTGAAAATACATGATAATAATAATACTATGAAACAGTCCTTCACGTTTAAGGGGAGCTTTCGCTCCTGCTCCTCTCGACGCACGTCGGCTTTCCTTCGAAGGAGTCATTAAAGACTCCTGCAAATTAGCTAAATCGCTCTCCTAAATATTGAGATTAATAAACTACTTTCAGTTTTTTTTACTTTTAAAATGCATATATTCAAGGTATCAGGAGCTTTATATGGCTCCCGCACAATTTTATAAACATGAAGGACTGTATGAAATGAAAGCATAAATATAAATACTTGTACATTGTCTGAGAAATAGAATATGGTTTTGGGTGGCCTTACAATTGTTTCATTATATAATATCATTGTAATAATTTGACTGAATAAAAATATTTTATATAATAAATAGAAAAGAAGAAAACATGCTGATTTCTAGTTCTGGGTCGTATTTCAAAATAACTAACAGAAATACTTCAGGAAATATTTAAATGTGATAATGCGATTGGCTGTAGTCCCAGATATTTTGGACAAAGTATATAAATCAAATGTAGGCATCAGAAGATACAGTACAAATAGTTCAAGGGTTTCAGAAGTGAACAGAGTTACGTAATTAATTTAAGGAATTCCATAGTTCAATTTTATGAGTGATGAGATAGTCGCAATGATCACCTACTTTGAGATAGCGCATCATTTGGGGACTTATTGCCAACCACACATGGAAACTGAAAATACGACAGAGTTCAGATAATTATGCAGGATTATGATAAAAGATTCTAAGTGTCCTTTACACAGAATTGACCCAACTGATTGACTAAATTATATCTGTGACAGCTCCTTTAAGTTGAGATGTTTTATCTTAAATTAATATCTTATTAAAATACAGATCTCTACTTTGTTTCGTTTTTTTATACTTTTGATGGCCCACACTACATGAAGATCTGACAAGTTGTACCGAAAGGTCGTGTCAGGGGTCGTACAAGCGGCTTTTGACCCTATGACATCATACATTGATTAATCAATCAGCGTTGAGGTTTCTAGTGGTTTACACACAGTTCCATGCATGGCACGCCAAGAGGTCGCCGTAACAGAGCGTTTCATTGGCTAATCCCTCACTTCAACCAAAACGCCGGTAATATAACAACTCTTCAAGATTCTAGTGTAGTGAAGACAAGTAAATCGAAATTTTGAACTATTAAAAACGAATGAAATAGGATCTGTGTTTTGATCAGATTGCTTAAAGTAGTACTTTTAGTTTGGGATATGTTCGTTTGTCACGACTTATAATATACATGAAAAGTAAATGCATTGGTGTTGAGATTTACAATTACTAAAGCCGCATTGATCTACATTACAAATTTTATACATTCTCCAACCCATTGAATCAATTATTCATCCATCCATCCATCCATTCTGATCAGAAGTAAATGAGACATGACTAGACCACAGTTAATGTTTGTTCACAACCTGTAGTCTTAAATTTTATAGCACATCTCAAACCCATAATGGGCATCCTCGCTGAAGAAATTCCCACGATACTTCACTGGTAAAACCTTGGTTCCACGTGACCTTATTGATGGTAAGAGAACCATATCGGGATTAAATTCCATATTAACGACAAAAACTACGTTTGTCAACACACCAGTTCTCAATGAATGTACAATGAGGTCACGTGGGACCACCTCACCTATAAATTATATCCCTTTATCTCTAGCGTGGACGCCCTTTGATCCTACATTCATGTTACCATAAAAATTAATATTGTAGGAATACAAATGCTCAAATGAAATCAGAAGTGATATTAAATAAGACATTACATCTGTTTTAAACTAAATAAATCCACCAAAAATGAAAGTAGTTTGTGCTAACAGAATTAACTGCCTAATCAATGTTTTTGTATCAAATTATGTATTAGAACTACTAATGTCATTGTTTGGGTTGCTGAAAGGATTTGGCTACAAGGGATGCTAAAGCTTTGTCTGCATCTCCATTACTTCTACGCAACTCTTCTAAAACAGCTTCCCGAGAGTAATTAAAGGAAATGAGGCGTTTTACAACTTCTTCTGGGAATGTCGGAAAAGACGTTGATGGAGATTTGGATGATTTGGAGGTTGATGGTTTATTGTTTGCTGAAATCAAATGAAAGAAATCAAGTAAATGCATTTCATTTACTATATAATATATAGTATATTTCATCAACTTTATAACACTACATATAGTCCAGTAACTAGACTCTAGTTCATTAAGGGCGTTGCTATGTAGACTCTAACCTATGATAACTTTCCAAATAATTTTAAATTATTTTTCAAACTCTGCTCCACATAAATTTGGTATGATCTTTAAAAAGACATCTGAAGCTGTGATTCAAGTCGTAGTTTGGACACATACCTCTTGTGGTTTTAGAGCTACAATGATTCGGATACTATTTTTTGATCAACCAAGGTCAGGGATTCCCTCCCTTTGACTGACTATCCTGCCCTATCCGGCTAAGTGAACGTTCCTTTCTGTTGAGGATTTATGTTTTCAGGGGAAAAGTAGATAGGTAATAACGTATCACCAAGAAATAGTTTGAAAAGTTAGTGCAAATCTTAGACATGGCGATGCCCTTAAATTCATTACACTACACTTATAGAATTCATGAAATACACTACAAATATAGTCTAGTTCATCCATACACTGTTATGTTTCGTAACACTACATATGTATAGTCTAGTTCATTAAATTCATAACGCTACATCTGTAGTCTATTTCATCAGTTTCATAACACTACATCTGTAGTGTATTTCATCAATTCTATAACCCTACATCTATAGTCGATTTCATCAATTCTATAACCCTACATCTATAGTCGATTTCATCAATTCTATAACCCTACATCTATAGTCGATTTCATCAATTCTATAACCCTACATCTATAGATGACCTATAACGTCTTCAAATGATGTAGTCTGTACTGTGGTGCATGCTTAAAGATACATTCTAACGAAAGTATTCATAGAGTAGTTAAGGTTCACTCGACACAAAAAAGGTCATTTTGGAATTAACATATGGTTCCATTTTATTTCAATAATTCGCTTGCACACTGACATAGTGGTTTTTAGCAGTGGGAAGAAACTGGAGAACCTGAAGAAAACCAACAAGGTTTGGCAAACGACCCTACTCCTTGTCACATACAACCTGGGAATCAAAACCAAGCCACTTGACTCAATGACAGACCTGATGAATTAACGTATTAAACTATTCGGCCACCCCCCACCATATATTAAAGATGTTGAAAATAAAAACCTAGTAATTGCGTTAAAGATCAAAGTTATCTGTGAATGTGACTCACCTGCCTCTTCTGATGATTTGGCTAAAGCTTGAGCTAATTGACTATCTTCATCATCTAATGATGTTCTACTTTCACCTGCAGAATTTAATCTGGCATGTTCTGGTACTTCTGATTCCGATAAAAACTTAGTTACTGTTCCTGTTGTTCCTATTTGTAATTCATTTTTAGCCATATCTATTATACACTGGAATTATAGGGACAAATTTATAGTCAGTTTCCAGTTATTTTAATATGAGAAAATATAGTCAGTTTCCAGTTATGATAAAAGGTCAAAGGACAGATTCGGGACATTCAGTTGTTATAGTTGACTGCTTATATTCCACATATGTGAATTTGGCTTCTAAGCACAAAGGATAACAGTTGGTGCACACAAAATGAATTTCAAGGTTGTAACCATAGAAACAGTCTATAAACTGTCTCACATGAAGATCATGTTCCTGTTGTCATGTCGGCCATTGGTTTTAAGGAAGGAATAAAAATTTTATGCAGAAAGACAAAATGGATTTAACACTCACTGCTGTTAATCTTCCAAAATTTGAACACCCTAGCCCAGCGAGAAGCAATAAGTGTGACAAACAGACGAACCCCATACAGTCCCCTACTTTTTTCGAAAGGCTGTTGGGCAGTAATCACTGTTACCCAGGTATCGTTTAATCTTGTGTATCTAGCACTTAATTTCTTTCACATTCGTTTAATATCAAATCTTTGTTTAAAAATTCGTACAAATCGTTTAAAATCACGAAAAATCATCTAATTTGTACATGTGTCCAGTTTAAAGCTGACTGGTTAATTTTGATAATGAGTGTCCAATTTACAAGTATTTAATTTCCTGATCACTGTTCAAAAATTAATCATTATACATCATTAATCAATTGGGTTGTTTATTTTTTTAACAATGATTGAGAAATTAAACAATTGTAAATTGGACACTCATTATCAAAATTGAATGGCCAGCTTTAAACTGGACAGAAGTACAAATTAAACGATTTTTGGTGATTTTAAATTATTTTTACAAATTTTTAAACAAAGATTTGATATTAAACGAATGTGAAAGAAATTAGTGCTAGATACACAAGATTAAACGATACCTGGGTTACAGTGAATACTAATAATCAAATGTTATATATACCTGATGTCTACGTAACATATCTAAACCTAATAACATATCCATTGGTTGATCTTCTAATATAGAAAAAGCGGACTGTAAAAAATCAGGACCTATCTGAATTTGACCTGTAAAACATACAGAATGAAAAATCAAGCATGACCAAACCTAAAGCTGTATCATCATTTAAGGGTTTGTTAATCCCTAGGCAAATACAATATTGTGAAAGTAGAATCAGTCTAAAAATAGTTGCATAACATTCAGTATTTACAAAGAAATGCTGACATGAAATTTTGCAAAATCAGGCATCTTTTCAGATGACATAATCCAGCCAGTGTCACCTATACGTGTTAAATAAAACATTTTGATGGGCTTCTTTTTAAACAATTGAATCCAAGATGGCAGACTGTTGAAGAATCCAGATCGTCAGAATGTAGACAACTAGATGGCCTCAGTCCTGGAGATATAATAGAGCAGATGTATTTATAGATTGAAACGCTAGAGGTAACACTTGGAAATAAAATGAAGTTTAACATGCTTATTTTCTGTGTCAACAGTATGCTATGAGGGAAATTTTGCACGGACATCTATTTCCAACTGTCGAGAGTTCATTTATGTGCACGGCAAACTGTACAGGGCCCTATTGTTTACAATCTGATTAAAAACACAGATCATATTTCGTTTTGTTTTTATAGTTCAAAATTTCGTTTTACTTGTCTTTACTACACTAGGATCTGGAAGAGTTGTTATAGAACAGGCGTTCTACTTGATGTAAGGGATTAGCCAATGAAATGGTCTGTTGCAGCAAGTTCTTGAGGTGCGATGCACAGAACTGTGGGTAAACCACTAGAAAAGTCAACGCTGATTGATTAATCAATGTCTGATGTCATAGGGTCAAAAGCCGCTCGTACAACCCCTGACACGACCTTTCAGTACAACTTTTCAGATCTTTATGTAGTGTAGTCTTTACTACACTAGGATCTGGAAAAGTTATTATATAATCCGCATTCTGGTTGATGTAAGGGATTAGCCAATGAAATGGTCTGTTGCAGCGAGTTCTTGGTGTGCCATGCATGGAACTCTGGGTATCCTACTAGAAACATCAATGCTGATTGGTTAATCAAATGTCTGACGCGACCTCCCACTACAACTGGTCAGATCTTCATGTATTAGAGGCCATCAAAAGTATAAAAAAACGAAATGAAATACAGATTTGTATTTTAATCTGATTGTATTGGTTAGTCCAATCCTAACACTGGAAAATCCTGGAGGAACTTTCTTGGGCAATTCATGAAAACGAGACCTCCTGGTTAGTGAGCCAACATCTTACTCGGTGAGTCACACTGGTTCTTATAACACTTTCAATACTACACAAATACTTACATAGATGTACTCTGCCTATAATTCTCTGTGTTCCCACACCTTTAGCAACACCTGCCCATCTTCTATCTACTAATCTCATTATATTACATCTCTCAGCACACGCTTGACTCATTATCGTCATCTGAGCACCTGTAATTATATTAAACTCAAAAGTAATACCACTTCACTTAACATTGTTTAGGGTTCAATTGAAGTGTGTCATAACGTAATATTGACTAATCAAAGTAGGGGAGCTAGCTGACCGTTGTTCCTAAACTCCCGGACAAAATTGGCATTATGCCTAATGGAGGCACCATGATGGCCGATGATCAGAATGGAAATTCTTAAGTGAAACATAATCGACTTTTTCTGCGACTTCGGGGGTGTACAGCCCCTAAACCCAGGGGATGTGCAACTTAAGAATTCCCATTCTGATCACTGGCCGTCATGGTGCCTCCGTTAGACATAGTTCCAATTTTGTCCTCGAGTTTAGGAACAACGGTCAGCTAGCTCCCCAACTATCAGAATCAAACACTCTACTGACTTCCTAAGAGTTAATATTTCATTTATTGATAAATAAATGAACCCTCGTGTATTGTTAACCATGTTTTATCAAACAATTTCAAAAGTTGAAACTAATGGCTTTTTAAGTAACCATTAGTATTTTCCTTAAAGATTGAGAAAACAAAATTTGTGTAGCAAAACAGGTGATCTCAAAGACCCAAAATTCAAATAGGTGTAGTCTTAATATAAGATGACATGTACATTACAGATATATTTAAAATAATTTGTGACTGAACACAAATCAGAAACATCCAGAATTCGATGTAGCCTACATAATTTGATACGATACCTGAATCTACAAAGGCTTTAACTGGATGACCATTGACTTGACAATCTATATATAACATAATAACTTGACCAAAACTTTCTGGAGCAAACTCCATTGCTGTTTCCATGTTGGATTCTACATTCTTTAACCTGAAAATTAGAAAAAAACAATTAACGTCAACTGTTCTGCTATCATAAGCTTTTAATTGTACATAAAAAAAAGAAATTATTGAAATGTTTCATAACCCCATCTCAATTAGAAATCAAAGTTACTACGTTTCAAGGCATTGATCAATCAACCTACATGTACTTATCATCAAAGTCAAGACATTCACCTAGTGAACAACTACGTCACGTTAAAACATGCTACATAAAAGAAGTGAGATACTGTTTTCCAAAGTCTTGACTACAAAAATTACTTATCTCGTACTAGTATTACACAATGGTTTTTTCTGGGTTATATTCCCGATTTTGCCTTTCAATTTTGAGTTAAGTCTGTATCACTACAGTCCTGGGACTGTACAGTGCAGTGGATGCTTACGGCTAGCCACTGGATCAATTCACTTTATCTGATGTGTTCGTTTGTTTGTGATTTCTGCATATTCTGCATAGTTTTGTTTTGTGTGATTATGTGTGGTGCAGTCCCCCTGCACTTTTTATAAGCATAAGCAGAAAACACCCCTCATCTAGCTCAGTAAAGACTTTCATGTAATGAACATCAACACAAAAAATTCTACCTCCATTATAAGCATGGTAGTCTGGAAGAGATTCAAAATCTCTCGAATGACAATCAGCGACTATTGATTGACCATGTCTAATTTGTAAATATTACTTATGAGTTCAATCCTTGCCTAATTTCTTCAGCTATCATTTTTTGTGCCTCAGGATCGAAAGGATTGGACTGTAATAATCTAATTCTTTCTTGATCTTTATCTTGCCGATCTTTCTGTTGTTTACGAAAAACATCTGCAAATTTTGCTGTAAAAAAGGTACCAGTATATTAATTGTTTTACTTGTGCTAGTTTCCCACTATCACGATTTTAATTGTGAATTAATCGTGGTGATCCTATCAGGTCTTATCATATATTGTGGTCAGTCGTGGCAATTGTGTTGATCGTATTGAAACGTATCTGCTTGTTCCAGGTCGTACACTCAATAGGGGCATGACAGTGGGAATTTAGCATTACTTGTCATTTTGAGACTAACATGTATGATAAATTTTATTACAATGGTTACAGGTGCAATGTGAGGAGAATTCTGTCTAAATGTTATACTGACTCACAATGGCAACCACAAATCTGCTGTAACCATATTTTGATTGAGAGAGATAGCTTGTTGCGTACATTTCATGTCATATAGGTGATATCATAATCAATATAAAATAAAAACTATTCACCCATATTTTCATAAATAAATCATAGAAAAAATCATATCATAATAACCACATTTAATTTTGCTTTAAAGATGGGTTCCCGCTTACTAACTGGGTGATTTAATGGTATATATGGACTAAAAATATATTCAAACTAATTAATTTGTCATAACTTTGCTTCAAATCCGTCTCAAACATTGTAATTGTGAAGGAATGTCCTGCTATAAAAATTTGATCAAACCAGGTCATGTTTATGTCACGTCTTGGAAGTCAGAGGAGAATTCATTGCATACATAAGACGACGTTGTCTTTAATCGCTGACTATTTATTAAAAATATTGAATCCTAATTAAATTCTCAGATTATCCACTACCTGCGTCTTTTTCTGTCATTTTTATCTCAAAAAGTGTTGTACTTCTAACTCTTCATAAAGTTTATCAACTTGTACATCAAGCGCTCAATGTTCGCGTGTGACCTTTGACACCATGCATGCAGAAATTCCTAATCGTCGGGCTGTTAATTAGGGGAACCCTTACATTTTTGTCCTGTATACGCTCCATGAGTGTTTTTCGGGGAATCCAGTATTTTTCTAGTAAGATTGGATATCTCTACTTTCCATACATACCAAAATTACCATACTTTTATTGGAAATAACCACCCGATAAATACTTTTCTGGGAACCCATCTTTAAACATATACTAATGTCCAAAAGAAAGTATACACACTAAAAATATGACTAAGTTTTTTTTAAATCAACAAAATGTGATAAAACTACACTGAACATCTCTCGTGCGTCCAAACTCAATATTTCTAAGCAAATAAAGGGCAAAACAAATGGATATTGTAGCAAAATACCGCATACAATGGAAATAGGACTTTGTTTGAATCAGGACGAAATGCACAGTGTATACTTTCTTTTGGACATTAGTATATATCATGAACTTATACGATTTATTCACATGGCACGATGTATGCCCTTCTTCATTAGCCTCAACGGTGCAGAACATCTCCTTTCCAAAGTTAACTTGTAAATAATTACCCGCATCATTGATAGCTTCAGCTAATGGAGGGTTTCTTTCTTTAATTATGGAGGCTTCATGTGGATTTGATAACAACATTTGACGAATGGTTTCTGGGTCTTCTAATCGGGGATCTGATTGCGAGATAGCAGGCTGTTGTTGTCTTGTACCTTGATGTCCACTTGAACCAGGTATTTGAATGCTGCCAAAATCTATCTGTGGTAATGCTGAAATCAAAGAAAGTGTAGTCTGAAGTATTTGATTCTTTACTAGCATTTTGATGGCTATTAGCATGGCATACTCACGATTTTATTATTCCCAATTAACCAGTGCATAGCAGAATATTGCAGAAAAACTAACTGTGTGACAAACGAGGCTATCAACACGGATACAATGTAAACAATACTGTTTGGAGACGAACATACTTTCACCGTTTTTAATACCTTAAATCACTGTCCAAAGTTTTAGGGAAGACCCCAGATTAAACGAAGGGCTGTCATCTTGCTGTAGGTAGGAGAGGTTTGATTGAACGGGAAGAATAGACACACTCCCTCAAAAGCTCAAGTATCAGAAGTCAATCCAGTAATGGCCAGAGAAGGATTTCTCGGGCCATTACTTCAGGAATATGTTAGGATGGTTGCTTCTGAAAGATAAAAGTCTGCTTTTGGCAATTTTTCAGAACCGTCAAAGGCTTAGCGGTTTTGACAATTATCACACAGATTCTATTCCTACTACCTTTCCAAAGATGTGTTGTGATTCTGCCCTTTATATTGAAAGAAAACTACTAAATCCTACATGTACCTTCCAACAGTGACTCCTGCTTGTTTCGCAAGATATTGTCGACACTCTCTAATGTTACGATTTGCAACGTAAGTTAGTTATTTGTAACAGTATTAAACTAGTACATTTCCCTAGCTTGATTATGTGTTGATTGGTAAAAAACACTTGCATTCGACACCCCGTACTCTGTCAATTTCAGTGACAGTTTTATAGGCATATAACTTCACCGAACACGAATTGGCAACCTAGAATATTCGCCTAGCGGTAGATTCGACTGATCAAGCTGATCAACTTGATCATAATACAAATCAAAATATAGCAACGTTTACCTACATTCTTGTATGTACCATATATATATTGCTCTAAACAGGTAGGTATTACATGATATTAAATAAAAAAGACATTCATTTTCTTGTTGGAACTGATTATGTCTCTTTCAAAGAAAGGGAAATCGAAAGTAGAATTGGAATCTTATTTCCTGTTATTCATAATAGCCTGCTGGAGTGATTGATGAGTCAATGAATGGGTGGTGCCGTAATGATAATTGCTTTACCAGAGCTTGCTGTTGTTCTCGGACCACCAGTTGATCCAGCGCCAGCTCTCATTTGCTGTAAAAGTAACATCTCTCCACTTGATATTCCATACTGTTGTAATGTTTTTTTATTGTCCTGAAGCGGCCGTCCATTCCAAAGAATTGCAATTTCATGAGAGGGAATTCCAGTTTCAAACTCACACAGGGCCTTAAAGTTTTCAAGTTCTAGGTCCTCTGATACTTCAAGGGTAAAAATCTGGTCTGTAAGAGTTGTGATAGTTAACTGCATTTTGGTATGATAAAAATCATTGATCTTTTGGCAAATTAACAATGACAGCGTGTACTATTTAGAAACACCGTGAAATTTCCGGTTGTTTACTAACCCACTGCGCATGCACAATATAAACGATCGTTCAACGGCGATAACTCCATTTCAGCGTTTAATGAATCAGACCACTGTTCTCTCTACATTGACTTCAATGTTTTAACATTTAAAACTATATATGTCTCTTGGCACTAATATATTGTTTAATCTTACGTGGATTCTAATCTTTTTTGCCAACATAATTTATTTTAGACCAAAAATTAATATTTGAGAAGTAAAATGTTTTTTTTGTTTTTCTATGTATGTATGTGTGTGGGTGTGTGTGTGTGGGTGGGGGTGGGGGGAAGGATCCATACAACAGCTAGGCCTACTAAAAATTTTTTCACAGCCACTCCAGAGTTTCAAGTTTTTGCATTCAAGTATGACTGAATGGTCAGCTAGAGTTTAAACTCAATTTTAATTGATTAAAATTGCTAGAAAACTCAAAACTGAGATTGTGTTCATACCATTGAAATCACGCTAAAGGTACCCCATCATTATGAAATCGAAAGAGAAAGAAATGGGGTTTAACATCCACTCGACATAAACTAGGTTATTTTGGGACTTAACATATGGTTCTATTTTATTTCAATAATTCGCTTGCGCGTAGATGGTCTTTGTGGGAGGAAATTGGAGGACCCGGGGAATCAAAATCATGCCAGTTGACTCAATGACAGACATTATGATACAATGTGTACGCACTAACCATTCGACTATCTACCCCCGCCCCCTGGCAAAATTAAAATCAGTACGCATGATCAATGCCAGTCTTCATTAGCCCAGTTGGTGCATTGAACAGTAATAGGAAAACATGAAAGGTGTGTCTCTGACCCTACATATTAGAATTCCAAAACTCTCTGACCCAACATATTAGAATTCCAAAAAGAAATTTACTTTGCATTATTATCTCATTACTTTTATTCCATAAACATAAATTATATACAATTACATTTTACACAATCAAAAGATTTTATGAAACTAGAATTAATTTAAACAAGAGAGAGAGAAGAGAAAGAGAGAGAGAGAAAGAGAGAGTTTAAACTAGGTCATTTTGGTACTAACACTTGGTTTAATTTTATTACAATAATTCGCTTGTGGGTAGGGGTCTTTAGCAGTGGGAGGAAACTGGAGGACCTGGAGAAAGCCCACGAGGTTGGACAGGCAACCCTAGTACAAGGAGGAATCGAAACCAGGTCAGTTGACTCAATGACAGACCTTATGATACAGCACACACATGCTAACCATTCAGCCATCCAACCCCCTAATTTAAACAACATGAACTAGATGTTTTGACTGTCTAAGTGATCTCTTGGCATCTTTAAAAGGTTCAGTTTCTGCGAAGTCCTGACTATCTGTAACCATATCCTCTAGATCTCTATAAGCTTCAACTAATTTTTTCTTCATAAACTTTTTACTTGTTTTCTTGTCCATTAGTACATTTACTTTCCTTGTAATCTAGAAAAAAAAAATGTTGTGAATTAAAATAGAAATTTAAAGGACACCCAGATGTAAAAATGTTGCTGAAAATTCCCCTTGTGGTGACAAAGATACATGGACATGTTGCCAGGCAACAAGCACATGCTCAGCAGCAGCTTTTTAAAGAGTGGCTTTGAGGATCAGGGAAAATACTAATGCATGAAGAAGTTAATAGTGCAAGTCTTAAATTTATCCATATGATAGCCAAAAAGTCCCAAGATTGAAAAAAGATTCCCGAAAACTTCAAGCATAAATAATTTTGGTGACAGGGGATGTAACTCTGCGAAAAATTGTCCGGGGACTCAGATTTTCAATAGGGCATCACCTTAAGCTAGATGAACAATTCCAACTACATGTAGTTTGAAAAAAAAAGAATCCCATTCCATAAATTTCATAATTGAGGCCTCACATTGGTGACATTGGTACCCCCCCCCCCCCCCCAATGGAATCCTGATTATGCTTTAATTAAACATACTTTTGATTCTTCCAGTCCATCCTGGCGAAGTTTTTTGATGTCTCCCTCCAGATATTTGACATCTTTAGTCAATGAAGTGAAACTGCTAGCAACAGTATCAACCACAGCAGCTCTTCTCTTCAGTTCATCACCTATTACAGAATTCTCTGAAGAAGGAATAATTTAAAAAAGAACTATTTTATTTATTAAGTTTTATAACATATAGTATATGGGTCTGTCAGACATACATTGCATGGAAAGAAGTAAATGAAAATGAAATGAGGTTTAACGTTCTACTGTTTTGCTCCTATACTGGGCTAATGAAGACGGACATACGCAATACCGTGTACTATGAGGGAAATTTTGCCTGGGCAGCAGCACTATGGCCTACTCTTATATTGAAAACCAACTGCTATGGGATCCTTTACGTGCACACCTAAGTATACACAGGGCCTCAGTTTTTTTTATACCATCCGAACGACTAGACAGATGTCCTTGTCAGGCCCTCCATCCTGCACAAGGGAAAACCATTTCAGAAAAATGGAAAGAAGTGCACTCTGTACTTTATAACGGAGCTGTAAAGAAAGCTCTGGTGTTTGATTATGCTGGAGAAAGATACACTCAAGAAAGCAACTCTAGCTAATAATTGCTCTGCCTAACTCCTTTGTGCATTTGTTTGTATTGTGTACCCTCCTGGGAGTTAGCTTACCTTGACTCATTTCTAATTCTATATAGAAACAGAATATAAGAGAGATTGTGTATTTCTTCAACAGAATACGCGGTCATGTTGAGACTATCATATTTTATCTTTGTTTATATTGTCATGTTTGCAGTGCCATGAAGGAGAGTTTGACAAGAACAGCAACATTTTTGCCTTTTATTCATTTAATTACAACTATAAAGGGTTCTTTTACATGCACTTGGCTCGCTAACCTTGAGGTTCCATGTTCGGTGCCTGCGTTGGCAGAGAAAGTTCATATGGATTTTCCGGGGTGGTTCCCCCTTGTCAGTGGTATAGTTGTTTGGATGGGATGAAAAAGCGAGGTCCTGTGTACGCATTGGCATGCATGTAAATAACCGTTGACAGTTGAAATTCGATATAAGAGTAGGCCCTAGTGCCGCTGTTTGGGCAAAAATGTCCCTCAGCACTGCATGGCATATGCCCGTCTTCATTTGGAGAGTAGGACGTTAAACCCCATTCCATTTCATTTCATTTACATGCTCACCAATGTGTACTTGCATGGACCTCAGTTTTCCATCTCATCCAAAGGACTAGGCAAAATTGTACTGTTCAGCCCCACAGACACTGAAAGTGAGAACTTGACTTGAAATATTCTACAAATTCTTTGCTGGGGTATCCTAGCCAAGAGTTGAGTGCCCTTACCTCTTGATTGATCAACTTGGAGGATAAAGAAAAAGTACTGAGGACCTTAATCACCCGATGAATAAAGATCTGATTTGGAGATTATTTTGAGATTTTCTGCCATCTTTTAATATTGACTTAATGGAACAATACAAGAATAAAAGGAAATTTAGGGAAAACTAGCACAATCCACCTTTTATCAATATTGTACATCCCTGGCTATAGCTTTATGAGTTTAAAATATTACCAAGACAATGCTGTCCTGTATAGGTTCACAAGCTTGAAAAGTTAAGAATGTAAGGGAAATAACCCTCAGATATGAATTTTATTTGGTAGACAGAGAGAAATTGGGTTTAACGTCCACTCGACACAAACCAGGTCATTTGTGGATGAACTTTCTTGGCTAATCCTGGGATTGAACACTCACATAAAAGCTTGGTATATTTAAAGAAAAAAAATAATACAATATTCCAGGTTTTATTACAGGGTGTGTGATATTTGAAATAACATTTAAATAAATAACATTTTTAAATATATAAAAGCTTAGTAATTATATATAAACACATTTTTATACCTATATAAACAATACAACAAATAATACAATGTTGTAAAATAAACAAATGACTGTACATACATCAAGTGGTAACAATAATAATAATAATAATAATATCAGATTATAATTATATGAGTGGTTCCCAAACGGTGTGTGACAAAAAGCAAAATTATATGTCCCAACATAGTCCAAACCACGAGTGCAATTTTCTCAATCATAACTCTGCTACTTTTATTGAATAAAGAAATAAGTATAATCTTTGAGTGACATTTAGCGATCGGGAAACACATTAACAGAAAACAGTTTTTATAGGATACAATCACTAGTTTTATTCTAAAAGCAAGATGTTTTGACAAATATCCTCTTATCGTTATCAAGCACCACGATAAGAGGATATTTGTCGAAACGTCGTACTTTTAGAATAAAACTAGTGATTGTATCCCATAAAAACTGTGTTCTGTAAAGAAATAAGTAAGGTACATATAATTTTTCGGTATTTATAATTACCTATATTTCTACTTTATGCATTGTTCATATATATAAATACCTCTTTTGAATAATTTATGTAAAAGGTGTGCCAAAAGTGACCTGTGAGTATAAAAAAGTTTGGGAACCACTGCCTTATATAGTGTGTTATACTTGTCATGGATACTGGCTGATATTAAGAACAGAATAAACATTGTGGGAATGGTTGGAATGTCTATAATATAAATGTGTCTATTTGAATAATAAATTCAATTCCTACAAAATAAACTTACAACAACTGAAACAGGTCTGACTTGTGTTAAGGCACTTTATATTTTAAAGATTAATGCTATGATGATGACAGCTACACATAAAATGTTATTGCTAAAGGTATTTACATGTTCAATCTGACTAAAATACAGATCTATATTTTGTTTCGTTTTTTTATACTTTCGATGGCCTCTACTACATGAAGATCTGATCAGTTATAGTGGGAGGTCATACAAGTGGCTTTTGACCCTATGACATCAGCCATTTGATTAACCAATCAGCGTTGATGTTTCTTGGGGGTTACCCACAGTTCGGTGCAATTTACGCCAAAAATTTGCCGTAACAGACCTTTTCATTGGCTAATCCGTCGCATCTTCCAGAACACGGGTTATATAACAAATCTTCCAGATCCTAGTGTAGTAAAGCCAAATAAACCGAAATTTTGAACTATAAAAAACGAAACGAAATAGGATCTGTGTTTTAATCAGATTGAGGTATTTAAAGAACAAGAAAACTGATAAATAATAAACTGAATAAATAAAATAACTATTATTATGATCTCTTGGATCACTACAAGAGGCGGAAAAAATTGAGAAAAAATAAAAGGGCAGGTAGACATACCCTTGACATTGTATAGTGGACAATCTGTTGTCTCTAATAATAAGTGCAAGACTGCACCAACATAACAACCAAACAGAAATCCATAAGACAATCCCCGGACCAGACGCATAACACACACACATTGTAAGTAACAAAACATACTAGTGCGTAACAATCCAACGGGTTGTACAGACGCAAGCCCGAGTGATACATTCAGGCTTCACATAAAATGGCAACAAACTAACAAGGGAGGCAACCCACAACACGGAAAGGGAAACAACTTGCATTTCATGAAATACAAATGATTTGGTTGAATGTATTTACGTATATCACAGATATATATCTTGTTGGTTTATGGCGGCACAATAATAACTTTTAATAAACACCATACCCCTAAATATCCACAGTGAACAGATATTAGTTAATAAAATATAGTGTTTCTTAACCACTAACACAACAATGAAAGCTATTAATAATATCAGAAATAATTAAAAATATATTTCTTAGTGGTCCAACGAGAGTTGATTTTAAAATTCAAATATTCTTAGTCATTATTCGAATGCTATTTGAATATTTGATAGAAATTAAATGAACAATATTTGAATCCCTTTCGGTGCTTTTTCAAATTTTCTGAGATTGTGAATTTTTAAAATCAATATATTTTCAATATTTCATTGTTTTTTTTTTAATATCAATTGACTGCATTCAAGTAATATTATAAAATATCTCCTATAGGAGACAAAAAAAATATCTAACTGCTTTAGTCAGAAACAATTTGAATGAAAATAGTTGAATCTTAAGTTAGTACTAATATTTCTGTCCTGTTTGTCGTATCCGTTCATATTCTGCCATTTCTATCAGTATTATCACTATATTACTACAAAATAGTCTTCGATCGAATTCACAAACTTATTTATAGCATATATGCACAATGAAGTATTCGGTCCGGCCTTAAGAAGCACACTGATATCTAGTAACGCATACTTCATATTGACAGTAATCACTAACACACAATAATCCACAAATAAACTTTTATCTCTTTGCAAACTTTCTTTTGTTAAAATAGAAAATGATCTAGTTGCGAATGCTTAAATCCCAGGAATAAATCGGTTAATTCCATCTTCTCTACACTACTGGTATATATTGTTAGTGAAGTGTTATCTGTACTATGGCGTGACTCTGTCCGTTCCACAGATGAAGCCGATTAATTGGTGGCTATTTTAGTAGAGATTATAAAATCCAGATAAAGAAAAAGCACTGAAGCCTCTAGAGAGAGATCTACCTTCCACCCTTACCAATTGGTTTCGTCACAGTTGTCTTTTTAGGAATTTTCGTTTGTGTTTGGGCTGAAAGACAAAAAAAAAGTTAAGATGGCTTCAATAGCTTTACATTATGTATAAAACATTCATTTGATTGTCCAAGTCCAGTGTTTGGAAAATTGAAAAAACAACTTTAATCTAAATATAGGGTTGTGTATAATGAGCTACCTGGAAATAAGGCACCTGTCACAATGTCAGACACAGGTTCAAGCTTTGTCAGGCACAAAACCTCTGGTGCCTGTCATTTTGTCCGGCACTGATTTGTCCGGCACTAAGTTGAAAATGTCAGGTACTACTTCATTAGTGCCTGACATTTTGTCAGGTACATCTAAAACCGTTATTTCCAGGCCTGGCTACATGGAATGATTTGAAAATATCAAATAGTCTTCAAACAGTGTTGATAAAAAGCAGTCGTCACAGCGATCAAAATATACAACTGAGTATTTATGATGGTATAATGGTCATATCTGTAGTAATAACAAGTGGCAACTAGTATGTATTACATGGATTTTATTAAAGGAGCATTATGAGAGATTACATACAGAGTTAGTTCTCGCTATAATAGTTCAAAAATAGATAACGTAAATAGAATGTGATGAAAATTGTTCCACTCTGAACTGAGATATTGGCGATTGAATTTCATCATTACTAAAGTCACAATTATCCATTTTTATGTTTAATTATTTTTTAAAAATTGTATTCCAATCCGCTAAATATCGCAGGCTAGCGATGGCATTGAGAGTTGATTATGGTCTGGATGAGTTAATTAATGTCTAATTAATAATTTACATAACATTTCAGGCCTAAAGAAGAACCTCCATTATATTGCCTAAATCATGATTTAACTCAGTTTCAAATTCTAAAGTGATAGTTGAATATTTTTTAAGAAAGTCAAAACACAATTCATTTCTTTTCACTGGAAAACTAAGTCTGTGGGAGTTGTCTGGATTGTCAAGGCCTGTGGTCACACACATAAGGATAATGATGCCAGGTTGACCAAGACAACCTGCACGTGTCATATCATTCTAATAATAACACCGTTCAACAGACAATTGTGTCTAGATTCCATGTGTTTGAAGACGTTTTTTTAAAACTATTTTAAAATGACTGAACAAATGCAACTATCGCTTTAACATAGGGATAGAAAGAAATGGGGTTTAACATCAACTCACTACAAACTAGGTCATTTTGGGACTAACATGTGGTTGAATTTTATTTCAATAATTTGCTTGCGCATAGGGGTATTTAGCAGTGGGAGGAAACCACACCAATTGACTCCATGACAGACCTTGTGATTCAACGCTCACGCATTAACCATTCGGCCACCCAACCCCCCAGGGCTTTAACATGGACCACACTATCTACAGACATATTTCTCATGTACATGACAATGCCACAAAGTCTGGATTTTGGGAGAATAAAATTAATTTTAATAGTAATTTTAAATGAATGATAGAATTGTTGCTACCTGGTGGATGTTTGCTGAATAAAAGAAGCCTTCGAGGATTTTCCTTACAGCCATCTTTTGACATGAGATGATTTTTCCAGCTATCATCGCCCGGTGATACGTTTATGTGACACAATGGACAGTGAGTACTGTTAGCTTTAGCAGCTGTAAAAAAAAAAAATAAACAAAATAAAATATCTCGAAGAAAAACATTTGGATCTGTATTCTAATCAAACTGGTCAGGTATGATAAAAGGTTGCCATATTGGATAATGAATAATCACTATGGCGATGCTCGAATGTCAGTCCGGAAAGTTCTGAATTGTCAGAATTGCAATTGAGTGATGTGGAATTCAGTTGCATCACATTTCGGTCAGTCCTGATAACAGAGGTGGTGTAAGTAGAATCGTGACGTAATTAAACACAACCGATGTGTCTCATCTGTCATTGTTGGTTGAGATGTTTTCTTATGCAGTCAGCACAATCTCCCTTTTCACTCGATAGTCAGTATTTTGGGGGATTGAATGAAATCAATTCTGGAACGTTCAATTGTGTATCCCCATTATCTTTAAAGCTTTCAATTCCATGTTCAAGTTTGTAACAAAGAGGTCAACTTACGGGTACATGATTTCTCTGCTATGTGTGAATCATAGTCTGATTTACTGACAGCTTCTGAACATCGTGGACATTTCTTAAATGTATCTTTTTTCTCACAATCTTCAAGTAAATGATCAGTATAGCTGGCAATTTCTACAACCTAGAATAACATATATTTATATACATGTAAATGTAATACACGACACATGACGATAAGTTTAGCAATTTTCAGAACAGATGGTGTGAGGAAATTGGAGGACTTGCAGAAAACCCACGAGGTTGGACAAGCACCCCTACTCCTTCTCACTTGACTCAATGACAGACCTTACGATTTAACATGCAAGTGTTAAACCACTAGAGCCAGCACCTTACTCACTGACACTCACAGGATACCCAGGGCCGTAACTAGCTCAGAGCAATGTGAGGGGGCAGGAGGTGTTCTCAGGGGTGCTGTAATATTGACGGACAATGTGTATCAATTTTTTTTATGGTCTAAAATTTTTTCACGGGGGAGGGGGTGGGGACTTTTGGCAGAGGGGCTGTGTACCCGGGGGGGGGGGGGGGGGGGGGACTTTTTGCAGAGGGGCTGTGTCCCCCCCCACCTAGTTACGGGCCTAAGGATACCTAGCTTCGCCCGGTGGCCAGTAAATTTGATACTACACATGTGAGGATGGAGCTCAGCGCCGAAACATGATTCACCTAATGCCTTGGCACAATTTTCCTGGGGCCTAAATTTGATGGCCTAAAACATTCACGGGTTCATGCTAGTTAATATGATACCACGTATGTGGGGGTGGATCGCTGCAACGAATCGTGATGGGTGAACATACACAGACATCTTTCATTTTATTCATATAAATTGATCATAGCTAATTAGTGACAATTATCAAGCTGACGGGACAAACATCTCACCTGTCTACAATAATAACATCGTTTTAATAACGGACAATTCTTCCAATAATGTACATCTAAACCTTCTTCGGTAAATGTTGGGTTACGTTCATCACAGAATATACATACACTGAAGTTAAATATTATATATCATAACATGACACAATGTTTCCAGTTAGATTGGCTTGCAAATAAAATTAAAGTATTTATTTGTCTTATAAAACTTACTTATCTATATCAAATTGATGGTAAAACTTACTTATCTATATCAAATTGATGGTAAAACTTACTTATCTATATCAAATTGATGGTAAACCTTACTTATCTATATCAAATTGATGGTAAAACTTACTTATCTATATCAAATTGATGGTAAACCTTACTTATCTATATCAAATTGATGGTAAACCTTACTTATCTATATCAAATTGATGGTAAACCTTACTTATCTATATCAAATTGATGGTAAAACTTACTTATCTATATCAAATTGAAAGAAAAACTTACTTATCTATATCAAATTGATGGTAAAACTTACTTATCTATATCAAACTTATTATCATCGTCTGGCGTTGGTGGTTTACGTGGAGGTAGTTTTGACTTAGATTTACTTTTTGGGTCAGCTTTCTTCTGGAAAAAAGATTTCGAAAAATTTAGTGCTGTGTCAATTTCTTTCCCAGAAACGATGTATTTTATCTCACCCCCATTTTTCACTTCAAATTCAGTATCTTCTCCTGATACTGATGTCTTGATTATCAAATATGAACCGTAAAAAATCAAAGGGACTATTTTACTGAGCGGAACATAGGGTTCAATATTTATTTCAATAATTCGCTTGACTGTAAGGGTTATAAGGAGTGGGAGGAAACTGGAGAACCCAGAGAAAACCCACGAGGTTGGACAGGCGACCCTACACCATGTCACGTACAAGTGGGGAATCGAAACCACTTCCCTTGACTCAATGACAGATCTTGTGATTTCCCCCCCCCCCGAAGTGTTTGAAAGAGAACAGTATGAAACTGCTTCACACTCACTGACCAATAAACATGCTTTTACGTACTAACCTTATCTTTTGATTGGACTGTTTTTTTGTTTTTAGCATCTTTGAGGATATTTTCATCCACAGGCTGAAGCAAACACAAAATTACATAATAATTATTATTTCTTTCTAAATTGTGTCAAAGAGTAATGCTTAATTAAAGAAGCTGAATCTCTTCAAATTAAGTCAAAATACAGTGCTGAATTGACATTAACAATGGAAGTTTTGGTACAATAAATATCTTTCTACATATCGTCACGTTTCTTGCAAAATGACATATTAAGAATTATGCATTTGAAATTGATGTAAATTGCATCTGGTGTGTCGTTTCTATTTGATGGCCACAGAGATAACAACAGGGCGCAAGTTTCAAAGGCATTTTTCTCAATACTTGAATATATCAAATTCATCAGTTCGAGAGAAACATGACGATATAAGCAGAAGTTAATTTGTACGCTAATTTTAGTTTCATTCTTGGCCTTAACTGTCAACAGAATCAATTCTATTTCAACATTGCCTCTTGGTTTGCTGTGGCCTTAAAATTCTATCTGTAAACAGACACAAACCAAAACATCAAATTTAATTATATCAACACTTTCACTTTTTATACAAAACAAAGAAGTTAAGTTATTTTAAATTAATGTCATAGATTTAAACAGTTGTTTATCATAACAATCAACTAATAAAACATAAAATTAAACTTGATGAATTTACTTCCATTTAATATGTATGTATCATCTTATAGTAGTTTTCTTTAGATTTGCCATAACATCATTAGATATTTTGTGTAAATTTACTCAAAGAAGTTTTAACTCTCTCTGTAAATATGTGTTCACTGTAAATATTTTTGATGAATGTATGGCGGGGATTGAATAGTGAAAACGCATACAACTAGTGTGGAAATATTTTGTAGTGATCTGTGCTTCAAACATAGAAATTGTGCAGTTTATATCATGTGCTGTAATAGAAAAATAAATTGAAATGGGGGATTAGTGTCCTACTCTTCGTCTCCGACTGGACTAATGAAGACTGGCATATACCATTCAGTTTACAATAAGGGAAATTTTGCCTGGGTAGCGGCACTATGGCCTACTCTTATATATTGAATTCCAACTGCCAAGGGGTCTTTTACGTGCATACCAAGGTATACACAGGACCTCGGTTTTTCATCCCATCCGAACAACTAGATAGCTGTCCTTGTCAGGCCCTCTGTCCTGTACCACTGACAAAGGGAAACCCAGTTGGAAAATCCCGATAATTTGTATTAGAAGATGGAATGAGTGCAGTTTGTGTGAAAGTATTGTGTTGTCGGTAAAAGATTTTGTGATTTGTAAACCAGAGACAGAGAGGTTGGATTTAATATATGTCAACAGATTACAATATCTAGATCAATTTGTGCTCATATTGTGTTGTCAATATAGAGTGATTGGGTTTAAAGTCTGCAGATTACAATATCTATATGAATTTGTGCTCAGATTGTGTTGTCAATATAGAGTAATTGGGTTTAAAGTCTGCAGATTACAACTAGATCAATATGTGCTAAGATTGTGTTGTTGGTAAAAAGATATTGGGTTTAACTAGGGCAATAAGTGAATGACATAAATTATTTAAATATTTCACTTCCACTGTATGATATTTGATGTAGGTATAGAGATATTGGGTTTAACTAGGGCAGTAATTAACTGATATAATAAATAAATCATTTTTTAAAATTTCACTTCCATTGTATGATATTTGTATAATATGATATCTACATAGTTAATTTGTCCATTAGAATATGTTCTCTTTTTCCCTTTTGTATGCTCTATCTGCATCTTACTTTTCTGCACGAACTGGGCTAATGAAGGTGTGCCTACTGAATCACTCTAGCATAAAATAGACTTTAAAGAGAACAATGATGGACGCCAAATCACATCCAGACTAAAATAAAGATATCATTTTAGATGCCCAATTGTTTATACGATGAAGTGAAATGGAACTATTGAAGACGAGCATACGCCATGCATTGTGCTATGAGGGAACTTTACCCAGACAGTGGCACATTTATATGAGAGCGAAAAATGGGGTTTAAATAACGTCCACTCGAGACAAATTAGGTCATTTCGGGACTAACATATGGTTTAATTTTATTTCAATGATTTGCTTGCGCGTAGGGGTCTTTAGCAGTGGGAGGAAACCGGAGGACCTGGAGAAAACCACATTTATATGAAGACTACAGAAAGTTTGACAGAAACATCATAATGTGCATTACATTAATCTATTTTACTGCGTGCTGAATGCCACACCAAAAAAAAAAGGGTATGACCAATGTTTAAATCCACAGAGATAATTACATAAGTGTTTCCAAATTGACCATTAATGGACAGACGTCTGGGAGTCGGTTCAGCGCCGTTAACTGATAAACGTCGATGTGCTGGATCATAAATAGATAAACGTCTGTTAGATGTCTCTGGGCCATTAACAGACGGGCGCCGACTTGTTAGACTCTGGTCATTGATTGACATGCGACGACGGGAGACTTCAGGTAAATTGACGGACAAACGGCGAAGTGCTTGATTGTTTTCTTTGTTAGGCAAGCGACTGAGATTAGTGTTGAATTCATCTACCTCCTCCTCATTTGAAAGCTTGTTGTACAAATAATTCAAACATTTCAATACAATTACAAATAAATAATGTTTTATATTGTACAGAAAACCGAAATGTAGATGGTTGCCATCTAGTTATTGATTTAACTATTCTTCATCTATTCTTTAAGTGGCATTTAGTAACTGGGTAGAATAAATAAATTATAACACATACTTATGGAAAAACAGCTACTGATTTAAATAACACATACTTATGGAAAAACAGCTACTGATTTAAATAACACATACTTATGGAAAAACAGCTACTGATTTAAATAACACATACTTATGGAAAAACAGCTACTGATTTAAATAACACATACTTATGGAAAAACAGCTACTGATTTAAATAACACATACTTATTGAAAAGCAGCTACTTATTTAAATCTGTAGCTGTTTTTTCCATAAGTATGTGTTATAGTTTATTTATTCTACACGTAATTCACAAAAAAAGGTCAACAAATAGCAAAGGTTTTCTTCTAAACTCGTTTAAAGGCACAAAATTTCAGACTAAATGGAAATTATAGACTTTCAGTGCAAAATTTGATCAAATTGATCAATCATTCCCCAAGTTAAAGCCATCTAAAGTTTCGATTACTTTCTAGTCATTTCATCCCATCATCTTGTTTTTCTCTAAGATTGTTAGCCGACACCTGAACAATATTGACACCTGGACAATATTTATTTTCTATCTATAAAAACAATGAGCTCAAGATGGCATCTACCCTATGTTTTTTGTTTTGATTGTTTAGATTACTATCTAAAGGCTACTTCTGCTAAATTCCAATACGGAACTGACTGATGCCTTTGTCACATTGAAACGTTAGTAACACCCATATTCCGATACAAGAAATCACACACATATGGCCAACAAATCATTTCATGTTCATAGATTTTAGACTTCAATACTATATTTAGGTATTGTTCTGATAACCTATATAATTTCTATGCTATATTCATGACCTATATATAATTTCTATATACTGGAATACCATATTTAGGTATTGTTCTGAAGGATTCATTAACATGCAATACTGATGACCTATATATAATTTCTATGCTATACTGATAACCTATATCTATGCTATACTGATATTATGTAATTTCTATGCTATACTGATCATGAGGACCTATATATAATTTCAATGCTATATTGATGACCCATATATAATTCATATATACTGGAATACCAAATTAAGGTACTGTCCTGATAACCTATAAAATTTCTATGCTATACTGAGGACCTATAAATAATTTCTATGCTATACTGAGGACCTATATATAATTTCCATGCTATATTGATGACACATATCACTTCTATGCTATACTGATGACCTATGTATATTTTGTATGCTATGGATATAATTTCTATACGGATGCCATATATAATTTCTATGCTATCGATGAGATATATATAATTTCTATGCTATCGATGAGGTATATATAATTTCTATGCTATATTGATAGCGACTACAGTAATCTGGGTTTATTATTAATACTTACTGCTTTGCCTGTTTGCATATCTTTTAATTGTTGTAGTTGTTTTTGTAAGGCCTCTATTTCAGCCTGTTTCTCATGTTCTTGATCCATCTGTGATCTCTACAAAAAAAAAATTCAAACATCAGAACTTAGTTGGGTTAAATAAATGCCTAACAGAAAGAGCATGTGAAATTGGGCATTTTAAGTTGTGGATTTTATTTGACAGTAACCAAAATTAAACCAAATGAACATCTCCATTGGCTTCCAGTCAGTCAACATATCAATTTTAAAATACTCTCCATTACATATTCTGCTCTGTATGACAATTCTTCACCTCAATACCTTGGAGACCTTCTCAATGCCAATAGATACACATTTTATATCAAAGTATTATGTACTTACCTTAAGATCCTCTTTACTTGGTTTACCATCCACCTTATCAAAATATTCAAACAATTGTCTCCACAGTGTATTTTTACGATTCTTCTCGTCATCTGGCGGTAAATAATCTTTAACGGGAGCACCAACATCTCTATATAACATCTTTATAATTCTCTCTGCCGGATCACGAACATCGGCTGAATGATGATTTAAAACTTCCACACAAAATGGCATCATATTTTCTACAGATAAACCACTGAAATATTAGAAAACAAAATCAGGAATTGTGAGAATTCTATCCTTAATGAAAAATTTAAGAATTCCTTTGAAAGTCATCAACAAATCCCACAGAGCAAAATATAAAAATCTCATAAACTTTATACTATTGTCAACGCTATCACTTTGATGGAAGTGGACGGTAAATACTACGTACTAAGTTTTAAAAGTAAAAATTTGAATGGAAAAAAATAACTCTGCGAAATGCATTCACAGTTTACGATCTGAAATTGAAACTATTGGACTCCAAAATATACCATCAGAATATTCAGATATTGTGAATTTTGATTGGGTTCCTCCTTATGCCTCTATGGCCTTATATAATCAAATAGAGAGAGAGAGAAATGGGGTTTAACATCCACTCGACACAAACTAGGTCATTTCGGGATTAACACATGGTTTAATTTTATTTCAATAATTCGCTTCCGCGTAGGGGTCTTTAGCAGTGGGAGGAAACCGAAGGACCGGGAGAAAACCCATAAGGTTGGACAGGCGACCCTTCTCCAGGCGTACAATCGGGGAATGGAAACCCCGCCAGTTGACTCAATGACAGAACGTATGATACAGCGCGAGCGTGCTAACCATTCGGCCAGCCAACCCCCCTAATCAAATAGATGATCATCCTCTAGTCTGAAGTTATATGTATAGTGACTACTGTCAGAACATCACAACATTAAACATTTCCTTTTTTCTTACCTTTTATTCAACCCGTGATCTTTGTATAAAGATTCTAATATTTCCACATGACTTTGACCTATTCTAGGTGCAATAGACATTTTAAATGGCTTCACTAATTCATGTGGTACAACATAAGTAGGCTGAAATCAGAAAAAAAAAAAATTTAAAAAAAAATTAATGTTTGGTATTTCATCAACTGAACAATGTCTGACAGAGGATTCTCGTTTCAGTCATATCAGCTTGTCTTGACTGATTACCTGGAAAATTGTCAGTCTGGAAAATTATCTGTCTGTCAATTTCCATGACAGGAAATTAGAATTTCAAAGAATTCAACATTCAAACACAATAAATACAATAAATTTTTTAGTTATTTATAATATCTTGCCAATTAATATGAGGTAAAAACAAAATATGTCCCAACTGACTGACTGCCAAAATTTTGAAGTGAAAGCCCTGGTTATACCTTATCATTACCTCTAAGAGCAACTGATCTAAGATCTATATGAGCACTCAACAAACTAGTTTCAGATTAGTTAATGAATGAATGCTGATTAATGGTTTGTCAGCATAAACCTGGATATATGGCAATAAACATATGTTACATAGCACAAGATAAACTTACATATAATCACAAAATATATTTTAATACTGGTACATAAATAAAAACAAGTACCGGTATCACAGTTATTAAATGAAATTAAAAACAATATGTTAATAAGTGTAAATCAAGTTCTACTCACCTTTACATCTGGGAAATTTGCTGTTTCTAATATAAAACCTTTAGCATCATCTCGATTTCTAACAGCCTACAATCAACATAACAATAATGTCAGGAAGATATTTCATTTATAAATTACCTTACAGAATGCTATTTATAATTAGTCTAAAGAATGTCATTCATAATTAGTTTAAAGAGTGTAATTTGTCTAAAGAGTGTAATTAATAATTAGTCTAAAGAAGGGAATTTATAATATTTTAAAAAAGAGACCAACAACAACCATAGCAATCACGTATGACTTGAGCATTAGGAAATTTAAGATACTCTAGAGATCTGTTGATTCATAGTTAAAAGTCAATTTCATAATTTCTCAAACTGATACACATAACGTCACATCTTTTTTACTTACCGTATCACCAGCTTTGTGTAATAAATTAGGCAATGTTCTCTCACAAGCAGAAACAATATCCTGTTTTGGTATTCTGTAAAACAAGCCAACAGTGAGGCTGATGTCCCCCGCCGAAATCCCAAAATAAATAGATGACACATATTAATTAATCACACATTTATTTTTTTCAAAAGTATCGAGCAATCAAACTACACACTAAGTTTCATCACACCCTATCAGATAGAATCAATATTATCTTGTCCCAAAGCATAGACCAATGAAATTGAATAGCTCTGCTTAGCTTTAGCTTGAAAGGTTAATCATTGAAATCAGTCAAGACATTCACCTAATGAACATCTACATCAGGTTTAAACATTGTACCTCAATTAAAAGCAGAGTTTTTATGTCCCAAAGTCTTGACCAATCAAACTGCATATCGCTCCTTAGCCCAGGCAGAAAATTTGCACAATCAAACTTAGTCAAGGTAATGATATAATGAATCTATATTCAGAGTTTCATCGCTCTCACTTCATTATAACCGAAGTTAACGTGCCCCTAAAGCATCAACCAATCAGATTGCTTATCTCTGCCTACCGTAAGCAGACAATGTTCATCATCAAGTCCATCAAGGTATTCACCTAATGAATGCCCACACCAAGTTTGAACATTCTACCTCAATTAGAAGGAGAGTTATTGTGTTCCAAAGTCTCGACCAATCAAATTGCTTATTGCTCTGCTTACCCTCAGCAGAAAATGTTCATTATCAAACTTAGTCAAGGTATTGATGTAATGAAGCTATACACCAAGTGTTCTCACTCTCACTTTATTAGATCTAAAGTTATTGTGTCCCAAAGCATCAACCAATCAAATTGCTTATCGCTCTGTTTACCCTTAGCAGAAAATGCCTATCTTCGAACTCCATCAAGGCATTGACCCAATAAACACATACACCAAGTTTGAACATTCTAGCTCAATTAGAAGGAGAGTTATTGTGTTCCAAAATCTTGGCCAATCAAATTGCTTATCGCTCTGCTTACCCTGAGCAGAAAATGCTCATTATCGAACTTAGTCAAGGTATTGATGTAATGAAACTATACACCAAGTTTCATCACTCTCACTTAATTAGAGAGAGACAGAGAGAAAAATGGGTTTTAATGTCCACTCGACACAAACTAGGTCATTTCGGGACTAACATATGGTTTAATTTTTAATTTCAATAATTCGCTTGCACGTAGGGGTCTTTGGGAGGAAACCGGCGGACTCGGAGAAAACCCACAAGGTTGGAAAGGCGACCCTACTCCTTGTAACACACAACCGGGGATTCGAAACCACTAAAGTTATCGTGTCCCAAGGCATCAACCAATCAAATTGCTTAAATCCGCTTACCCTAAGCGGAAAATGCTCATCTTCGAACTCCATCAAGATATTGACCTAATAAACACCTGCACCAAGTTTGAACATTCTAGCTCAATTAGAAAGAGAGTTATTGTGTCCCAAAAGGTGTGACAGACGGACGAACCCATTTTAATAGTCCCCTGCTTTCTTCGAAAGGCGGGGGACAAAAAATGGAAACAAAATACTGAGTTTATTACAATCGATTTTAAGGAATTAAGTGACTGAATGTCAATATTTTATGTTCCAACCAATTCATATACTTGTTTGATAAAATTGATAAATAAATATCCTATGAAAGCAATACACCATAAACAGGAATAATGTATGTTTTGTAGGTAGGCTCTCTATTCTTTTACTCTATGTATTTGTAATTAAACAAGTTTGAACATTCTAGCTCAATTAGGAAGAGAGTTATCGTGCCCCAAAGTATCAACCAATCAAATTGCTTATCTCTGCTTACCCTAAGCGGAAAATGCTCATCTTCGAACTCCATCAAGGCATTGACCTAATAAACACATACACCAAGTTTGAACATTCTAGCTCAATTAAAAGTTATTGTGTCCCAAGGGACCCAAAGCATCAACCAATCAAATTGCTTATCTCTGCTTACCCTAAGCGGAAAATGCTCATCTTCGAACTCCATCAAGGCATTGACCTAATCAACACATACACCAAGTTTGAACATTCTAGCCCAATTAGGAAGAGAGTTATCGTGTCCCAAAGCATCAACCAATCAAATTGCTTATCTCTGCTTACCCTAAGCGGAAAATGCTCATCTTCGAACTCCATCAAGGCATTGACCTAATAAACACATACACCAAGTTTGAACATTCTAGCTCAATTAGGAAGAGAGTTATTGTGTCCCAAAAAGTGTGACGGACAGACAGGCGGACAGACGGACGGACGGACAGACGGACAGACAGACAGACAGACGGACGAACCCATTTTAATAGTCCCCTGCTTTCTTCGAAAGGCGGGGGACAAAAAGCATGATAATATTTCATGTTAAATTGAATAGATAGTTTAGATTTAAGTTTTAAGTCATCACCTGTTTCGATAATACCAAAAAATCCCTTTTTTTTGTGCAAGTAGTGGGGTCCTCCTGCACTTACTAGACATACAAACTGGCCAATTAAAGTAGATCTACCCCCATTTCCTTGGGATTTTAACAGATAAAGAGTGATATAGTGTGTAATAAATGAACTTACTTAAATCTAGCTACATATTCTGTTAATATCATTCGCAGTAAATGAATTGCTGCTTTAAATACCTGAAATAATATATATAACCTTATGGTTTGAGAGAAAGAGAAATGGGATTTAATGTCCACTCGACACAAACAAGGTCATTTCGGGACTAACATATGGTTTAATTTTATTTCAATAATTCGCTTGTGCGTAGGGGTCTTTAGCAGTGGGAGGAAACCGGAGGACCCGGAGAAAACCCACGAGGTTGGACAGGCGACCCTACTCCTTGTCACGTACAACCGGGGATTCGAAACCATGCCAGTTGACTCAATGACAGGCTTTATGATACAGCGCCCACGTGCTAACCATTCAGCCATCCCACCCCCCTTATGGTTTGATCAATCAACTTGAGCATTCACATGACAAGGGACATAACTATTGAAGGATTCAATGGAACTTGTCGAAATTCAAAAAGCTTCTTTGTTTCAATTACCTGAATGTTCACAACTTGATAATTCCCAAGGGACATAACTCTAGAAGAAATCAATGTTAAAGGAGCTAAATCACTAACAGTTGGGACCTAGAAATTTGACAAAAGTGGGTCGCAACGCATATAATACTGTAATATGAATGTATATAAACTGATTTACATTCAATGGTTTCCGTTTTTACTCCAATTTCAAATCATTTATGTTCGGCGAAATAAGCCAGCAGTCTCAAGCGAGTGCAAATTTCTAGCGTCTGGTTATTCCAGTCTACATACGCCGTTTGATTTGGTGCAAGGTGTCTAGCCTCGTCCCTCGAGTCTCTTGATACAACTGGGGCTGAAGCCCATTATGGTACACGATTCGTGTACCAATGGTAAAATGTTTATTTTGTCTTAAATATTGGATATCAAAAGCCCATCTTTTCCCGGTAAGATCACAACATGAATGTTGATTTAATTTGACAAATAAATCGTGTTTTCAATGTCAAAGATTTTGGATGATATTGAGTTCGAGACTTAGCTCCTTTAACAAAGGGAGCAAATTGTTGTTATAACAAAACATACATAAAATATCTTAATACTTACAGCATATACTTTATCATCTATGGCACGTTTTACAAGGAATATGGCAGCCTTCATCATATATTTGGACTCATCTTTAGGAGTTGATGACGGTAGTTCAGACATTTTTTTATAAACAGCTAACAAAGCATCTTCACGATATGACCAAGTTTTAGAATATGCTTTAGAAACCTATAAATATTTAAATCATGTACTCTAAAATGACATAAATTCTTACATGTATCATAAATGTTTGAAAATATGTGAAATAATCCCATAAGATAAAAGTTTCAGAAAACTCCCTTGGATAAAATTTTCAGGCAATTCCCCTATATAAAACTTTCAGGCAATTTCCTCATATTAAACTTTCAGGTAATTCCCTGGGATAAAACTTTCAGACAATACCATCAGATAAAACTTTTAGGTAAACCCATTGGATAAAACTTCCAGGCTATCCCATTAAAGATACATTATGGGAGATAAGATAACAAGATGGCAGTTCTCGCTATAATAGTTAAAAACTAGATAGTGTAAAGGTAATTTGCTGAAAATTTCAGTCAAATTGATCCACTATGAGCTGAGAAAGAAGCGGGTGAAATTTTTGGCATAGTCTCGGTCATCATTACTAAAATCATTAATATAAACAGCTTAGTCTCGATTATCCACTTTTATTGATGTAATTATCAACGGCCGTTAGCGGCATATAGGAATCTAATCCAGCCAACATCGAAGGCTAGCCTTGACATCGAGAGTTTATTATGGTCTGGATAAGTTAATTAATGTCTAACTGATAACATTTCAGGCCTAAAGAAAGACTTGTAATAAGCAGATTTTGCTCTTGCATAATGCATGTTTAAATAAAACTTTCAGGCAACCCCCTTGGATAAAACTTTCAGGCAATTCTCTGAGATAAAACTTTCAGACAAACCCCACAGATAAAAATTTCAGGCAATCTGCTCATAGAAAAAAAAAGTTTTGAGCAATCCCCTAAGATAAAACTTTTGGGCAAACTCCTCAGATAAAACTTTCAGGCAAACTCCTATGATGAAACTTTTAGGCAATCCCCTAGGATGCAACTTTCAGACAAACCTCTTGGATAAAACTATCAGGCAAACCCCTCAGATAAAACTTTCAGGCAAATCTTCTAGGATGAAACTTTAAGGCAATCCCCTAGGATAATATTTATGTGAATACTAAACAGTATTAGAAGTATTTGTACATACCAATGGTTCACCAAACACTTCTATAGGTTGTGATGCATCCCGTAAATCTTGTTCTGTCATTGGTTCAGCTTCTCCTGAAATTAAGAAACCAAGACGACTTAGTCATCAACATCTCGCTCCCTAGTATACCAAAAACCAAGTTAACAAAATACTTAAGGACTGTGCAGTCTACCTTAAAGTTTAATCCTGCCTTTCTCTTTATTTGCTATATCTAGTTAGTTGATATTAATGTGAGAGAGAGAGAGAGAGTTTAACCTCAACTCGACACAAACTAGGTCATTTTGGGACTAACATGTGATGGTTTAATTTTATTTCAATAATTCGCTTGCGCCTAGGGGTCTTTAGCAGTGGGAGGAAATAAGAGGACCCGGCGAAAACCCACGAGGTTGAAAAGGAAACCCTACTCTTCATCACATACAACAGGGGGATCAAAACCACACCAGCATACGCTAACCATTCGGCCATCCATAGACTATAGAGTAAATTACCTATTGTATCTTCAAATTCCTCATCAGGTACAGTTTCAACATATTCTTCTACAACTTCTTCATATAATATAGGATTTCTACAATATATATAACACATATTTAATTTCTCTCTTCATATAAAGTAGGATTTCTACAACATATATAACAATTTATTTTATGATCAGTAGTGGAATACCGCGTTTTATCAGTGAAATAAAACTGTTATTCCACTGGCTAGCAGTATATTTAATATACAAAAGTTTACTTCAGGCTTCTCCCTTCATAATATTGTCTAGCTGAACATATATTTCATACCACACTTTAACTCAGATTTATTCAGTTAAAAAAATCCCACATTTTTATAAATATTCCAAAAATAACCTTTCTGTAAGCACAGTCTAATATTCATATCAAAATAAAATCAGAAATGTTCGTATTTTGAATGAATTTAAGATTGTGTTATGAAATGCCAACCTTTAGTTTCAAAGTTTCATGTATTTAATAATACTGGTCACTGGCGACATTTGAGCAACTTTTTAGTAATTTTACAATATTGACAAAAAAAAAAAGGTTTTCTGTAAAATCATGAATACTTTGGGAAATTGGAAAGAGAACAAGTCAACTTGCACGATAATTTAAAGGAAAGGGATTTGTTTATTTTTGGGAAAAAAGTTTCAATACAGTTTTTGGTCCTTTCCCGATATGTACATTTAACTGTGCATGAACATATGCTGAATAATACAATTTAACTGTGCATGAACACAATACTACAAAATACTGATACAATTCACTTGAGAATGTAATTACAGATTGATACCATCCCAATAAATATTTCAACATGACGTAGGACAACTGCACAGCAAAACATAGAAAGCACAGACATTCTAACAGATTGAGATTTGCAATCTGTTGTCTCAATTCACACTACTTTTTCAAATTGTTTATTTAAAACAAGATTATAAGCCATACATGCCAATGCCATGACATAGTTTTGGCAGACGACTTAATTATTTCCAGCACAATCACATTTTGAAAATACAATTGTAACCAGTTTTTTTTAATCAATTCTTGCAGAATTTAAGGGTTAAACCGCAAACTCTATATTTTCCATAATATTTGAAATTAAAAACACGAATTAGAATTCAATATTGGTCAATTTAAATCAACATTGATGTTGTTATCTTGCTGTGAAAATATGGGGTCCTAATATCCAATATCTAATTAAGACACAATGGTTTCGGGTGCCATTTGTAAAGAACAAAGAAAAACAGATCCAGCAAGACCATGCAGTTATAATTAGTAATGGCTGATTCACAAACAACAAAACAATAATAAAAAAAAAACCCATGTAAAATGACTAAGCAGGCACAAACGACTGCAGTTCAATTTAGACTGTCCACATATTTCACAAAACATAATTGGTTAGAAATGACATTAATTTTTTCAAAAAATGAATAAAAATCACATTACCGTAAATACATTCATATTATATTAATACATGCTTTTTAGACGCATTTTCATCTGTTTTAAGGTTCCAAAGAATAGAGCCATACACCCTTTAAGACAGGTGTGTGTGTGGGGGGGGGGGTGAAATTGGGTTTAAAGTCCACCTAACACAAACTAGGTCACTTAGGGACTAACATATGGTACATTTTTTTTATTTCAATAATTTGCTTGTGCGTAAGGGTCTTAACATTAGGAGAATACCGGATGACCCGAAAGAAAACCCTAGAGGGTAGGCAGGTGACCTTAGTCACCCTACTCCTTGTCATGTACAAATGTGAGATTGAAACACCACTTGACTCAACAGTCCTTAATTAATATGCCCTTCAACCATTCAACCACCCAATTCCCCCTATTAAAGAATGGTGTTCATTCACATTTTCATATCTTGATTTTTATCAGTCGGATTCATGATTGTTTTTAATTCTAAAACCAACAATTTTTGATATTTTTATTGCATACGATATATACATGTAACAGTACTGTTACAGATTTATAACCGTTTAATGTTATTGTAGTTAGTTAAATGCTTATTGTGAACATCAAAACTTAAGAATTGAATATTCTGCGTCATGCAAGTGATAATAGAAAACCTAATAGTATAATCCAGTGTATAACATAATTAAAGTGGACAAATGTGATAATACAATATAATCTTAGTGGATGTCATCAACTAGGTTTTATTGAACAAGTCCACTCTAAAATTTTCATATATCCCGAACAAATTAAGCAAAAAAAAGATACAGAGAAATCAATTAATTTCTATAGCCACTGCAAAATCAATGATAAAACCATTAATATTTTCTTGATCTTCAACACAATTAGTAAGTATTAGATCACTTCAAACTATGTTATAAAGAAATGATTAAGGTATTAATTAATACTGGTACAAAAGGTGGGTAACTTAAAATGACTAAGAATGTTTAATCCTGTAAAAAAAAAAATAAACAAAAATTGTTTTGAATATTTGAAGAAAACTAACATCTGCATAAATTTATCAAAATATTGAAATAAATATTAATTATTATAAATCCTGTTAATCTATTTTCAGCTAAATTTAAATTCAGCATGTAAAATCATATTCAGGTACTTTCAGCTAAATAAAAACTTTCATTAATATGAATTTATGTTCATACATTAGGTCAAGAAATAAAAATACCTGTGATTATGGTTACTTAGCCCCCTAAAACTGAGTCATTTCATTCAAACTGATATTAAACAGGCATTATGTAAGAGCTAAATCTGCCTATTGCAGGTCTTTCTTTATGCCTTAAATGTTATATAAATTATATTATTAATTAGACATTTATTAACTTAAGACCATAATCAACTCTTGATGCCGTCAGATGGTCCTGATTTTAAGTAGATTAGAACGGTTAGGCCATTTAATGATTTAATTTAATAATGGTGAAGCAAGGCTAAGACTTGAATGACCAGTATGGTGGTTACGATCAATGCACAAAACTACAACCATTGATAACTTCGCTCAAAATAAAGTAATTTGAATAAAATTTTCAATATATTCATTTTGCATTATCTATTTTTGAAATATTATAGCAAGATCGACCAGCTCTTTATTTAAATCTTACATAATACCCCTTTAATATGTGTATCTTTAGTGAAAAATAACAACAAAAACAAGTGCAATTCCACACCAACCAACAATAAACATCAACAGTGCTGACTTACGGCTGTTCGCCATCAGTTTTAGATGTGTGAACAGGTAGCGTTCGTTCTTCGTAAGGTGTAGCAGGGTGAGGTGAGGAATCAACATGTGTAGCATTATCTACAACAGGTTCCTTCATTTCTTTATTTTTACTTGATAAAATACAGAAATAGGGGAGGGATAATATATAAATTACAACACTTCTATGGCAGACAATTACTGCCATGATCAGACAACATCAGGTAATCAATGTAATTGATAAGATATAATATAGGATGCTAAAATGTGTTAATGGGGTAGTACATTAAGAATATTTTGGTTCTGATACAGGCTGTTAATGGGGTAGTAAATAAAGAATATTTTCGTTCAATGAATTTATGGATTTAATCAAAAGACTTGAATGGGGTTTCAAGTCTTGTCAATATAATACTTTAATCATTTTGAGACTAACATATGGTCACTTTCATGTCTATGGTTACATGTGCAATGCGCACAAGGTTCTTTAGAAAAATTAAATGAAATCGAGTTGAACTTCCTACTGTTCTGCTCCGACTGGGCTAATGAAGACGGGAGGTTCTTTAGCAGTGGGAGGAAAGTGGACAACACAGAGACCCCATGAGCTTAGGCCGACAACTTTACTTTCTGTCACCTACAACCAGTGTGATGGTTCCAATTATTGCACACGTCTTGTCAAACCTTCAAAAGCTAATATCTTCGCTCGCAATGGAGCAATTTGAATGAAATTTTCAATAAGTTCATATTGCATTATCTATTTTCGAACTATTATAGCAAAAATGGCTAGTTCTTTATCTAAATCTTACATAATGTATCTTCAATGAATAAACATGAATTTATAAAAAATAATATCAGGTGTATGCTCCCACCAATTAAAATCACCTGTACCATGTTGTTTATACACAGACTATGTAACAATTAACTCTCACTAGAGTTAATAAATATAAAAATATATTATTTCACTATACATTCACTATAATTTTGTTTTGTTTTTTATACTTTGGCTGACCTCCACTCTATACAGATCTGCCTGGATTAGATGGGAGTTCGTAGCAGGGGTCATTTGGTTGTACTTTTGACTAAATGACGAAAACTTCTAATATCTGGCTTTCATTTCATTTTGTTGTCTTCTGTTCAACAGATTACATAAATCTTGACTAAAAAAATCCTTTTAATAGCCAATCCCCCACATCATCCAAAATATGGTTTATTTAAAAACTCCTTTAATTGCCATTAATAAATCGGATTGATCCAAGAGTTTATCAATTTAACATCAAGTATCAAATGATCCTATCTAATTAATCTAAAGTAGACTAACTTACATTAGTGATGGTAATGGTCTATCTTCATATCGTGGTGGGGTGGGTGGCGGTGACACGTGTGATGTGTAAATATCATCGTTTAATCGTGGAGGAGTTGGATGTCGTACAGGCTCTAAGTCAATATGCACAGGATGACGAGGCTGTAATTAAAAAAAGAAAGGAAATAATACAGAAAAAAACATTTAAATATATTTGTTGTCTCAATTATCCAGCTTATCATTAAACATGAATTCTTGTCAACTGAGAAATGACTGATTCTCTCGTTGGCTGTTTCACAGGTGCTGTAATCATTGTAAACATAGATCAATCGCTGAATTTGGATAATGATGGACAAGTTTAATTTGTTCATTTCCTGATACAAATTATGACAGGGTGGCACGGCGAATAAGGTGCTAGCTGAACAACCAGATGGTCTGGCAAGGAACAGCATCCATACAGACCAAATGTACAGACCAAATATCCCTCATAGCTCACTGCATATCGTAAGCCTTTTTTCATTAACCTGATGGTTGCAGAAAAGTATATGTGTATAGTTTGATGCCATGAGTATTCTCTTGATAAAGAAATGTATGCTTTAAATATTCTGATAATCATTTATGTAAATTGTGTTAGTAAATACAGACAATAATGATTTAAAAAAAATTATTAAAGAAATTAAGATGAAGACTGACCCCATTTAATTCTAATAAATCATTGACATGTAAATCTTTATAACTCTGTAGTCGTAATTCATCCATCTGGATCTTTTTAATCTTAGCTTTATCATAATCTTCATTTTCTACAGCTTGTCTCTTCTCTACTTCCATTTTACCTAACTTCTCACCAACCTATAACATCAATATCAAATTTTATACCTATCATATTAATCCTAGTTGTAGTCTTCTCAATTAAGCAGAACAGCGGGATGTTAAACCCCATTTCATTTCATTCACTTTTCAAGCAAAGAAATTAGAAACACCCACCATACTGTTAATTTTTAACTTCTAAACGTCAATGCCAACAACATTTGACTTTCAGTATGTCTCACAGCCCATACGCTGGGTTTTTGGGAAGAAGCCTAATAAACAAGTGAGATTGTTGATGGAGACCTGACTGCTCATACTATCGACACTACAACCTTGGTTTCTTGGGTTTTCTCCATATTTCACCTTTGGTGTTAGATATAATAAAAGTTTTGTCTACACTTACGACATCCAGATGCAAATAACCAAAGTTTGGGGAGAACGAAGTGGACACTCGTATTGTGAGAATGAGATGCTATGTTAAAGTTTCTGAATGTTTTGTGACCTATAAACAAGAAGAGAGAGAGAAATGGGGTGTAAAGTCCACTCAACACATACTAGGTCATTTCGGGACTAACATATGGTTCATTTTATTTCAATAATTTGCTTGAATGTAAGGGTTTTTAGCAGTGGGAGGAAACCGAAGGACATAAGAGAAAAACCATGAGGTTGGACAGACGACCCAACTCCTTGTCACCGTCAAGCTGGGAATTGAAACCATGCAACTTGACTCAATGACAAGCCTTATGATTTCACGCGCACAAGACCATCCAACCCCCCTGTACACAAGAAGAAGGTTAACATGTGTAAGGATGGTTTATCGTAATTTTAATTTATGTAGTATTGTTACTTACCTTTTGTAGTTCACCAATAGCTGTTTTTAACCTCTTGGCATAATCATATCGTTCTTCTGAAGAATAAAATTATCAAAAACATAAAACAATATGGAGAGAATAGACAGACACATATTTCCAGCTTTCTATCAGTTAAATTGTAGCTTATATGTAGGCATACGAATTGGGAGGACCTTAAATCCCTGTCTGAAATCACTGCCTGAAAAATCTTGAATTTTTGTCTGAAAAAGCTTTATTTTGTGTAGTTAATGGCTTATAATGTGACCCCTTTGAATATCTGCTTTAATCAATATGCCCAAGTGATCAAAAACACTAATGGTTTAACTGTTACAATTGAGAACATTAATATATCGCGATATCAACGCAATCAAAAAGGAGACTTTGTGTATGAATCAATATTTAATTGAGCCTAACTCTATCTATTACTCACGCAATACAGCTTCTTGTTTTTTACGCTCAAGTTTCCTGATGATCTGAGCTATTTCTGGGTCTTGGTACATGTCAAAGGCTAGATCATCCAGTGGTGAAATATAATCAGGTCTGTAATGAAAAAAATGAATGATAAGTTACCTTGCACTATCGCATGTGTACCTATTGGTGAACTGGAATAACAGAATATTTAACATTTAATTAAGAAAACAAAACCAAATTGTTGAAAGGTAACTGATCCCTCTGAGTCAAACAAAGGTTGATTGAAAATCTTTTTAAACAACAGTTGTAATTGGTGCTGGTTGGTTAATATCTGAATAGAATGTCGAATGTTGACAAAATTAATGATTTTTTTCAAATCTTTGTAAGTAAGCTTATAGAAAAAAAATGAAGCATTTCTGGACTAATATTCCTTATAGAAAGAGGTTCAGCTTTCACAATATCACAGTTTGCAAGAAATTAATATACCTCATATGAATTTCAGTGACTTTTATAAAACTTATAAATAATTAAACATCAATGTTTGTTACTTGACATAAATATACATGTTGTTATATGTCTAATTATTTTCTTTTATGAAAGGGACAATACCCCTCTAAGCAAGAACAAAGTAAAAAAGTTATATTAACGTTAAGGTTACCAGTATAGTAAATTGAACTAACTACTATTGAAGTATTATTTATTATATTTTTATGACTTTATATATAATTTCTATAAATGAAATACATTCTGATCTTGTTTTCTCGACTGTCTTCCTTTTGTAATCTGATTAAAACACAGATCCCATTTCGTTTCGTTTTTATAGTTCAAAATTTTGTTTTACTTGTCTATACTCATTAGGATCTGGAATAGTTGTTATATAACCCACGTTCTGAATGATGTGAGGGATTAGCCAATGAAACAGTCTGTTACAGTGAGTTCTTGGAGTGCGTTGCACTGAACTATGGGTATCTCAGTAGGAACATCAACGCTGATTAGTTAATCAAAAGTCTGACGCCATAGGGTCAAAAATCGCTTGTATGACCCCTGATGCCACTTCCCACTGCAACTGGTCAGATCTTCAAGTCACCGAAAGTATTAAAGATAGGTTGCCAGGCAACGAAACATACGCCCACAGCGGCTAAATCGTCCGAGCGGTCGACAGGGGTTGTCGCATATTTATTCCTTTGTGGGTAATTGGGGGCCTTTACAAGACAGTTCGATACAGATCAGATTATAATTTTTGTTGTTTGAGGGTTCACAAGGTTCTACAAATTGAAACAAGGGTCTCAACTCTGAAAGTAATCTACAGAAATTGTTGAAATTTGACAGGCTTTTTTGTTTCACAAATTTAAATGATGCATATAAATTTCATACATATTGGATGATAACTTTCATCAATCGAGCATTAACAAGGTTGAACAAAGTCAAACAAGGGCAATAACTCCAGAAGTAATAAACGGAAATTGCTGAAATTCAATAGGATTCTTCTCTTTACTAATTTAAATGACGAACGTAAATTTCATACAGATCAGCATATAACTTTTGATGTTAGAGCATTCACAAAGTTCAATAAAGTGAAACAAGGGCCATAACTCTAGACGTAATAAACAGAAAATGCTGAAATTCAATAAGCTTCTTCGTTTCACTTATTGAAATAATGCATATAAATTTCAGAAAGATTGGATGATAACTTTTGGCGTTAGAGCGTTCACAAGGTTCAATAAAGTGAAATAAGGGCCATAACTCTAGACATAATACACTGGAATTGCTGAAATTCAATAGGCTTCTTCATTTCACTAATTTAAATAATGCATATAAATTTCAGAAAGATAGGATGATAACTTTTGGGGTTAGAGTGTTCACAAGGTTAAACAAAGGGAAACAAGGGCCATAACTCTAGAAGTAATAAACGAAAATTGCTGAAATTCAATAGGCTTCTTCGTTTCCCTAATTTAAATATTGCATATAAATTTCACAAAAATCGGATGTTAACTTTTGGCATTAGAGCGTTTACAAGGTTCAACAAAGTGAAACAGGGGCCATAACTCTAGACTTTAAAAACAGAAATTATTGAAATTAAATAGGCTTCTTCATCTCACTAATGTAAACAACATATATCAATTTTAAAACAATTGGATGATAACTTTTGGCGTTAGAGCGTTCACAAGAAATTGTGGACGATGGACGGACGGACCGACGGACGGGGGCGACGGCAATATACGTCCACATTTCTATGTGGGCATATAAAAATGCAAGAGTCCGGATAAGCGGTTTTGACGTTCACGTCCAAACGACTCAATATTTTGAACTGAACTTTTCAGACAAGGTAAATACACTATTGCTCTATATTTTGGCGCATTCAGAAGGGTTGCCTTTATTGAAATAACATTAGCTTATTTCCAGATTATCGGTAAAGTTTTTGTGGAAAGAGAGAGAATCAATAGATTGCATACAGGATTACATATTTCAGATGAGATGGATTTATTAACTTGCCATTTATATGATCAAGCCCAGTAGCTTTAGAGATATCCATGGCTCGTAATGTTCGTCTGTCTACTTCTCGCCGATATGCAATTTTTTCGTCTGACAGGTAGCAAGTAAAACTACCTTTCGCTTGCGACAGGTGGATTAAATTTTACTTGATGTTAAGTAAATTGACTTAAGACAACAGAACTTACGTCCACGTCGCATACATTTAATTATTCATTTCTAAATGCAAGAATTAAGCACAGAAATACCGCCATTTGCACTGTTTACATTTCGCTCTGGCGTAGATTACAATTACAGTTTGGAAGTTCAAGTAGCCAGTTTTATAACAATGAATTTCACACCATATACGCTTGTTTTCATCTGCTTGACACCAGCTTATAGCATTATGAAGTATTATTTCTCAATAAGTTAAGATAAGTTGCCAGGCAACGAAACCTACACCCACAGCAGCTAAATCGTCCGGGCAGTCAACAAGTGTTGTCGCATATTTTTTACTTTTTTTTGGTAAAGAAACATTTATAATACACTAAAATCTGATTAAGAGTAACAACTCATGAAGTAATTATCAATCTGAAGTCAATCGGATGATAACTTTAGCCTCTAGGTAGTCACTAGTTTTTTCAAAGTGATCAATAGCCATAAGTTTGGCAGTAATTATCGGAAATTGTTGAAAATCAATAGGATTCTTTGTCTCATGACCTCAAACACTGTGTATAAATTTAATGTCAATCGGATATTAACTTTAGCCTCAAGAGCATCCACAAGATTTTTTGAAGTGATGAAGGGCAGTAATTATCGGAAATTGCTGAAAATCAATACGCTTTTTCGTCTTATGACCGTAAACACTGCGTATAAATTTAAAGTCAATCGGATATCAACTTTGGCCTTTAGGGCATCCACAAGATTTTTGAAGTGATCAAGGGCCATAACTCTGGAAATAATTATTGAAAATCGCTGAAAATGAATAGACGTCTTCGTCTCATGACCTTAAACACTGTGTATAAATTTAAAGTCAATCGGATATTAACTTTGACCTCTAGAGCGTCCACAAGTTTTTTCAAAGTGATCAAGGGCCATAACTCTGGCAGTAATTATAGGAAATCGCTGAAAATCAACAGGCTTCTTCGTCTCATGACCTTAAACACTGTGTATAAATTTAAAGTCAATCGGATATTAACTTTAGCCTCTAGAGCGTCCACAAGATTTTTCAAAGTGATCAAGGGCCATAACTATGGCAGTAATTATCGGAAATCGCTGAAAATCAATAGGATTCTTTGTCTCATGACCTTAAACACTGTGTATAAATTTAAAGTTAATTGGATATTAACTTTGGCCTCTAGAGCGTCCATAAGATTTTTGAAGTGATCAAGGGCCATAACTCTGGAAGCAATTATTGAAAATCACTGAAAATGAATAGACGTCTTCGTCTCATGACCTTAAACACTGTGCATAAATTTAAAGTCAATCGGATATTAACTTTGACCTCTAGAGCGTCCACAAGATTTTTTGAAGTGATCAAGGGCCATAACTCTGGCAGTAATAATCGGAAATCGCAGAAAATCAATAGGCTTCTTCGTCTCATGACCTTAAACACTGTTTATAAATTTAAAGTCAATCGGATATTAACTTTAGCCTCTAGAGCGTCCACAAGCGATTGTGGGCGCCGGACCAACGGACCGCCGGGGGCAACGACAATATACGACCACATTTCAATGTGGGCGTATAAAAAACAAAACGAAATATAGATTTGTATTTTAATCAGATTGCTCTAATTCTCATTCCTGTGGATGACATGACAGTTTTGTATGATCAATATGGAAGCTTTACTGAGTAAAACAAAATGAAATGGGGCTTAACGACTTTTCTGCATACACCATGCAGCATTGTGCGAGTATTTCGCACTGATAGTCGTGCTACAGACAACTCTTCTATTGATTTCCAATTGTCAATAGATCTTGGAAATGCTGTCAATGGTATACCTTAGCTTTTTGTCCCATCTGAATGGCTAGACACTTTTTCTGACAATGGGAAACTAGGCTGAAAAATCCTGTGGAACTCTCTCAGCCAACACCAGGATCAAATCAGGGACTCATTAATTAAAGAGGCAAAGTGGCTCTCTCTACTGAGTAAAACCGATTTTTGTCATAAAAATTCAACACAGACACAACTTTAATGTCCATTAAAACCAGATATAATGTTATGTAAGAAAATAAGATATTAGCCTAAAATGTTACATGTATTTAGCTATCTACTTTTATTAAATATAATGAGAGTATTCCTCATGACTAAAAACAAAATAAAAATAAAGTTTTGTATTGTCATTAACCCTATTGCACTTGGTACATGTAATTATTGCCTAACCCAGTCCTTGAAAAATTTAGAGAAAATTGATCTTTTTTACATTGAGTTTTGTAGATCATTTTCAAAACCACTTGAAACTAGACTGTTACTCGGGCAGTTTTAGATGCTAAAGGAAGCAGTATTTCAGGTAGTCCAGGTGCCAAAGGGTTAATATCCATTTCAATTCATAACAAAACTTCGATGTCTTTCTTTTAATCAGCTACCTATTAAATAATGTTAGATCAATAACGAGAGCATCGCTAACGCTGCAATAAACGTCTACATTCCTGCTTTGATATGGTACTTTTTAACATGAAGAGAATGAAATATGAAATGGCTGTAATATGACAAGAGGCAAAGAATGCTAGGCATTGGGTTTGTTTTGCCAAATTTTCAGACAAAATATTAACAAAAAAGTGGGTGTGACACTGCCCCAGGGGGTCGGGGCATGCACCAAAATCAATAGTTGCTGTCTTTACGGTATAATGCAAATGTGGACGTATAAAAATGATTAGATAATAAAATAATAAATTGTTTTAGTAATTCTCATATCCTTATTAGTAATCTGCTGCAACTGTAATAAAAAGTTTATTGTAATATTATCGACTAATCTGTAACTAAAATATATTAATCCTAATATCTTTAATTAATTATTATACTGAGCAATATCTACATATTTGTATCTAAACAAGCCAACAGTGAGGCTGATGTCCCCCGCCGAAATAGGAAAATAATTAGAGAGTTATTGTGTTCCAAAGTCTCAGCAAATCAAATTGCTTATCGCTCTGCTTAATCTGAGCAGAAAATGCTCATTATCGATCTTAGTCAAGGTATTACTGTAATGAAACTATACACCAAGTTTCATCACTCTCACTTAATTAGAACTAAAGTTATAGTGTCCCAAAGCATCAACCAATCAAATTGTTTATCTCTGCTTACCCTAAGCGGAACGGACAGACAAACAGACAGACGGACGAACCCATTTTAATAGTTCCCTGCTTTCTTCGAAAGGCGGGGGACAATAAGCATGAACATTTACTCAATTCGAAGATCAACCAATCAAATTGTTTATCTCTGCTTACCATAAGCGGAACGGACAGACAGACAAACAGACAGACGGACGAACCCATTTTAATAGTTCCCTGCTTTCTTCGAAAGGCGGGGGACAATCAAAGTAGGAGAGTTATTGTTTTCCAAAGTCTCGACCAATCAAATTGCGTATCGCTCTGCTTACCCTGAGCAGAAAATGCTCATTATCAAACTTAGTCAAGGTATTACTGTAATGAAACTATACACCAAGTTTCATCAATCTCACTTAATTAGAACTAAAGTTATCGTGTCCCAAAGCATCAACCAATCAAATTGCTTATCTCTGCTTACCCTAAGCTGAAAATGCTCATCTTCGAACTCCATCAAGGCATTGACCTAATCAACACATACACCAAGTTTGAACATTCTAGCTCAATTAGGAAGAGAGTTATCGTGCCCCAAAGTATCAACCAATCAAATTGCTTATCTCTGCTTACCCTAAGCGGAAAATGCTCATCTTCGAACTCCATCAAGGCATTGACCTAATAAACACATACACCAAGTTTGAACATTCTAGCTCAATTAAAAGTTATCGTGTCCCAAAGCATCAACCAATCAAATTGCTTATCTCTGCTTACCCTAAGCGGAAAATGCTCATCTTCGAACTCCATCAAGGCATTGACCTAATCAACACATACACCAAGTTTGAACATTCTAGCCCAATTAGGAAGAGAGTTATCGTGTCCCAAAGCATCAACCAATCAAATTGCTTATCTCTGCTTACCCTAAGCGGAAAATGCTCATCTTCGAACTCCATCAAGGCATTGACCTAATAAACACATACACCAAGTTTGAACATTCTAGCTCAATTAGGAAGAGAGTTATTGTGTCCCAAAAAGTGTGACGGACAGACAGACGGACAGACAGAAGGACAGACAGACGGACAGACAGACAGACAGACAGACAGACAGACGGACGAACCCATTTTAATAGTCCCCTGCTTTCTTCGAAAGGCGGGGGACAATTATTTATCCTACTATAGTATATCTCATATTTAAATACTTACAAAAACACAAAGTCGGGTCTAAGGGGTTGACTATCAGTATAACTATTACTACTATAGTTGATGGGAAGGGGAGAAAAATACACACAAATATTAAATTATTTTTAGAGTAATTCTTAAATAAATTGATGCATTTTATATGTATTTACTGTATATTCAAATTATTTCTCATAATTGAAACAATTATAATCTATGTAGGCGCTCTTTTCGATCTCTTTTTGACTAGATGTTTTTTTATAGGCTATAAAATAATTCACTGTTCGAGACTTTAGTGCTCTCACAAATATATAATAATTTGAATTTGAAGAATTTTTAAAGGTTATTCAAGCTAATTCTTTAGTATTTGTTATTTGATATGTCTATTTAAACTTATGGATTTTGATCTGTTTTTGTCTATTATGAGATATTCATTAATATTTAATTCAACGAAAACAGCTAATAATCAATTTAAAACAACAGATACAAGAAAATATATTGATTTGAAAGATTTATCACTGCCAATGAATCAAATATTCCTAAAACAATTGAATAATAACTTAATGAAACTATTCCAACAGTAAAATCAACATTTGATATGACCACTACAAGTCTTATAATAAATAAATATTTATAAAACTTAACTTACTTGTTTATATAACCATCTACTATTGGATCTTTCATTATTTCCATTCTCTTGTCACTTAAATCAAGAAAATCCTAAAAAAAAATAATAAGAAAGTAACATCATATGTTAGGAAATCATATGTAATAAAAATGAAAGTACAGTGGGTTCACATTCAGGATTGCTCGTATTTTGTACATATCTACTGTACCAAAAAGGCATGTCATCTTCCCAAGAAAAGGAGGTTTAAATTAGCTTCCCCCAACTCAAACTGACTCTCACAACATGATGTATAGTCATCTTTATTAGCTTGGTTGGTGCAAAAAAGTAAAAACCTTAAACCCCATTTCATCTCATATTCATTTCTAAAAGGTAAAAAATGATGGCATAGCCATATTTTCTGAAAATTGCCACATTATCACCTTAAGAAAGTACCTATTTGATATCGATCAAAATAAACTGATATACATGGCAAGTATATTATGTATCAGACGTCATACAGGTTGAAATAAAAAAAAAGACAGACTGTTTCACTCTGAACAATCAATGGTGACAGTAGATACTAGTTGAATGAGGTGGGGATATATAACCATAATCATAGATAACTTACAGGATCCATAATATCTAGTTTCTTTGGTTCAATATTATCTCCAATAACATTAACAGCTATCAACCCAACCTATAGATAAACAATACACAGTAATATTAGTATTTCACTTAAACAAACAATACACAGTAATATTATTACTTTGGTTGTTAAACAAACAATACACAGTAATATCATTACTTCAGTTAAACAACCAATACACAGTAATATTAGTATTTCAGTTAAACAACCAATACACAGTAATATTATTATGTCCATTAAACAAGCAATACACAGTAATATTATTATTCCGGTTAACCAAACAACACACAGTAATAATATTAGTATTTCAAATCAAATAAGTTAACTTCAACTGTCAGGTTTATGATTGTTTAAAACTTGAGTGGTGAATTAACAAACTTAAATATGGGATTTCCACTTATATAATTCTATTCTTATATTAACATAACATACCCTTTGAACATTGGAGAATAATTTGGCCCCTTGATAACATTCTAATATTTTAATTATTAACAAGTTAAACTGGGGTGTAATTTGTATATAGCTTATTAACTACATCGCTCATACAGAAAACAAGAAAAATATTCAAGAATGATTCAACGACTTTTGGATTATCATATATTTAAAGCCATTGGTCGTTAATTGTATTTTTTTTTTTAAAATATCAAATTTTTCATAGTTTAATCCATGCTAAACTTTACTCCATTTCAAGGAAGAAAACAAAACCAAATACTAATGATAGATATCTGCTAGTTTGAAATTAATCGTAATAAATGGAATTTATCAAACAATTATAGGTGGCACTGGTTTGTTTATTATTGTCGGCAGAGGATGCTGAATGTTGAGAAACTTTCAATTCATGATATATTTGGAATACTGAATGGAATTGAGCCATTTTGGAATTATTATTCCTATTAGAGATTCAACTTTCACAATACTGTAGTTGGCAAGCGATTCAAAGTCTCTCAAATAACACCAAGCTTTTTTGTTTGAAGGTAATATTCAATTGAGTTTTCTTCACCTGATTATATTTATTTATATTTATTAATGTGGTTTTTTTTTATATTTAACTTTAATATTGACCTGATTATAAAGGTTATATCTATTAATGTGGTTTTTGTGCATATGTAACTTTAATACTGACCTGATTATAGAGGTTATATTTATTAATGTGTTTTATATACATATTTAACTTTAATACTGACCTGATTATAGAGGTTATATTTATTAATGTGGTTTTTATGTATATTTAACTTTAAGAAAACACCATGAGCATCAACATGTACAGATTTCAACTCTCTTGCTTTATATCCAGTTTTCTCATTATCTGACAATGATACATATCTGAAAAAATAAAAAATTTCATACTTAAAATATAATTTATAATCTATTCCTGAGACTCAGTCACCAACATTCCACAGAAACACAAAAATATCATTTTTAAATTCAATTTTATGTTTTAAAATCAATTTCAAGTTTTAAAATCAATTTCAAGTTTTAAAATCAATTTTGAGTTTTAAAATCAATTTCAAGTTTTAAAATCAATTTCAAGTTTTAAAATCAATTTCAAGTTTTAAAATCAATTTCAAGTTTAAATATCAATTTCAAGTTTTAAAATCAATTTCAAGTTTTAAAATCAATTTCAAGTTTTAAAATCAATTTCAAGTTTAAATATCAATTTCAAGTTTTAAAATCAATTTCAAGTTTTAAAATCAATTTCAAGTTTTAAAATCAATTTGATATTTTAAAATCAATTTGACACTTTATAATCAATTCCATGTCTTAAAATCAATTTCACTTGCTTGATAACTATATCTGTTTGTGTATCGAAACGTAGCATGTTAATAAATTCAGAAGTAGTATATCCATATAAGTGTTTTTAATTTAATCAATTTCACGTTTAAAATCAATTTCATGTTTTAAATTTCATGTTTCATAATCGATCTTAAAATCAATTTCCCTTAAAGAGAAAAAAAGAAGACTGTCATCAAAAGCCTATATCCTTGTATACCAAACCGAAGTCATATTTGTTTCAATTGAAACAGAAAAATGGTTAAATAAGACAAATGTTTAATTAACAAAATGCATAGCCAAATTTGATGTGTGTACTGAGTTTTATAAAAATATGCAAAAGAAACAAAACTGATTCAGAATGATAAAACCAGTTCAATATCCCTTTAACCTCATTTGGTGAGGGATAATAATACAGGCAATGTAATTAAAATGACAAATTGCTAGGCAACGTTAAGAGGCTTAACCAAGTACTGATCAGCGATTTTACCATTTTTTCAATACTTAAGTTACATTATTTGAATTCATGGAAGCTTATTTTAAGAACAATAGACAACTTTAACAGGGTTAATACATCAAAATAATTAAAAACTACAAACCCTAATCTTGTGTATCTGGCATTCTCTAATGATGGCTTGGTTCCATCGGGTACATCACCCACAAAAAATTCTATTTTCGTTGCTGTAACACAAAAGAACATTTACATGTATTGTCTAAATTTCACAAAACAGTTCAGCTGCATTACACGTACTTAAAGCTCCAATAAGCCAGAATAAACATCCAAAATGGAGTATAAGACCATACACAATCAAAAGAACTTTTTCTTTTATTACAAAACATTTTGATTGAAATATTATTCAAAGCGATCAATTCGAACTTAAATTATACTATGGTCATTAAAAGTTGACAACAATTTTAGTATTTTTACACTGTCATCTTTATCTGTCTTTGACAAATAATGTAATCATAATTCTATTTTATTCACACAAACCAGCCAATACTTCACAAAGTTGTTTTTGATATTCAGACGAGGGGGAACCACAATGGAAAATCATGATGAACTTTCTCGGTAAATGCACGGATCTAACATGGGACCTCCAGGAAAGCGACCAACCATGGCTTAACACCAACTCCATTTTTTGAAATAAACTGATTGTCAATAATGGCATGTTTTTGCAGGTTCGCTGTGTTATTCTGTACTTACATATAAGATATTGATGAGCTAGAATCTGTATTTTGCGTAACCGTGATCTGAAGTTTAACTGAATAACAATATCTTGCGGATATAAACAAAACCTGTGAAAAAATAAAATAATTTAAAGTAACGGTCAATAAGCATAATGGGTTGTATTTTCTATGGTCAACATCACATTTGTTATGAGCTGGAAAGACAAGTCTGAATGATTCCATAATCTGTATCCAGTGCAATAAATACAGAATACCAATTCATATCTAATCTCAACAAATACAAACATACTCTATAGCTAATGTTGGTCTAGTAAAAAGTTAACTGACTAAAAAAAAACGAAAGAGATTACAAGTTTTAACACTTTGAATCAAAATGGCTGTGATCTTGTAGTGTAGTAATGCTTGCCATATGAGTGGCTGTTTTTTTTTTTATGGCCACCGACTTCATTTGTTTACATCAAAACTTTTTGATGGGAGGGCTTTGCAAAGTTACTGGTTCTGGTTAAACATTTAAGTTTATATTACATATCATACAACACTATTACTAAACAAATATTTACCTTGAAGACTGCCATCCCTTGGTTAGTGGTCCATGAGTATTAAGTTCCGATGCCTTGAAATTTTCGTCTTGTCCCGATACATGGACAACACGAAATGGAAGCTTGTATGGCATCTTAGTTCTGTAATTCATAAATAACGGATTCATTTCAAAACAATTGTTATTGACCTGTCTTTACATTGATAATTAAAAACATTCACACATTCTAACAATAGTCATTTTAAATCGAGAACCAATGGAAACTCTCCTATTGACAATGTCTTCCAATTTTCTTCAGAGAGAAACACAGCATTACACAACCATAGAAACAGTTGCAGTTCTAGTGAGTTTGATGATTACCGAACAAGTCACTTCATGAACAAAGATAAATTAATAATCTAACAAAATCAATAACTATTTTTTTTGCCCTGCTAGGAATTTCCGGTCTTCAATGTTTATGTAAGTATCTACATTGTTCTTTGCATGTTCTGCAATAACCTTTGATCAATATTTCACAATAATACAATTCCTGGATATCTATCAATATGCATGTACCGTATGTAGGCTTATATTTATTCAACTTATGTTAACAATAATGGTTAGAAAAACAAACATCATGAATGTACTTCAAAAATAAATCCCAAATGAATGCGTTCTTTTTTATAACAAACTAATAAAGCAGGTTCCTTTATTTCTGTTTGATCTCTAAAGTTTAATTGTAGATTTTGCTTTGTAACACAAGTACAATATACATTATAATACAGAAAACAATATTATGCATCCATCCACGAACCAAATGAAACATGGGAATCAAAACAGTGACCTCATGTTAAGACTAGAGTCGGAGATGTTTCTGCGAAATGCTAACAAATTCAAACCTATTTATGCTCCATAGGCTTAAAGGACAATATTGGTGCCAGTCATTATCACATATGTGATAGAACTGGTTAAACGCGTTCAAAATATTATTTTATCACAGAGATCATTGCTACGATAGATGTGTAATCAATGCTTCAACAATCGGAAGCGACGAACGCAAAAGGAAAACACAAGTTATCCCTCTATATAACTGACTGAAGTGACGAGTGATAACAGATACATGGGCGAATTTCTGCTCACTTGGAAAGTGTTTAACCAGTTCTATCACATAAGTGATAATGACTGGCACCAATATTGTGCTTTAACCAAATGAAAATTTGATAGACTATTCCACTGAGATACAAACACATACAGGAATGATCTTATTCTTGCACCACTGCTCCAGAACAATGTAGAATGTTGTTTGGGTGGGGGGGGGATCTGTCCTCCGCCATCTTCTATTAAATATGTCAATAAAGTCGCTGATCGTGCATTATTCAGATAATATCTGACTTTCCAGAGCTTTTTATTATTGATTATTTAAAGATACTTTCCCAGAAAGGTATTTATCGGGTGGTTATTTTCAATAAAAGTATGTCAAATTTGGTATATATGGAAAGTATATATATATAGACACCCAGGATTATCCGAAAAACGCCCATGGGGCAAGCACTGGGCAAAATTGTCACTGTATCACTAACTGACAACCCAATTGTTATCTGCCAGCTTATTGTGTGCCAGCTTAAGTGAGGGAGCGGTTGGTATTTCTTGATCAAATGGTTAGTCGGTTTTGGGAATATTGAGGGGTGTCAACGTACAAAAGACTCTGCAAATAAACGGCGGAAAAAGAAGTTGACAGAAATAATTAAGAATTTACCTAGGCCCTAACAACAGCTTACTCATACATGTAGCTATAGGTATCCCTGGCGAATACAAAGTTTTAAGAGGTAATTGAAGCAAATTTTTGATAGATTGGTTACTTTGAATATGTTTTTAGTCCAAATATATCATCAAATCACAAAGTTTGTATGCGGGAATGTATCTTTAACATTTAATCAAAAAAAACAAACCAAACGTTTTTTACGATACATAATCTCCATCCTTGAATCCAATCGAATTAAAAACAGGCATTCAAAATAACTTTCACAATATTGTAGTTTGCAAGTGATTCAAAATCCTATAAATTAAATGATGTTAAGCCACTTTAATGTGTTAATGTTCCTTTATGCTGACATTATTCACCAATGTAGTTTGTTTGAAGTGCAATAAATATACCAGAAGATTTTAAGCTGATATTGCGGGAGCCATGATGACTCAATGAGTAAGGCACTGGCTCGCTAACCTGGAGGTCCTGTGTTCGATCCCAGCATTGATCAAGAAAGTTCATCAGGATTTTTCGCCGTGGTTTCTCTTTGTCAGTGGTGTAGGACAGAGGGCCTGGCTAGGTAGAACATATAGTCATTTGTTTTTCGGCTGAATAATATCACTATTAATATAGCAATCGTCATACAAACTAAATCAGAGAGATTTCAATTTGACAGTTTTTACGTATTTTTGAAACGGGTTTCGAAGTGTTTTGCTCTTGTTATGCAAGAACTTTTTCGACATTCCAAAGATAAATTTTAAAATGTTCCTATTTATTAATTAGAACAAGTTTCTCTTCAGTTTTAAGTTTATATATTTTACGCTGATGTGTATTGCATTTAACCTTCCAAGTGGAAAAACGGAAAATTTGACCATTTGACCTCCAGAGTCACAAATAATGAAGGTGAATTTAGCAAGTTTACATCTTTCTTTATTGAAGGCTGCGTATTCACTTTGACCTTTGACCCCGAACATCTCGAAAACGCCCCAACGGTCGACTGATTACCACTCGGCATCATATTCTACGCAAAATAATACTATCGAAAAGTTGGGTCTGGTTTTGTGCCTTTACAGAATTTACATATTGACCCTTTCAAAATTCTATACTGACTGTGAGATATTTTCCCTTATTGCGGTGTCAGCGATCAAAATGATCGAATTTCAAAATAAGTGCTTATAAATCATGGCATAACTAAAGTCAAGAGCTTTGTTTTGAATGTGAAATTATGGTGCAGTAGTTTTAAAGATCTAACAAATTTCTTTGATGTAGTATCCTATCCATTCAAACAGAGATACATGTAATATGATCCATGTTGTAGACAGGTGATTAACTGCGTTCCTATATAAATTACACGTGTAAAAGTCTTCAGTTCATCAAAGTCTGCTTTTATATGGTTTTCAAAATCTGTCAACTTTACTGTCTCTGAGCTCCCCCTGCCTTCACAAACATCTTTCGTTGGTTTTGTTCAACATGTGACAGAAGCCACAATGTGTTGTGATAAACACAAGCAGTCAGAAATGAAATGAAATAAAATGGGGTTTAACGTCCTACTGTTCGGCTCCGAACAGGGCTAATGAAGACGGGCATACACCATACAGAGTGCTATGAGGGAAATTTTGCCTGGACAGCGGATCTTTTACGTGCATGCCAATGTGTACATGGCACCTCGGGTTTTCGTCCCATCCAAACAACAGCTGTCCTTTTCAGGCCCTCCGTCCTGCACCACTGACAAGGGAGAACCACGCCAGAAAATCTGGACGAACTTTCTTGGCCAATGCAGGGATCCAACACCCGACCTCCAGGCTAGCGAGCCAGCGTCTTACTCACTTAGCCACCATGACCCCCACAAGCAGTCAGGTTATACATTGGAATATTTTATTGCAGAATGGATTTTATTTTATCAGATGTGATTTCAACCATGTGTTAAGTGCAAAATAACTATAATTACGTATAGGCCTATGTACTACATGTATCGTAGTTTATTCATACAGAACAAAAACACATACTGTCTGATTCATCGTAAATTTTAAACGGATTTCTTCGATTATGAACAAACTACTTAACTTTGGTTATTATAAACTTACCTGTGTGTTTGTAATGAACTCCCGTTTGATAAAATCCATTGCACAACTAATTATCACAACGATGAGAACAATTTCTCTCTTGAAAAATTTGAAAATTTACTTGTAATTTCGACAGAGTCGATGTAAACAATGTCTTCGTGACGTATTGGTCGAATCCAATATACCTGTTGCGGGGGTTGGTTAACATTGAAAGATAGTTTGACAGCACGATCATTTTGATCGTATATGGGTTTGGGCGACGAAAAATATCAATTGAAGGCAATTACATAGGAGATTTATATGGAAACCATTGATCGCCAGTCTATCAAATTTTCTTCACAATTAAAATATCACTGATTGCACGGATACTCATAAAAATAAAATCATGAATAAACTATAAATATCCTATCTTCTTTATGTTATAAATAATTTAACAAGGATCATGAAGCTTACCTCCGAATTCTCTGAGTGTATTTTTAATTTTATACGCATTCTTTCGATCGAATAATAACCGCTTCAGTAACATCTTTAAGCATGTTGCGGCAGCCCTCAGCGTGTCTATTGCCGTATTGGGTGCCCGGGTGGGTATATAATGCTACTAAGCCCGTATGACCCCGTAAGAAGCGGAACATTAATTCTCGATTCGACAGTTTTGACCAAAGTGTGATAAAGCCCGTAAAACGAATGTATAGTTGTGTTTGTGCGGCATGCATGTTCAAAAGTAAATAATCCCATCCGTTTCGCTAATCAAATAATTAGAACAAAATATTTCAAAAAGTAAAGCTATAAAATTTGCAGAGATTTTACTAGAATGTAAAAGACGGTAACTAAATACAGGAATGCGGGTAGTTATGTGTGCGAACGCTCAAACTCAATGCCAATTGTCGTAGGTATCCAGACCAGTCGGACCAAAGACTACTCGGACTAAGACCAGTCTGACCAAAACAAGACCAGTCGGACCAATTAAATTATATTATAAGGCTAGACAATATGCTATTTATTTATTATTAAATCACAATACAAAGAAGCAAATAATTCTTATACGGAATTCTTATATTTAGAGTTGTTTGGTTCAATTTTGTGTACGTAAATAAATCAACGATTAGTTTTAAAATTAATTAATAATGGTGCCAAAAAAAAATATCAATCTAATTTTTCTTTACTCTTGCAATGAGACTCGGTATGTCCAGACTTTTGACAGTTTCTACATATACGGGTATACTGTTCTTGTCTGATAGCCTAATTTTACTTTTTCCACATTCGCGGTATCCCCAGTGGTTTCATTCCGTTCTACCCCACTAACCCCTGGGTTACTATATATGGGGGGGGGGGGGTGGAGACACGTTTTCAAGTTATCCGCCCTTGATGCGTTAATATAAACAGCACATAATAATACGAAGACCGGACGTTTATATGCCCCTTTTTAAACGTGACTACAAGTGTAGTTCTCGATATTTTGCGATTTGGAATACAATTATCAATTTATTCAAACAACACGTTATTATTAGTTCGAGTAGTCATATTAAAACACACACAATTATCAATTTATTCAAATAACACTTTATTATTGGTTCGAGTAGTCATATTAAAATAAACACAATTATCAATTTATTAAAATAACACTTTATTATTGGTTCGAGTAATTATATTAAAACAAACGCAATTATCAATTTATTAAAACAACATTTTATTATTGGTCCGAGTCGTCTTTCTGTTGGGTCCGAATAGTCTTTTTGTATGGTCCGAGTAGTCTATTTGTTTGGGCTGAGTGGTCTATCACTTGGTCCGACTGGTCTTGAACCGAGTGATCTTTGGTCCGAGTGGTCATGGATTCTTGTCGTAATTGTACTTGAATTTCCTATGCTGTCACCCCTAATACGAAATGATATCTTCCGCAGAGTGACGTAACCATCTTCCATATTGGTATTTTTCTCTGGGAAAAGTTTGTGATATTTCAATTTTTCAAGAGAGAACTTGTTTTCATCGTTGTGAATATTAGTTGTGCAATGGATTTTATCGAACGGGAGTTCATTACAAACACACAGGTAAGTTTATAATAACCAACGTTAAGTAGTTTGTTCATAATCGAAGAAATCCGTTTAAAATTTACGATGAATCAGACAGTAGCTTTTATTAAAGTCATTGATGTTGCTCATGCTGTTGTTTTTTTTTATATTTTGTAAGTGAATTATAAATAATATAATAAATAGTGCCAAACTCAAAATCAAATCAATAACCGAAACAAGTAAAATGATTGTTCATGAAACATATCAGCAGCATCAGGGTTTATTTCGGTTTTTATTTCTTCACTTCAACTCAACAAATGAATTACCCTGTAGGCGATAAGGCCTAATGCATTATTTATTCCAATTATTATTACATATTGTATTCTAGTAATACGAAGACAAAGTCAGGAACCGAACTGTGAACTTTTTAAAGACGGGAAGACAATCAATAAAAAAATTGAATATCTATATCAGATCTACAGATAGATGTCATGCCATGTTGATTATGAATATGATCCAGAGGATATCATATGATGTTGAAGAAAATACAAAATAAACATGTCCATACTTGCTGAATATAATGCAATTTTAATGTGATTAAACATTTTTTAGAAATAATTTGCAGGTTAAGAAAAGTGTAAGGAACTTTGGGTATTGAATACTTACTCTTGAGATTATATAAGTATAAAAATTTGAATACTCGTGTGTATTCAGTTTGTCATTCTTGACAACACTCAGTTTGTGTACATTGGAAAAAATGGTGTCGCGACCGCGAGAAAGCACGAGAAATGGCTATTACATGTAGAATTTGATTATATTATGCATTATTATACTAACTTAAACTAAACAATGTATATACAGTCAAATGTGTCGTGTTTTATTCGATAAATATTAAGAATAAAGAATCTGAACGTTTATTTTATCACGTGATGTTAAAAATGGCGGTAAATACTAAAATCGAAAGTGGCTAAATTCCAAAGCAATAACGATTTATAAAATGCTTAGTCGTCTTATTGCTTTATTTACTGGTGGAATGAAGGCGTATAAAGTCCAAGATTTGAAAAGAACAGCGAGATATGGAATAACGGCAAAGAATTTTAAAGAATTTTTGAAAAAGGGGGCAGAAAAATTAAAGGTTGAAAACAATAAACTTTTAACACTATCTTAATCTTATCTATTTATTTATATATTGACATAGATGACACATCATGTATTGTAATGTTAATAATAATATAATATTTACGGGAGGGATGGATGGCCGAATGGTTAGCACGTGCGAACTGTATCATAAGGTCTGTCATTGAGTCAATTAGCTGCCGTGGTTTCGACTCCCAGGTTTTACGGGACAAAGGATGGTCGAAAGGAGTATTAAGGGTCGCCTGTCCAACCTTGTGGGTTTTCTCCGGGTGCTCAGGTTTCCTCCCACTGCTAAAGACCCCTACATGCAAGCGAATGATTGAAATAAAATCAAACCATGTGTTAGTCCCAAAATGACCTAGTATGTCAAGTGGACTTAAACCCCATTTCTCTCTTTCCCTCTCTATAACTATAATATTTACTTCCCAATCGGACTAGTCTGAATAGTTCTCTCAGTTACTACATCCATGGGAAAAATTACCTCTTTATTAGAGCTAAATTGTAGATTTCGGACAAACTGTCCGTGATTAGTTGTCATTGAATGAATGGAGGATACCCTTTAACTGCCCGACTCAGTGGATCTTTAACTTGCTGTCTGTGGACCTTGGTTTTTAGTCCCATCCAAATGACTAGATACTTTTCTAGTGTTGAAAATCCGATTGACATTTGTGATCCGAATACTTTTGTTGGCTATCCAAATACTATTCGGATAATTCGGAGACGTGAAATTCCATCAAAAGTTCATATACCGGTACTCATAATTACTTACTTGTTTCAATGTTTATGAGTGTCTGTGTACGACGAGTATGAAATTGTACTTTTGATTTGCAAATTGTTTGAGCCGCGAAGAAAAAAACGTGCCTACCTTTAGCCGTAATTATTAAGACTATCTATGACATCCCAAAAAATCAATGAGGTGAAGGAATTTGTATAGTATAACTACTCCTGTTATCCGTACCCTCCCACTTATCATTTTGCTCAATCAACACGAATGAAAAAAGTAAAATAAAAACATGTGCCATTTATACCGCCAAGGTCGTTTGCCTCATTCTGATAATCTACTACTATTGAACTAATCAGTAAGTTGGAATATACGTGACCTAGGTCGTTATGAATAAATTTCATTGTGGGAAGTCAAAACACGGTCTAAACTTGTATTCCGTAAACCAGCGCAGGGAATGAATGAATATTTTTTTTATTTAGGCTACTGTTTTCGTTGCACTGCATTAATAATTTTATTAGTTACTATCACTAAATAATACGCATAATGTTGACATTTATGCTCAGAGCTGCGTACGTGATCAATTGCATTGGGGAAAATTTCAAAGTAATCAGATGGAAAAATGGCTAAATATAGAGATAGAGCATACGGGATGTCAGAATATATTGTAACGAATAGTAAACGGATAGTAAAATGATTCGGATAACCCTTATTTTGTATCTGTTAACGAATATCCGAATAGTAGTTTCAACACTAAACGTTTCCTTGCCAGGCCCTTCCTCTGTCTTGCACCACTGACATGGGGAAGCCAGACTTGAAAAGCCAGATGAACAATTTAGGCCAACACCAGGATCTAAGTCAGGACAGCTTATTACTGAGTGGTCATCCAAGCCATTGGGGCTCTATCTGCAAATGGAATGGGATGGGGATGTAGTATAGGTCTACATTTTATTCAGGCCTAGTTTTAGAAGTTGAATATTCTGTATAAGGGTTGAGGAGCTTTAACCATGCTTTCAAATCTAACATGTCATGTCTTTATTTTATACTTATAATAAAGATACCAGAAGATGAAGTAACTATTGTACTTGAAGATGATGGTACTCTGGTTGATTCTGATGCCTTTCTGAAAACACTTCCCACTCAAACAGTTTTTGTATTTTTGCGTAATGGAGAACAGTGGAAAGGAGGTTAGTAGATTGCTTTGAATGTGTGTAATTACAGGAGGCATCCCAGAATGAAACAGGTTAAAATAGAAATTGTATGAAGTCTCCTTGAAATCATTGTCTGAGTGCTGTTAAACTATTTGAACCTACATGTGTATGTGGTATTTTAAAGGAGCTAAACCTCTAACTCAATATTGTCCATAATATTCCAAATTAAAAACAAGTATCAGAATTAAATATTAATCCCATCAATGAATATTGATGTTATCCTTGCTGTGAAAAACATCAGTATTTGAGCCTAGTCCTACTAAAAGATCACTTGGCAGTTGGAATTTGATATAAGAGTAGGCCATAGTTCCGCTTCCCTGGCAAAATTTCCCTAATAGCACACACTATGGCGTATGCCCGTCTTCATTAGCCCAGCTGGAACAGAACAGTAGGACGTTAAACCCCATTTCATTTCATTTCCTACTAAAATGTTCTGGGTTTAAATCCTGGGCTCAGAAGAGCCTTGGAATATTTTAAGTCTGGTTTCCACTTCTCGGGGATAATGCCTGCAGGGCTAATGAAACGTGTCTGGTTGTTCAGAATCTGAACTTCAGATGGTATGGAAAACCAAGGCCAGCCATATTCAAATTGGTGTGCATATAAAACAACAGTGTCTAAACATTAGTCTAAATGGGCTAATGTTTCTTACGTGTTTAATTTTCATTGTAATTCAGCTGGTGCCTTAATACATGATGCCTTACAGAAATTATTAAACTGTACTAGGAAGAATCAGTTAGCTGAACAGATTCGTGAGTTTATGGAAGATGATGATTCACCTAGTAAAATTCATGTTATGTCTAGTTATCTAGAAATGTTAGGCACTGATATTAAATCTGAACAAAGATATGAAAATGAAGAGTGGTTTGAAGGTACTTTATTTCACATTTCATACAGTACCAGGCCTGGAAATAACTGTTTAATTGTACCATACAAAATGTCAGTATTAGTAAAATCAACGAAAGTGACAAATCTGAGCCAGACAAAATGACAGGAGAGAGAGAGAGAGAGAGTTAACCTCTACTCAACACAAACTAGGTCATTACGGGACTAACACATAGTTCAATTTTATTTCAATAATTTGCTGGCATGTAGGGATCTTTAGCAGTGGGAGGAAACCAGAGGACCCCAAGGAAACCCACGAGGTTGGACAGGCGACCATACTCCTTTTCGTGTACAAGCGGGGAAGCGAAAAAACAGGCCACTTGGCTCAATGACAGACCTTCTGATTCAATGTGAAGGTGTTAACTATTCGGCCCCCCCCCCTAACAGGCACCAGAGAGATTGTGCCTGAAAATGTCTGTGACAGGTGCCTTATTGCTAGGCTTGAGTACCTGATTTTGGTTTTGGAAGCAGTTGTGAGTAGCAGTTTCTGTTGTATTTTTGTATTGCACATCGAAATTGACATGATCAGGAACATGTAAAAATATAAGCAGCATGTGGGATTGGCCTCTTTAGAAATTATAGATTAGAGGGGATTTTTAAATAGACCATAAAAAAATAGAAAAAAGAAGAAAACTATAATCAATTTTGCACATAGTTAACAGATTATGCAAAAAATCGGTTTTCTCCTTGAGAAACAATTCAACATTTCTTAGAAGATACCAAAAGAGGTGATAGTTGACCTACAAACTTAGATTTCAGTTAACATTATAAGAAAACCAGCACCAGGCCTGGGAATAATGAATTGCATGATACCAAGAAAAGAGAGATCTTGGAGAATGTACTCTGACCAAAATATTCTACCTCAGGTGAACTTCTTGTAATTTTGAGTATTTTTGTGTGTTACAGGTATAAACAAGAAATATAAGACGAAGAGTGATCTCATGAAGAATAGTGCACAGACACGTATTAGAAGTTATTACACTACGGTATGATGATATATACTAACAAATGTTGAAAAAAATATAAATCAAAACATTGTATTAGCTGGTTTGATGTAATTTTATGTCAGCTTTCAATTAGCTTTTAAAATGTTTATGAAACTAAATAAACTATGATCTGCTTCAATATCAACAATATGACAGTAAATTAAAAGTAATATTGAACACAGAACAAAATACAAATTCAAACTACAATACATGTATTTAGGAAATAAGTCATATAAATTACATGTGTAAATAGTCAATTTACTACATATGTAAGTCAAAAGTAATCATATTCATATAAGCATTAACTAAGAAATGTGACTGCATAACTCCTGTTTTACATAGTTTACACTGGTTACCTTTTAAAGATTGAATTGATTTAGCTCTTGTTTACCTCTCAGATCTTTTAGAACTTTATACACCCAAAACTGTTCAACTAGACTCTTATTGTCAGCGCTCTTTTAGTTATCAAGTACCTGTTTTATAGGATAATCTACCATTTAGTTTAAGATGTGGAACATCTTTATATTCTTTTAAATAACAACTTAAAACACATTTGTTTAATCAAACTTTTAACTGACTCTGAAAACAATTGTCCATAATCTTTTTGGTGGGGGGGGGGGGGGAGTATGATTATATTGTCACTTTTTAAAGTGCCCCTGAACACGTGATATGAAAGTGCTCACTATAAATATGCTGTAATAATAATAATTACCAGGTTAATAGTTACAAATATGTCACGAATTCCTCTTAATGTCTTCAGTGATAAAGGGTAAACGATGATTTGCAGAAGAGCAAGTCGAAAACTTGAACATGAAACTGACACAATTTTGTAAATGTGGGGGATTGGATGGCTGAATGGTTAGCATGTGCGCGCTGTATCATAAGGTCCGTCAATGAGTCAACTGGCGTGGTTTCGATTCCCCAGTTGTACATGACAAGGAGTAGGGTCGCCTGTCCAACGTAGTGGGTTTTCTCGAAGGTTCTCCGGTTTCCTCCCACTACTAAAGATCCCTACGCGCAAGCGAATTATTGAAATAAATTGAACAATGTGTTAGTCCTAAGATGATCTAGTTTGTGTCAGTGGATGTTAAACCTCATCTCTCTCTCTCTCTCTCTCTCTTTCTCTCTCTCTTTTTTAAATGAGAAGTCAGTCATGTATAACTGTATTACATCATGGTGTGTTTTGGGGGAAGTAGTGTACAGAGTTATAAAAAAATAACATCTTTACTTTATTATATAGGCTAAAGATCAGATTGAAAAAGAGGCTAAAGGTCATACCAAGGAAGTTTTATTAGATTTACTCCAAGAACTTACTGAAAAATTGAAAGCCAATGATTTTCATGGTCATTATTTTGATCGGACAGCCAAAGCTGGAAAAAGACTGTGTGACAGGGAGGGCTGGTTCCGTTGTCAAGGTGCTTTTGATGTAAATAAATGTGAATTATTACATACTATCAATCCCTACGCCTCCCGTGGTTACAGGCAGTTATTTGGTTTGTGGAATTTGGATCATATGTAAGTATGAAATCTATAAATTGTTTAAGTGGCATTTAGTAACTGGATGAGAATAACACATGACACGATTATATGGAATACAAGTTATTTTAGAAGTTTATTTCTGGTGATGGTTAGACGAGGATTCTCACATCTTTATCAAAAGAGAGAAATGGGGTTTAACATCCACTCGACTCAAACTAGGTCATTTTGGGACTAGCATATGGTTCAATTTTATTTCAATAATTCGCTTGCGTGCAGGGGCCTTTAGCAGTGGGAACAAACCGGAGGACCCGGAAATTACCCACAGGGAATTAAAATCATGTTACTTGACATCTCCCCCCCCCCCACTCCTCCCACAAGTTTGTGTCGAGTGGACGTTAAACCCCATTTCTCTCTCTCTCGTTTCTGTTGGTTCCATCGAATAATGTTGATAGTTAAACAACTGATTAATTTATGTCGTATAATATTGTATGTCTTATTATTATAGAATCGAAAAATCAAGAGAAGTTATTCCTACTTTAATAGAGGCAGCCAAACAGAAACCAAAAGATAAACATATCGACTGGAAATATGTCTATAAGCTTCTGTTCACAGCATCTAATCTAAAATTAGTTCAAATCGCATGTCATAAAAAATCTGCTCGAGAAGGAACATTGAAATGGCAGGATTTCTGTCAATAATGATACCAGCTGTGGAATAACTAAAAGTTATAAACTATTGTTTAATGTCATAAAGAATCAAGAGTAAGAGACTGTTTGTTTCAGTGTGATCTTGACTAAGATTTAGTTCTTGTAAAATGTTTCTCTGAACAAAACAGGATAAACCTTTGCTGAATGTGATCAGTTATCAAGATTAAGCGACTGTTTCTTTCAGTGCAATCTTGATTAGGGTTTAGCTCTGTGATGAACCAAATTAAGCTGTTATCATAAAGTAACCAGCTGATGCTAAATGACATAAAGTATCTACTGTACATTTAGCATCAGACATTGTTTGTTTCAGAGTGATCTGGATCAGGTTTTGTCTCTGTAGAGAACGAAGTTAAGCTGTTATTAAATGTCATCCAAGATCACGAGTAAGATACTGTGTCAGTGTGATCTTGATTAGGGTTTGACTAAATTAAACTGTTGCTAAATAAAGGGCCTTATGTAAGAGACTGTGATCTGGACTAGGGTTGTACCCTTATGCTGCATCAAATTCAATATAGTGTTCCTCATAATGACAGTATTTATACATTTTTTTAAGAACAGACTGACTTTCAAGAGAGCATAAGACAGATAAAACATATCATTTGTGAGGTAGAAAGCATTTTTTGTACGTTCTTCAATCAGTGGTTTCACTATGATTTCTGTCATTTTTGATACTAGATTTTAAAAAAGAATTCCATAAAATTGTTTATTTTCCCCTGAAAGTCTAGTGTAAAATATGAATGGGAATAATTTTTTTAAATTTGGTGCTTATAATCATCCAGGTACTTCAGGACAACCCCAAAAATATAAAAATTTGGATGCTGTGTGATTATTGACCAATTTATCATCTTAGTTTAAACTCAACCTTTGATACTTATGAAGGTCATGATGATGATGTCCTTATTTCGAAAATCAAAGATTAAAAATCTGGGTTTTTTTTGTGGTGCTAATATATATATGAATGATGATATCCTTATTTTGAAAATCAAAGGTTAAATTTTTTTTTTTTGTGGTGCTAATATAAACTCTTAAAAAAGAAATTGGGGATATTGAAATGCAAATACCTATGCAGGTTGCGATATGATAAATAGCCATGGACATTTGACATGCTTTTAGAGTATGTTCACAAATGAAGAACTTATCGTCCCAATAGAACCACTCAGCTGCATATGTGACACGCAATAGCACCATACACGTGAGAGGGGTTCATTGTCAAATTTGACACTTCAAGGAAGGGTTGATGAAAACTGCCGCGTGCTGGTTTATCTATCCATGTTTGCTTTTCTATCGGTTCTTGCATAAGATTTACTGTTTAGCGTATCTTTGCTTTAGTGTGTTATGTTTAATTTGATTGGAGATGTGTTCGTCGACGTCAACGTCAACCGACAACACTGCAAGAATTGGCCGTGGCACTGCAAGAGGAGTGGGTCAGATTGCCCCAAATCGTGATTGGACGGTTGATTAGGAGCATGCCACGACGAATGGCTGAATGTCTGAGAATTGGTGGAGCAATTACTCATTATTAAGACAAAAATCAAAAACGTCCATTTTCACTTTTGACGGTGTATCTCTTTGCGAGTGAAATGGAGCCATCAGATAAGCAGCCCATATGAACTGTTTATGTTCATGTGTAGGCAATTGGCCTGTTATTAAAATACACTGGTTACCTCTAATAATAACAGCAGTGCATTTCCGCAGTTTTGTTTTGTTTCTGGATATCCCCTACTTTTTTTGAAGAGTATATATATATATGAATGATTTGGGAATTTTGTGTGTGGCTTTAATTAAGTTTAACCTTACCAAAGTCGACCATGGACTTTAAAAGTAAATGTAGTGTGATTATGAAACTTTGATATGAAATTTACTGTATGTTAGTCAGAAAATGACTAAAGTATTATGTTGGTGAAATGTTAAGTACCATTCCAATATAAAACTTACTTAGCATCGAACCTTACAAACAATCTGTATTAATTGTATGTATTTTTATATGATCTCTGTTATGTATATTCAACTGGAATCCAGATCTATAATATATGTACATCATATTAATTGTTGTTGCTATATACCAGTATAAAAATATACATTTTTATATTAATAAATGTTAAAGATGTTTGCCATATTTTATATTTCATGTATTATGTACAAACCAGTAGCACATGCTGTAGTAATAGGTCCTCTTTGGGACCTTAAGCTGCACATGACTGTAGGTGAATATGAATTAAGACAGTCAAGAACCATTGTTTTATATGGTATGGGTCAAGTTACTCAAGTACCATAAATTTTATATATAATATGGTATGTGTCAAGTACCATAATTACTTGTAAGGTATGGGCCAAGTACGATAATTTCTTATATGGTATGGGCCATGTACCATAATTACTTGTATGTTATGGGTCAAGTACCATATGAAGTACTATAATTTCTTATATGGTATTGGCCATAATTACCCGCATGGTATGGGTCAAATACCATATCAAATACCATAATTTCATATACATGTATTGTATAGTATTGGTCAAGTACCATGATTTATTCTATGTTATGGGTCAAGTTCCATAATTTATTCTATGTTATGGGTCAAGTACCATATCAAGTACCATAATTTCTTATATGGTATGGGTCAAGTACCATAATTTCTTGTATGGTGTGGGTCAAATACCATGTAATTTCTTATGGTATGGATCAAGTACCATAATTTCTTATGGGACGGATCAAGTACCATAATTTTTGTTATGGTATGGGTCAAGTACCATAATTTCTTATATGACGATTATGTTATACTAGTACGACATAGTATGTTGATGTATTCATAATATAATCAGTTAAATTTAAGTAAAGTTGCTGTACTGCCCGAATTATTTTATCCATTGAATTAACTTAGAATACTCATTTTAATGAAGTTTATTGTTTTAGCAACAAAAATATTTTTTCTGGCAGCTTGGTTATATTTTTCTATATGGATTGTTTGAATCTTGAAGGGCTATACCTTTTATTGACAGTTATGTTATTTATAAAAACTTGAATATTTAAGTTAATAGTAATTGAATGTTGCAACTTTGGATAGAAATGAAGTTATCTTTTCGCTGTATCACCTGTTTCATTCTTTATAACAAAACTTTCAAATGCCCAAGAAACAGAACAATTGTCAGAGAGAGAGAGAGAGAGAGAGAGAGAGAGAGAGAGAGAGAGAGAGAGAGGAGAGAGAAGAGAAGAGGAGAGAGAGAGAGAAGAGAGAGAGAGAAGAGAGAGAGAGAGAGAAGAGAGAGAGAAGAGAGAGAGAGAGAAGAGAGAGAGAGAGAGAAGAGAGAGAGAGAAGAGAGAGTGAGAAGAGAGAGAGAGAGAAGAGAGAGAGAGAGAAGAGAGAGAGAAGAGAGAGAGAGAAGAGAGAGAGAGAGAAGAGAAGAGAGAGAGAGAGAGACTCGACACAAATTAGGTTATTTCAGGACTAACTTATGATTCATTATCGCACTTAGGTATTAATATAATGAAACCATACACCAAGTTTCATCACTCACTTAATTAGAACCAAAGTTATCGAGTCCCAAAGCATCAACCAATCAAATTGATGATCTCTGCTTACCCTAAGCAGAAAATGCTCATTTTCAAACCCCATTAAGGCATTCACCTAATTAACACCTATGCCAAGTTTGAACATTCTACCTCAATCAGGAGAGTTAATGTGTCCCAAAAAGTGTGACAGACAGACAGATCCATTACAATAGTACCCTGCTTTCTTCGAAAGGCTGGGGACAAAAAGTAAACAAAAAAGACAAGTGTTTAAGTTGTGTTTTAGTTTAATAAACATGGTACATATATACATATATATTAACAAATAATAATTAACACTAATTGATTCTAATTAAAGTTACAATTTCATATTTTTAAGTTATATTTTTAAAATGTATTAAAATCAAGCCCTAAAATAGATGGTATCTATAAACAGTCCTACCTTGTTAAAGAATAATCCTATTAATCCTATAATTCACTATTGGGAGGTAATTGTGTTATTATTTCCGGTGTGAAAATTTTTAAGTGTGAGAAAGATAACCTATGATCGTATAATAGTGAGTTGACAACCTATTGAGCAAAAGACATAGAAATAATTATGTTTTGACTTTCTTAGAAAATATGAAATTGTAACTTTAACAAAATGTTCAATCTAATTCCTAATACAGACATGCTAACCAATGATAGAGAGAGAAATGGGATTGTCCACTCCACACAAACAAGGTTATTTTGGGACTTAGGGGTCTTTAGCAGTTGGGGGAAACCGGAGGACCCAAAGAAAACCCATGAGGTTGGACAGGAGACCCTACACCTTGTCACGTACAACCGGGGAATCGAAACCATGCCAGTTGACTCAATGACAGACCTTATGATGCAACTTACACACGCTAACCGGCCATCCAACCCCCCTCTCTGTCACAGACAATGTCAAGCACAAATCCTCTGGTGTGGGTCATATTGTCTGGTACAGAATTGTCTATTCATTCAACAAACCGTTCCATAAATCAAATTACCGAATGGTATCATTTTACATAGTTATGTTTTTGATTATGAAACTATTTTTTGTTGAAATCAAGTTTTTTATATGAATGACGCAATTTTACATTTAGTATTATAAATGTAACTTTAATTTTACATATCATAAGAAATTCTGGACTTGTCTAAGTGCAAAATAGTTTTGTTATGAAATTGAATCTTTTGATGAATTGAATCTTTTTTATATGAATGATGCAATTTTACTTTTAGAATAATAAATGTAACTTTAATTTCATATCATAAGAAAAGTGCTAAATAGTCCAACCGGCAAAATTTAAGAATTACTGTAGTGCAGATTCTATAATAAGCTATAATAAGAGTGGGTTTTTTTGTTACTAGAACAGGATTTATGATGATAATGAGTGTTCATTTAGAACTAAATTGTTCTAGGTAACAATCTAACTATAAACTGACCCAATCATCTTCTTTTGGTAGATGTTTTTTTTTTCATTGATCTGCAGTTTGTTTTTATATAAAAATGATTTTAATAACAAGAACTTTTTGTTTTTAAATTTATTTTTTTCTCACAAGAAATAAGAAGCAAAATATTAATAGATGTTCCTGAAAAAGAAAACTGATTGGCATGTCAAATGTCAGTGTTGGGTTTTCAGAATTAATTGGCAGACAGATTTTGTAATCATTTCTAATATTTTGTCAAATCGTAGTTTTAACATTGTATTTTTAATATTTCTATGAATTTTGACCAACAAGGACAGCTGTCTAGTCATTTGGAAGATATGAAAAACCAATGGCCCATGTACACATTGGCGTGGACATAAAATATCCCTTGGCAGTTGGTATTCAATATAAGAGTAGGCCATAGTGCCTTTGTCCTGGCAAAATTTCCCTCATAGCACACTGTATTGCATATGCCCGTCTTCATTAGCTCAGTTTAAGAGTATTATTATAAAACATTTATATAAGGCTGTCTGGAGTCTTTACCAAAGGAAGGAGAGAGAGAGAGTTAACATCCACTCAATACAGACTAGGTCATTTCGGGATTAACATATGGTTCACTTTTATTTTAATAACTTGCTTGCAGTGGGAGGAAACTGGAGGTCCCATAGAAGACCCATGAAGTTGGACAGGCAACCCTATTTCTTGTCACGTACCAGCGGGGAATCGAAACCACACCATTTGACTCAATGACAGTTCTTATGATTTCACGCGCACGCGTTAGACCACCCCCCTTCCCGTATTTATATAAAACATTTATATACATGTAATCATAGAATATACGATCTATGATTTAATGCTATTTCTAGTTTTCATCAAAGTGCTCATCCTGCACACAGAGACAGGTCTACTTCATACTTTGAGAAGAAATCTCTGTTCTACACACAAAGACTAAATATACCTATTCAATTCCATCAAGCAGAAGCAGAATAAATAAGTTTTGGACTTAAAATGTCAATCAACTAGCTTAGTGTCTCTTCTTAAGTGGAGCTAACTGTAGACAGGCAGGCTAAGTTTAGTATTGATGCTACAACAGGCCTGGAAATAATGATTTTGGTTGTACCGGACAAGATGTCTGTGACAGGTGCCAATACTTCCAGGCTTGTCGATGTTCTTAGTGTCTCTTCTCAAGTGGAGCTAACTGTAGACAGGCAGGCTAAGTTTAGTATTGATGCTACAACAGGCCTGGAAATAATGATTTTGGTTGTACCGGACAAGATGTCTGTGACAGGTGCTAATACTTCCAGGCTTGTCGATGTGCTTTATATAGCTGATTAAACAAAAAGACAAAATATTTTCTGATTATTTAAAACGTTTTATTACATAAATCTTTCATTAATTTAACAATAATATTTGAAATTACAACATATACACTAATGATAATTTATGTCGCCTACAGCTTTAATAGAATTAAGCCAATAAAATGATGCACCAGCTAAATCACAAATATGTACTGCTTACTTTCACCTAATAATAATAGTCTAATATATGTCACATGTTTGGAGGACATTACTTAATCATATACATAATAAATAATAACTATTCTGAAATCTTTTCCATACATACACCAGTCCATTATTATAAAGCTTGTTATGTTCAGAATTTTTTCAATAAGATTAGCCTATAAATGCATTTTTTAAAAAATAAAATACAATTCTTTCTAAAACGAATTTTAGTCAAGAAGGTTCCTTAGGATTTTCCATTGGTCTTCTTGTTGTCAGTGATGCAAGACTAAGTTCCTGGCAAGGAACATTGTCTAGTTGTTGGGATGGGACAAAAAAAATACCCTGATGTCCTGTGTACACATGGCCATGGATATAAAATCTGGAATTCGACAAAGAATAGGCAGATTTGCTGCTGCCTGGGAAAAATTTCCCTGATTGCATACTGCAGGATGCATGCCCGTCTTCCTTAGGCCTGTTGGTTCAGCAAAGTAGGGAAACCCCCACTTAATTTAATAGATGCTCTAATTTATTGACTATTTCTCCATTAATTACAAACAATTTATGAGAATTCTGTGTGATATTCTTTATAAATATGTTAGTAAATCTTTTAACATAGATATTGAAATGACTAGTCATTCGTTTGATGTGTGTATTTGCTACATTTAACATATTAGGTCCAGAGACAGGCAGTTATGTAGCAATAACTGATATTTTTTTCTATCGTCAACAGTTTAATCAAAAAACAGAAATATAATTAGTAAATTTAGTAAGCCAACTTTCTGCCTCCTAATAACACCTCAGATCAACTTAATTCAATACTTTATTTTGACATCAATCAAAAAGGTTTAGTTCTCGAAATAGAATAATATTCATAACTTTATATAACAAGGGTGGAAAATAAGGTCCTACCAGAGCCTATCTGACATTTTGCCCTTGGGGGAATATATATATATACAAAGGTAGATAAATAAGTGGTTAAACAAAGCAGATTCCCAAAACACTATACATATAACTATACATATCGTAGATACAGTGGAATGTACACATTAGACATAGAGAGATAACGCCTGAACTAATAGATTAATATGTCTATTCATAACACACAGACATTTTGGACATTATAATTTTTAAAACTGAGTTTATAGCTTGAAGAATAAAGTTTATTATGGACTGTTTAATTAAATAGTTCTACTGTTTTGATCATGATCGGGACCAAGTTAATATTGTCGTTCATCTTGCTTCTGTTTTATTTTCTATGCACCACTGCTGGCCATGGTAGCTCTCGATGTTTGTAAGATAGCCACAATAAGTCCAAACAGACCAATAGCACTGCCAAAGATTTCAATAATTAGAATTTTTACAAAGAGCGAAGAGTTTGCAGCATCTGCCAAGGCAGCACCAGATCCAACGATTCCTACACATATTCCACAAGCCAGATTAGTTACACCAACAGTTAAACCAGCTCCAAACATCATATAACCAGCAGCATAGTTCTGATATATTTTATCCTTGTCATTTTCCAACATGGTCAAATCAAAATGCACAAGGTTGGTACTGATGACAATCGCCATAATAATACCATAAATAGCTACAGCTTCACAGAAAATGATACTGATTAAGTTTTTGGTTTTAATACGAGGGGCCTTAACTCCACCACCGGAGATACTTGTTCCAGTTGTGTAGATACCCCATGCTGCCCCTACTACTGATAAAGAGATGGCAAATCCAGTACCGATCAGTGCCCACATATACGGAGATGTTGATTGGAGAAACCATCCTATGTCAAATCGTGATCCTTTCCCTGTTAGGTTGTAATACAGGCCAATGAGAATAAGGATTCCAATGAATATTCCGTAGAGGCTATTGTAAACAAGCCCGGACTGTACTCCAACGGATTTAGTTGGTTCCTTTTCCATTTTCGACTTTTCCTAATTATATATTTGTCCTCTCAAAACCTCAATATTCACATGACCAGGAAAATGTGTCACATGACCTTAAAATCGATATCCGGTTTGTAGGCTCGACTGTGCGCATGACTCCTACATGCGTCTGTTTATATTTTTATCACTGGGTATTCGGGAATTTTTGGTAATCTCGATAGTCTCTATCACCCAAACAATCACTGTATAGCATAAATGTGCAGAAAGTGATCTGCGATATCACTTCAGTGGAAAAGGACGTTAAAACACCAAGGTACTAACTACTACTACTGATCACCGATAGGGTTGACGTCCGCGGAAGCAATATTGACCTTTTTTCCTGTGCAAATTAGATCCTAAAACAATTTTTATAATTATTAAGACAAAAATTGAATATGTTGGAAGAATATCTGGATAAAAAATATTTTCTATTTAGTGTAAATTAGTAATAAAAGGCATTAAATGAGTAAAAGGCGCCAATTCTGTCCGTATCAGTTTGTTTAACTTGTGCTAGTGCTACATCCGATGTAAATAAAATGAAATGAAATGGGGTTTAATGTCCTACTGTTGTAGTCCGACTGGGCTAATGAAGACAAGACAGTGTCTTCCATCCCACAGGTTAACAATACTATGTGTAACATATACATGAGATTAAAACCAATATCCAGAATCACGCCGGAAAATCCCGATGAACTTTCTCGGCCAACGCAGGGATCGAGCACGGGACTTCCAGATTAGCAATGTCTTAGGCCTACTCACTTAGCCACCGTTGCTCCCCGATGTTCAGAACGCGCGTATCCTATGACGTCAAACGTTGACCTATAATGCACGTGAACTTAAATGAGAGAGGGAAAGAGAAATGGGGTTTAACGTCCACTCGACACAAACTTGGTCATTTCGGGACTAACACATGGTTCAATTTTATTTCAATGATTCGCTTGCGCTTAGGGGTCTTTTGCAGTGGGTGGCAGGAAACCGGAGGACCCGGAGAAAACTCACGAGGTTGGACAGGCGACCCGGGCATACTCCTTGTCACGTACAACCGGGGATTCGAAACCACGTCAGTTGACTAAATGACAGACCTTATGATGCAGCGCGCACATGCTAACCATTCCCCCCTCCACCCGTCATGTCTGAAATGAGAGAAAGGGAAACATTTAAAATTAAAACTGTTGAAATGAACTTTTTTATAAAAATTAAGAAGGGAAGCTTGTATAATAAAATTAACACCGATAGGGCCTACCGATATTTCATTCTTTGATCGGATGCCCCCCGCCCCCGCTACTGCTTCGACCGACTCTACCCCCCCCCCCCCCAAGTATATGTGAGGTCATATTTCTGAAGCTATGACCCGAGAAATGTTGAGTTGGGGTTAGGTATAATCAAACGAAAGCCTGACAATCAGCAAAACCTGACAGAAAATGTAAATTCAAACCCCTTTCTTCGATTCTATACACCAAAAAGGACAAAAATCAAAAAAATCGACATGCATGGAGGCAAAAAGAGAAAGAGAGTGAAGGTCTTTTAAAAGAATGGGTTACGTTTAAAGGGCCAATCTTGATATTTTTGGGGAGAATAAAACTGCTTAATTCTGTGTTAAAACTAACTCAATATTTGTGATACGTTTTCAAACATTTAAAACCCGTCAGTCTTCATCTGGAAATGGAAAACGGTGTCCCAAACTGTATTATACTGTGTCTTTATTTCTTTATTTTATAAAACTACATGTAATGTGTAGGTGAAATTTACCTTTCTTTATCAAGTACAGCACGTGGGTCATTTACTATATAGACCTCTAAATGGACGGAAATCGATTATCAGGTAACCCAACGGAAACATTGACCCGAAATCTAAAAAGGATTACGTGTCCGGATAAGCATTTTTGACGTTCACGTAGAAACGACTCAATATTTTGAGCTAAAGACCCCTACTAGACGCGCAAGCGAATTATTATAATAAAATTGAACCACAATTTCAGCCCCGAAAAACCTATTGAAACGAGTGAATGTTAAACCCCATTATGGTGTTCTAGGTCATAATTTCAGTAATCTGTCGATACTTTAAGCGCTTCCCCCAACCCTAAAAAAAACCCAAACAATTAAACGTTATGGTGTAGACCCAACGTCTTACTTCTCGGTACCAAAAGGGCAAATGAAGACGCAAATGAAATGGGATTTAACGTCCTACTGCTCCGACTGGGCTATTGAAGACGGGCATAGTGTGCTATGGGGGAAAGTTTACTCGGATAGGGTCGCTACGACCTTCTCTTACATCGAATTCCAACTGCCAAGGTTTACGTTCATGCCAATGTGTACACGGGACCTAGGTTTTCGTCCCATCAGGGCTGGCGCCATTAAATTGCCAATGTAATAATTTACATTACCATTACCATTACTTTTTAAATGTAATCATTACAATTACTTTCTCATTTTTAGCAATGAAATTAATTACCATTACCCATTACATTGAAAGTAATTAATTACCATTACCATTACTTAATGACTATATATCCGAAAGACTAATATACGTTGTCCTTGGTCAGGCCCTCTATTTTTCACCACGGACAAGGATTAACCACGCCGGAAAATAATGATGAGCTTTCTCGTCTAAGGCTGGGATCGAACACGGGACCTCTGACAGGTTAGCCCCTTGTCCTGCACCACTGACAGCCACGCTGAATAATCACTGGGAACTTTGTCGGCCAAGACATGGTTAGTGAGCCAGCGAATTACTAACTGGGCCACTATTATAGCTCCCCAAAAGACAATCACCGAAAAAGGAAAGACAGTTTACAAACACATACAATTTGATGATTGGCCAATAACTTCACGTTACCAGAACTCCGACTTCGATGAAGTCAGATCTTAATGAAGTAAAATATATATATAAAAAAAATAATAAATAAATAAAACGAAACGTAATAATTGAAATATAATAGTAGTCGAACAATCTCATCAATATTAGAAAAAAAAAAAAAACTTCAAGCGTCAGTGGCATCAGCAGAATGTTGAAGCGTGTTTTCGGAGTCAGGGCAATCAATACTCATAAAATTTATCATGCGTGACATCAAGTTTAAAAAAAGCCCCACTGGCCCACAGAGAAGTTTCGGGGACAGGGGCAGTAACTCTGCGACTCTTAATATCGATTTCTTCATTAGGTCTAGCGGAAAACTCCTATCAGGTTTAAAAAAATAAATCCTTGTAATACGTTTAGAAAAGTTTTGAACGGATGAATAAACAGATATTCATGGTGGGGGAGGGGGTAGGACAATAAAAATCTATTTCATATAAGGTCTTGTAGACGGGAAATTACACTAAGAAATTAGTGCGAAACTATCGAGTTTAGTATTAGTAATGAATAACTTTCGGTGCGTTATTGTGTTTCTGCGTGAAATAACTGTGCTTTACGCCCGTTTCCTCAGCGAAATGATATTGCAGACAGTGGCGGATCCAGGAGCATCCACCCCTCCCACCTCTATCAAACTATAGACAAATTACTTATTATTCTGTTTCTACGAAACGTGTAAAGGGTTGGGTGGTTGAATGGTTTAACGCCAGCGCTTTAGTTCTGTCATCGTGGTTTTGATTCCCAAGGAGTAGGAAAACGCCTACCCAACCTCGTGGGGTTTCTCCGGGTCTTGCGGTTCTCTCCTACTTCTAAAGACTACTCCCTATGCGCTAGCGAATTATTGAAATGCATTTGAAATGACCTAGTTTGTGTAAATTGGACGTTACCCCCACCTCTCTTGAGATTTATGTTGGTTGGGAGTGGCAATTGTCCCATCACCGGATGGATATGCGCCACAAATCACCACAGACACCCAGGTCTTCCAAAATTTTCTCGGAGAAAATCCCCGAGCTCCTACCGTTTATAAGGCCCTGGCCCTTTTCGTTATCCCGGTTGGTGCAGAAAAGTAAGACATTAAAGGCTCAATACCACTCTTGTTGTAACTGAATAATATGTCCCAATCTTTATTCTGATCAACAAATTGTACTATTTTTCAATATTCCAATTAATTGATGATACAAATTTCATCTTAACACACCTAATTTAACAAATTGTAAATTAAATGATTTAAATGATTTGAAAAGCCTGACTTAAAGCTTTTCAAATGTGACTTTGATTTAAAAATATTTTTGAACCCTCTGGACAAGTAAAATAAGATTTAATGGATAATTTACACATCAGGTAAGACACTAACACATCTAGTACTTAGAATAAGGCTATTTTTTATTTCCTCGAGCAGTCAAGCCAGCCAGAGTGTTATTGTCCCTTTAAACTCTATTTCATATAAGGTTTTGTTGACTGGAAATTACACTAAGGAATTAGTACAAAACTATTGAGTTAAATAATGAATGAATGGAATGGGGTTTAACGTCTTTTTTTATGCACCAACCGGGATAATGAAAACAGTATCAAGTTTAATATTGATTTAAAGATGTTGTCCACAATCATCCACAAATAACACGGTTATAAACCAAGACCTGATTCTAACTAAATGTGTTGTTTCATCCAGTTCAAAAACATACGGCAAGTGAGCGGTAAGATGAAAGGGATTATCTCCCATTATCCAGCCCGGTATAATTAGATTACGTCTATTGTATAATTGGTAAAACAATAAATTAAACCATCCATATGTATCACAATCTGTCTAATATCGGTATTTATAAACACCCCTTCATCGTATGTAAGGTGCTAAAATGTTACATTGTGTTCATTTGTGAAATATCCGCTACGTGAATCTCTTTGATATTTTTTTTACCGCGGCTGGGAATATCCACCCATTGTTCCTGCGCTGAGTTTTGGTCACGATCCACTAAAACTTGTATTTTATGATCGAGAAAGAAATTTATCAGCTTAATCACTTTTCTTATGAAATAAATATAAATATTATCTATTTCAAATTTTATTATAACATAGATATAAATGTCATCTATTTTAAATTCTATGAATTTTTTTATTATAACATAGATGTAAATGTCATCTATTTTAACCTGAAAGATATTTTATTCGTTATAGAAGAATTGAAATGTTATACTATGGATATCCAACATGGATCATTGCAATCATGAATAGAACTTACTTTTCTACGTCAAGGCAGGCATACACCCTGCATTGTGTGCTGTGGGGAGGAGGTGTTGGGGGGGGGGGGAGGGGGGTATTTAAGTAAGAGTAGGCAATAGCGCCGCTGTCCGGCCAAATTATCTCCCTCATAGCACACTGCATGTCGTATACCCTTCATCGGTAGCCTGGATTGAGCAGAAAAGTAGGACGTTAAACCATACTAAACTTACGCTGTCTATCTACAACTAATTCCACTTAAGAATAGACACTAAGCTAGTTGACCGACATTTTAATTCCTAAAACGACGATATTAGTCCAATACACTAAGTATACTATGCGAATTTTGAGAAGTATTGATTTCGAGTCCATTTAATAGAATAGAAAGGGTATATTTAGTCTGTGTGTGTATTACAGATATGGACCGGTGTACAAAATAGTATACCATTTTTAGATATGGTGGTGATTCAGGGCAGAGATCTATTATCGAAGTAGTTAGTTCCCTGTGTGCAGAATGATGGTATACATGACACTTATGTTTTGTGACCAACCCTAACGACTAGACATGTTCTCTTACGTTTGATGGGATGAATTCTTAGTCATCTTCACACTACATGAAGCGAGAGTTGGTCGAGCAGCCAAGTTCCTGAGATGGGTTTCGGGAGCGGGCAGTTTGTTACCAGAAAACATGTCGCTGACAAAATACTGATCGAACAAATTTCATATTATATCCTCAAAAAGGTCACCTGGAGAATTGGGGGATGGATGGCCGAATGGTTGGTTTAAACAATATTTATTTACCATATATTACATACTATATACGATACATAATAATTTATTTGGATTGGGAAACAAGCTATAAAGCTTATATTAATCCGTCTCCAGAATAATGAAACAAAATAAATTTGCATGAAAATTATAATATATTACATAAAAAATATGTATAATATCGAATGGTTAGCACGAGCGCGTTACATTATAAGTTCTGTTATTGAGTCATGTGGCGTGGTTTTGATTCCCCGCATGTACGTGACAAGATAGGGTCGCCTGTCCAACCTTGTGGGTTTTCTCCGGGTCCTCCGGTTTCCTCCCACCGGAAACGAATTGTTGAATAAATTTGAACCATATTTTAGTCCCTAAATGACCTAGTTTGTGTCGTGTGGACGTTAAACCCCATTTCTCTCTCTCTCTCACCTATAGAATTAAATTTGGTCACTTTTATCTGTGTACGGCCTAATACTCTATCTTGAGCTTTTATTCTGGCATGTTGGGTCTGTAAGGCATTATGATACTTTGGTGATGTCTGTTTCTAAAAAAAAAAGACTCTATATCCATTAAAAGAACATATTACACGATCGTGTCAAATATGAATTCTTTTATTAGTACACATCAAAAAAGGGAGAACAGTCGGATTGAAATAATTTATGTTCCATATCAAAATTGCATATCATTTTTTGACACATGATTTCTAATGTTGTTTGTTCATGACTAATAGTCAGTGACGTGAGTGAACACTGAAAGCCATTTGTTCACTCAGTTAGAAATTTATTATAATGAACCAACAGCACTAGTGAGCTGTTCAGACAAAGACTGACCAATGAGTGGACAATAATGGAACAATGGGCCAGCCCGACACCCTCCTCATTGCTTCAATGTCTGCGTAGTCTTAACAATAGGACTTGATGTGTTGTTATCGATTCGTCCAGCTGATGTCCAGCTAAAACTGACCACATGTCAGTTGTTGAATCAGGTATATAATGTCCACTGCCTGTTCGTGTATTACGTCACACTGGTCAATATCCACCTGTCATTACCTACGTACACAGGTCAATGTATAATACATGTGTATTGTTGAGAGTTATATATACCAGATTAGTAGTGGACTTAATTAAACCACGAACAGAAAGGACTGTTGGCTTTATTACTATCTGAAGACAGGAGAGACTACAGCAAAACCAAAGGTAAGTTTCTTTCATATTGTGAATGGTTACATTTATAAAAAGAATTATACTCTTCTGCGATATAACCTCGGTGGAAGCGGACGTAAAATACAACTAACTCATCATCATCGTACGGTCGCTTAGAACGCCGATGTCTTTAAAACGTACAGCTGACTTTATGACGGTGATAGAAAAACCAAATAGTAAGGTTTCTTTCATATTGTTAATAGTTACATTTATATAAAGAATTAATAGATACTCGTACGGTCGTTTAGAACGGCGATGTCTTTAAAACGCACAGCTGACTTTATAACAGTGATAGAAAAACTAAATAGTAAGATTTCTTTCATAGTGTGAATGGTTACATTTATATAAAGAATTAATAGATACATGTACGGTCGTTTAGAACGGTGTTTTTTTTTTCAAACGCACAGCTGACTTTATGACGTTGATAGAAAAACTAAATAGTAAGATAAGATAAAAAAAATCCTTATTGTTTGTATTTTGTTGTTGTTACAGTATGTTTATGTTCCCCGGAGAAATTAATGAGATATTTTCAAATGACAAATGAATAATGAATTATCTTTTTGTTCTTTGGTTTCAATATTGTTTCTGAGAGAATAAATGGATGGATTATATTTATTCCTAAGCCTTAATTTGACTCAACATAATAAATATTGGAATAACTGTTTATGCATTCAACTACATGGGGTATATTAAAATGTGTCGTTTATATTATTTATTTATGAAAATGTGCGTCCATGCAGGGATTAACGTTATAAACACATAAATAGAATGCTGATAAGTTCTGTGGAATGGTACATTTAAATGGAAATTAATTTTTGACCGTACAAATCGGACATTTGTAGAATGCGTGACTTGACTGGCTACATTTTTGACATCGATAACAATCAGGGATGTGGTATTTATACTAAAGTAACTAGTATTATACCCCCTTAACCCCTTTAACAATGGACGTGCCATTCGAACGTAAATAAAACATGCACAAAGAAATGACAAGTCTCATGGCTGAGTGACAGCCTGGTCCTATGTATAAGATATTGTCCTTACTTAAATTATTTACAGTTTACACTCTGGGTGAATATATTTATTTGTTCTATACTTCAATAGACCCACCCCTACACCAATTTTCCTTTTGTACCCACACTCAAGCTACATAACGAACTTCATAATATGAATATTTGGCTAATTAAAATGATTTGGATGAAATTCATTTTTGAATTCTTTTTGTTTTTGAAATTTTGAAACACATATTAAGTATTCACTAACTTGTTAAAAAAATATACGTGCATTCCAACCCATTCTTCACGAAATGTTATATTTTTACTCGGATAAAGTTTTGACTTGTGGAGATATCGTAGTATAATAGTGGGTATTTCTATATAGAATTTGCATTCTATTACATTAAATATGTACACAATTTAAATTCTATTACATTAAATATGTACGCAAATTCGAAAATCCCCACTTCTACAATATTGTATCCTCAAAGATTGATGTAATTTGAAAAATAATAGATGCATCACGTGTGTAATAAATCTTGTTAAATCCTAAATAATCTTTATACCGCTGTTAATCAGAATCTAACAAATCATCTAAAAATCAGTTAAAGAGGGGAAATAATCTAGTAACTCTATAAACGGCAGTTAATCAAAATCACATCAATCCTCAAAAAATCAACCAAGATTATAAATCATTAATTAAATAAAGCCATCTTTAAAGATAACGAACAGGCGATGTGAATGCGATAGAGCATGGCTTAAATTACGTTACGTCAAACGATATGCGATACTTCTTTAATTGGCTCTGATCAGATAGATAATTGATTGATGACCCAGTTGAAGTTAATTTCATTAATTATCGCCCTTTATTAGGGTTATTAATTGTCTTGAAACAAGCTGTAAACGAGGAAGTGTAAACAGCTCCAGGATATTCGTTAATCTTAAATACCAATTGATAAAAACCACATAATGGAATTACAGAAATGGAGCTCGGGATTGACCACGTGCAAGGAACCCAGATTGGTAATTGAGATAATGCTCACAAGAATATAATGTCAATTAATAGATAACAAGAGTCAATCATATTTTCATTCATAAGCCATATTAAATCTAGAATCTGACTTGGTAAGGGACAGCGCCTAGTCGTCCGGATGAGACGAAAAAAACGAGGCCCAGAGTACACCTTGAAATGCACGTAAAAGAACCCATAGCAATTGAAATTCAATAATCCCCATAGTGTATGTCAGTCTTCATTAGCCCGGTTGGAGCAGAAAAACGGGACGTTAAACCCCATTTAATTTCATTAATTCCACATTAATCTAAACTGATAGAATATTTTCCAAAACTTGCAGAATTATAACTGTTAATACCGGTATCCTTTTCATCTATATGTAAAATTAAATCCAAAATGGTATAATATTATCTGCGTTGTCCATAACATAACTGGGCGTTTTATGTTCTGATCCAGACACGTATAATTATGTTAATTGAATAATAACAAAGTTTTGATATATTATTTCACTGAAGTATATAACATTATGTATACAGTATATTTTTAATAGACCAGACTGATTGAATGATCACTTTATATTCGCAAATTACATTATTATGCCAATACGGAGGTGTATTGACACTTACACGACTGTCTTGATATTTGTGGAGCAATGTCCTGTCTCCTACCATTAGATATTATTAAATTGGAAAAATGAGATAAAATATTTTGTACCGGTAACGATTGCACAATTCTGATTAAACTGAAACAGAAATATCGTCTGTTTCATATATGAAGACAGCTTCGCTAAATGAAAGCACTGAATACGGTAATAACGTAGGGGAATATTAGTAAGAAACTGACAGATTTTATACGCGAGGGCTGAATACGTGAATTTATCAGTGGATTGGACTTGGCCAAGTCAGGTCAGGAAGCCTGGGGATGACAATAGTTCAACTCAGAATTCGATCAATACTTGAACGGACGGACACCGTCTCGCCATCTTCGTTTTAATGAATCATTATGATATTGAAGTAGGGGGTCTGGTTCGTCTCTTCCTCTCAGCGTTCGTTTACACGAAGTATTGGAGACTTGAAGCTGTAGAAAATAATGATGTTGAAGACAATTTTCCCCAACGACACAGACACGTCTTCATCTTACAGTCAGGATGAGTCCATGATGGGTAAGACGATCGGTGACTATACAAGCAAGACCTTGAATTTCATTCAATTATCGGTGTGATACAAGGGATGTTTTCTATTCTAGTACAAGGATATGGAAAGGTTAAGTTAATTCCATCTGTTGGACCATTCGTAGTATGTGCAGCAGTGTCGCTATGGACCCGTTTTATGCAAATGTCTCATGTATTCCTCGAGTTTTTATTGTTGTCGAATAAGGACTGCTTGGTATCATTGAGATACTAGAATATGGACTGAAAAGTTTTTAGTTAATTCTATATGTATAAATGACCACTGGAAGTATACGTCTATCAAATGTTCGTTATCTCGAATAATATAATACCAACACACCCGGGAGCATCATAATGGACGCCATAGTGGCTGTTTTGTGCTAATCAGCTGAGTGGCATGTGCACATGCATTCATAAAGGAAATGACATCCCTAATTCCATATAGTGGAATAGTTGGGCTTTTTTTCAATGATAGTAAACATATCAGAAAACTAACTGACCTTGACTATAATGAAGTCGTAATTAATGACACTGAGAAAAGGATTTTTCTAATTAGGACTGGACCTTGTGGAATCACCATGTTTTGATACTGTCGCGTATTCTAGTATGTAGACCATGAATATAGCTGCTCGCATTGGAATTCTAATTATTGTTGGTATCAGGGGCACCGGAACCCGGGCACCAGGGTATACAAATGGTACCCTGCCCTTTTCTAGGGTATACATGTATACCCATGCCCTAATGATGAAAGTTTTCAACCTTTTTACTACTAGTCTATTCATTTTTAAATGATAGATATACGTAATTGCTCTCTGGTCGGTCGCGAACCGACTCTCGCACTTACATTATCAGCTATCAGTGCACGCCTATTTTCTTGATGAAGATTTGTGTATTGAATGTCAAATTAAAAAGATTTTTTTTATGAGATGAATTGCTCATGATACGAAAATTGTGAATAATCAGGTTTTTGTCTCTTTCATTATCATGTATTTTAAAGGGTTTTATGTTGGAATTTGGAATGCTAGAGGCGCTTTAAACAGCGTTCTCGGAATTGACAAATTTCGAAATGTTCTAGCCCCCCCCCCCCGGACTCTCCCTATCTTTTCGCATATTCCAATACACTGTGTATTATGAGAAAGGAATATTCCAATATATTGTGTATTGCCAGTAATAAATGTTAGATTATAAATTTAAACAGTGGTCAGATTTGAGTGATATCTCCTAATTTCCATTTTGTGTAAAGCCAGTCCTCATTAAATAGTAAAATAATACAAGGTACTCGTTTATCGTTTCCTCGAGAAATTTGATAGCAAATACACAATGGAAACAATGCACCATGGGTTCACGTCTGCTTTAAAGCAACATTAGTGCTTAAAGGGTCTTCTGCGATTGACGGGATTTTACTATACAATTAAAGCGGACATGATCAGATATCACCCAAGGCGGAAGCGGAAGTAAAGCCCCAGAAGGAGGATATCATATTAGATTGGATGTAAAATCTACCAAGCCACGAGTAGAAGTTTTAACTTTCAGTTTGCATATTATTGAAAGGTTTTATTGGCTATACCTGTTTCCATCCTTTTCATCCATTTGAAATAAAATGAGAGAGGGGGGGGGGGTCTAGTGGTTTAACGCGTGCGTGTGAAATCATACGGTCTTTCATTGAGTCAAGTGGTGTGCTTTCGATTCCCCGCTTGTGCGTGACAATGAGTAGGGTCGCCTGTCAAACCTCGTGGGTTTTCTTCGCCCCCCCCCCCCGCCACTGCTAGCGAAATAATGAAATGTTAGTTCCCCAAAAACTGCTTTACTGTAATTGTGTCAGTGCCAGGAATTTCAGTTGTGGTGCCACTTTAAGACCTAAATAATACAGTAATTATTATATATTTCAGGTAGTACATCATTAGAGATATCAGAGATAATGAAGACAAGAACCGTACCTAGCTTCAGATCCAATGATTATTTAGATATGAAATCAGAAGGTGTTAAGAAGAAACGTAACAGAATTCATTATACAGCCGCCCAGGTAAACATATAATATAAATCTACCTGTAATACGACAATACCTATTATTCCCAGACCGCTAGATTACCGTGGGCGATAATTCGCTTGATTACTTCTCAACGGATCAAGTTCACTTCCACCTTGTAATATGAAGATGTCAATTACTCGAAGGTAATGATGATCCGTCGTCATAGATGGATACATAGTAAAGAGGCGAGTAGCGGGGTATCCGACCTTATTTAAAAAATATAAGTATATCAACGAGAAAGCAGCGGAATATTTACTATACATCTGCTAATGAGAATGACATTTGATCCTTTTCCGGTCCAGTACGAGGTGGCACAGTACAAAATAGGCCTATATATCGTATCGAAAACAATATACACCTCAATCGGCTCGTACAAAATATACACCCCACTCGGCTCGTACAACTATACACCCCATTCGGCTCATACAAAATATACACCCCACTCGGCTCGTACAACTATCCACCTCACTCGACTCATACAAAATATACACCCCACTCGGCTCGTACAACTATACACCCCATTCGGCTCATACAAAATATACACCCCACTCGGCTCGTACAACTATCCACCTCACTCGGCTCGTACAACTATCCACCTCACTCGGCTCGTACAACTATACACCTCACTCGACTCATACAAAATATACACCCCACTCGGCTCTTACAAAATATCCACCTCACTCGGCTCTTACAAAATATACACCCCACTCGACTCGTACAAAATATACACCCCACTCGGCTCGTACAACTATGCACCTCACTCGGCTCGTACAAAATATACACCCCACTCGGCTTGTACAACCATACATCTCACTCGGCTCGTACAAAATATACACCCCACTCGGCTCGTACAACTATACACCTCACTCGACTCGTACAACTATACACCTCACTCGACTCATACAAAATATACACCTCACTCGACTCATACAAAATATACACCCCACTCGGCTCGTACAACTATACACCTCACTCGACTCGTACAACTATACACCTCACTCGACTCATACAAAATATACACCCCACTCGGCTCGTACAAAATATACACCCCACTCGGCTCGTACAAAATATACAACCCACTCGGCTCGTACAACTATACACCTCACTCGGATTCGCGCTTGGTAAAACCTCCCGGTGGATCATTTCCACTGTAATCCATAAACTGGCAAAAAGCCAACTCCACTACTAGGATATTTTACTTCAAAACCATTACCCTCCATTTCTAGCCGCAACGTTTAGTCGTTCGGATGGGACGAAAAACCCAGGTCTCATATACTCAATGGCGTGCTCGTAAAAAAAATCCTTCACGGTTGGAATTTGAAATAATAGTAGGTCATAGAGCCGCTGTCCGGGCAAAAGTTTCCCTCATAGCACACAACGTGGCGTATGCCCGTCTTCATTAGCCCAGTAAGATCAGAACAGTAGGACGTTAAACCCCTTTAATTATTTCATTTCTCGCCTAATCTGGGTATTATAACCCATAAACACATAATATGATATGTTCGTCTCAGATATATCATTTATGAGAGGGCCTATTGAAACAATCAAAAATAACAATAACAGGTCATAAGATAATGAGTGTCAAATCTTAATCTTTTCAGACAAGAGCGTTTGAGGGTATGTTCGCACGAAACCAATTCCCAGACCGTGAAACGCTGGAAGCTATTTGTGAAGAACTTGACGTCAGCCATAAAAACGCACAGGTAAGATAAGGATATTTATGTATAATATGACATATTTATTATGACTTTACTCATGGATTATCAAAATCATTATTATGGTGCGACCGAACGCCAGAGGACACATTCTTATTACTTTTTTTTTCATGTGTCTGGAAAATCTTGATTCATTATTCACTGGATATTTGATACTTGAATGATTTTGGAAGAAGTCACGTGTAGTCTCGGTCTCTCAAGTTCCTTTGTTGTAGTAGCTTTCACAATTGACAGGTGATCTCTATGCCTTGTATGGCCTGTATACACCAAGACATATTTGTCTGCTATATTCGCCGATACGCGCGCTACCAACCGACAAACCATCGGGTTTAATAATTTTATTTGCAAAAAACTTTGATGAAGACCACTGTATGTTTAGTTTTGTATAGATCATTGTATGAGTGAAAATTAAATAAACATAGCTATTTAACCACGACAGGTGATAGGAGAATTATCGAGCACAACACACTAGACTATCGTCGACGAAACATCGGTCATGAGATATTGGCGATAAATAATCCAAGATCATTTAAGACCATAACCACAGTAAAAATAATAACGACGTTGGTGTGTGGTGCTCAATTACACAGCATTACCTTTCCTTTTATTTTTTCTGACGTTTGAATTTTCCTGTATTTGGTTGTACAGACGATAACGAATTATCTCCCTTCCACCAGTGATCTGTTTCAAACACAATGTAGACAGCCTGTTATTGAAATGAAGCTGGTCTATTTTGAGTGGGCATTTACCTGCTTTTTCTTTTCTAATCTATCTAACAATATATGGTTTATTTTTTTTAAGGTTTGGTTTCAAAATCGCAGAGCTCGATCTCGTCGTGATCCCAATGACGTCAATTCACCTCGTAAATTACCACAACTCGACAGCGATAACAGCAATTCACCATGTTCATCACCTAAACCTAGATCCAGACCAGCCCCAAGACCAGAATTGTAAGTTATCAGAATCTTTCTATTTACTTTCGCGAGACGATAGCAATAAATTAAAATCCCCCGTTCCGTATGTATGATTTATTTTAGGGGGTATTGAGCCATAGCGATCAAAGGGAGACAACATTAGAAAGGTAAATGGAGTTTAACGTCGACTCGACACATTTCGAGAGTAACATATGGTTCAGTTTTATTTCAATCATTCGCTTGCGGCTAGGACACTTAAGCAGTTAGAGGAAACCGGAGAACCCGGAGAAATCTCACGATGTTGGACAAGTGACCCAATGACAGACCTTAGGCCTATTATCTAACGCGCACTCGTTAAACAATTCGGCCACCCAACCCCTTTAAGGTAATACAGCTGAGCAGTGTATTAGAACTATCCCATCAATAAATCAACAGAAAAAATAGAAACTAGGCTTAAAATACTCCTTAAATCAATTACATATAAAGCCAATTTTAAAACTACAGTGCACATAAAAAGCGACACAAACTTTAAGAGTCCCATCCTCTTTCCCATCTTCATTCCTTTGAGTAATCATAATGTAACCATATATTCTTCATTTTGTTTTGTTTTTTTCAGCATTCCAGAACAACTTGTTACCTTTGTAAAGAAACCAATTCCGAATTCAAAGTGGCACGAACCAATCAAAAGCAACTTTACATCATACAATAATGGACCATTTGGCTCACCGGAAGCCGTTCCACAGAATTATCAACCCAATTGTCCACAACCCTACTTCCATCCATACGATTATCAACCAATTAATCACGATGTTCCCTTTTACTATCAACCAATTAAAACGCACGAATCATCGCAAGCAAATGGACCAGATTGTCCAATCTCAGCCATTTTAAGCCAAACGAACAATGTTACGCAAAACGGTTACTATGGTGATTTTACATATGGACGATCTTGTTACGGATCTCCTCCGGAAAATGGATATTATGGAAATTCAGAATGCGTGACATCACAAGTTCGGGTTATAGCGGATGCGAACAAAACCCTAACGGTGCTCTAAAAATAGACAAATATACAGAACTGAAACGTCTTTCATTGAATTCATATTATCATTATTTATTACAAACCAGCGATATTCATGGAATCAATCAACCATCTACGGCATTAACAATACCGTCCAGTTAATCATGATATAAAACATCAAATCAAGAAAATGTGGAAACGAGAAAAAATTAATATAACGTTATTCAATATCATTATTATTCGACTCTCCCGGAATTTTCATCCCGACATAGCTAAATGTTATCAGCATTATTCGTTGCTGTAAATAAAGTATTAAGGTTTTTTTTACCCTCCCAGAATCTACAGCTAAGTAATGTAAGAAATATTCAGTGCTGTAATGTATTAATAGTTTTTGACTCTTCCAGAATCTACTACATTACAGCTAAGTAATGTAAGAAATATTCAATGCTGTAAATAAAGTCTGAATATTATTTGACTCCTCAGAATTGACAGCAGTATATTATCCCGACAAAGCTAACATAGTTATACGCGCTGAGTGAATATAGTTGTGCTGTAAAGTCATATATTAATATAACATAAAAGAATTGGACACAAAAGATCTCCTTGCGTAACTGCATAATATATTTTTACAAGAAGAAGACTCTAGTCATTTTAATGTTTAATTTATATAATTTATTTCAACAAATGTCGTCATACAACTGTGTGGGTAGAATGTGAATGTATATAAGCCTAGTACGTATGTAGCATAAAATCAAACTATATTTTTTCAAAACCGGTAAATAATTTATGAGATATTTGTGTGTTATATTGTACCTGTGTGTACATGTACGTGCATTGTGTGTATGTTTTATTGATGTTTTTTTGTAATTATATTTAATAAAATGTTAAATTTCTTAACTGTATGTTATTATATGGTTGTTTGTATGAATGAAATGAAATGGGGTTTAACGTCCTACTGTTCTGCTCCAACTGGGCTAATGAAGACGGGCATACGCCATATACAGTGTGCTATGAGGGAAATTACGCCCCGACAGTGGAGTTACGGCCTACTCTTATATCGAATTCCGACTGCCAAGGGATATTTTACGTGCAAGCCTAGGTGTACACGGGACCTCGGTTTTTCGTACCATCCGAACGACTAGACAGGTGTCCTTGTCAGGTCATCGGTCTGCAAGGGGAAACCACACTGGAAAATCCCGATGAACTTTTCCGGCCAACACCGGGATCGAACCCTCAACCCCCAGGGTAGCGAGGCAGCGTCTTACTCAATTGGCCACCGTGGCCTCGGTTGTCTGTATATCGAGGCCGTCTTCATTATCCCGGTTGGTGTAGTAAGACAGAACGTTAAGCATGGCAACCTCCCAGTATCAATATATAGTTCTACTTATATAAAGTGATCCTGATTTCAATCAAACGTATGACTGACTAATTATCTAAAATCTTAGCACTATATATCTAAATCTGATCTTAAAACGTTTGTGCTTCTCAAAAATTGGTTCGCAGATTTGTTTTTCGCACAAACTGACTTTTGCATGTCTGATTTAATTACGCAGTCAGATCGACAATCCTTAACTAATTCTACCAAATCAATACTTACTGGGGGGCTTTTGATTTAAAGAGGGCAGCCTCGGTGGAAATTCTTCAATTCCCCCCAACAGAATAGTTAGTGTACAACATGTTGACATGAATGTGGTCTAACCCCAAACTAAATAATTTACCAGAGTTATCTCCCCTACTTATAATCAGCCACTCGGCATCTGGGCATAAACGTTACTCTCCTTCTTACTCTACTTCTAATTTTACATACATAAGTTTCAGTACATATTTCGCTTTTAAACATTCTATATGACATTAGTTTATTTTCATTAGCTTTATTCGTATCATTCCATAAATTAGTTAAATTTTAATTCTCCATAAATTTTAAATCGCGAGCTTGATGTTTGAGAATTATAATATTTCAAAAGTAATATATTTAACATTCCGTAAGAGTAGCAGATTTTATTTGTATGAAATGAAAAAATGTGTACATTTCTTTAATGTGTACTCTTTAATCGATCAAATTCCAAATATTTTTTAGATTACCAGAACGGTGTCGCGATTTGAATAGGTTATATCTTATGTGGTTTTATGACAAAACAGCGACCACAGCCTTAATATTTTTGTTGTTAAAATAATAGACATAAATATATCAAACATCTCAGTATTTAAGACCTTTTCGTTCGTTCGTTCTTGGTGTTTAACGTCTGCTTCCACATAAGTGATATCGCAGACAAGACATAGGAGAGCTGAAGCTGATACCTGTTTTTTAGAATATGATTTTGCAATCTTTCCATTTGGCCTTAGGCCTTGGATTTGGTTTAGTGGGAAGTTCTTCCCTTTATTTAATATAAAACATATCGTTTGGTAGATGATCTAATATGAGCCAATCTTAAAATAAAGATTTATATTACTATTGTTAAAAATCTCTGTAGCCGAATATTTCATAAAGACAATGAAAACAAAAATGAAGTGACATGATAAATCAATCCTTTGCTGTTATAAGATAGGCCCCATATGAAAACAGGGAGTTCGCTTCTATAATAAAGGCTAACGTGTTAATCCTTAGATAATTATTATTGGGCCTATATCTATTAATATGTCATACTCTTAAACCCCAATATTATTTCAAGAGTGTCATACCACGTGTATAAATAAACCACCCATTAAAACTAAAGAGATAAGTTCTTTGCCGTTAATCTTTATAAAAACAACAGTTTCCATTCATTGAACGATCAGAGTTGCAACTGCTACTCCACGTGGTACAACTTTGTGAGTGAAGCCGTGGGTCTATAAACATCACTAACAAAACTCTCTTAATTAACCAGTATAACACCTTATCAAAGCTCACGCTCAAACCATTTATAACTCATTTTAACACTGCTCTTGATGTTTTTCTAATCCTGACCCAGTTTCAAAGCTCACTTGTCTGCGATATCACCCTTGGTGGAAGCAGACGTAAAACTCCAAGGAAGAAGAAGAAGATTTGAAGCTCAGATCGCTAACTTGCTTCTAATCGTTCAGTTTAGAATGAATTCTGAACAATCAGGAAAAAAATTCAAGTTACTGAGTTAATAAGAAAAACGTATTTATATCCGATTTACCAAATTGTCAGGGGACACGTGACTCAGATGACGATTGTTTGTTTACCATCAATGAAATAGAAGTTGTAGAAAGTTTGTTAGCGGAATAATTTAAATATGAGAGACAGTATGGGGGTAGGAAGATTTACTGATAGCCCTGTCAATGGAGGGAACGCCAAGAAGAGAAGTAGACAGCTGTATACCCCGCAACAGGTTGGTATAATTTACTTACACTATGATCGGGGTAAGGTCTGTCATTGAGTCGAGTGGCGGGGTTTCGAATCCCTACCTGTACGTGACATGGAGTCACCTGTCCAACGTCTCATCGGTTTTCTCTGGGTCCCCCGTTTTCCTCCCAGTGCTAAAGACCCCTACGTGCAAGTGAATTATTTAAATAATGTTGACCCGTGTGTTAGTTCCGAAATTACCTAGTCTGTGTCAATCCCAGCACTCTAAAAGATGTCTAGTTATTCGGATAGACAAAAACCCAAAAAAAACCCGAGCCCCACTGTAAAAAGTGTTAGTGTACGTAAGACACTTCCAGTAGTTGTAATCTGAAAATGGGATGACCGGGAAAAATTCTCCCCCGGCGCATTACACACTGGGCAGAAAGTTATTACATGTTTGTCTCAGCATGACACAACCCTTGTTCCCCTCCGATATGAGTTATGGACAACCAGCTAAAACCACGAATACATGTTTTATTTCTTACTTATATCATACACGGGGATCACGGTGGCTAAGTGGGTAAGACGTGGCCGAGAAGGTTCATCCAGATTTTCCGGTGTGGTTCTCCCTTGTCAGTGATGTAGGACGGAGGGCCTGACAAGGACAGCTGTCTAGTCGTTCGGATTGGATGAAAAACCGAGGCCCCGTGTACACATCTAAAAGATCCCTTGACAGTTGGAATTCGATATAAGAGTAGGCCGTAGTGCCACTGTTCGGGCAAAATGTCCCTCATAGCACACTGTATGGCGTATGCCCGTCTTCACTAGCCGAGTTCGGAGCAAAACAGTAAGACGTTAAACCCCATTTTATTTCATTTCATTTATATCATACATCTCCTGAACGGAATGGCTGGGTCATTTTATTTCGAAGTAAAGTGCAAGACGCCTCTTTCAAATATTAATAACACAAACAAGGGACCATTTGATCCATGTTCATGACTTCGATTTTCCATGGATACATTTTCCATAGTCAACAATTGAAGACATTTCAGAAATTCATAACTTATATATAGATGCATTATGTAAGAGCTAAATCTGCTTATTGCAGTATTTCCCTTTGCTGGACGATGCATTTTATTTCCCAGTCGGTGCCAAAGAGTAGGATGTTAAAACCTATATCGTTTTGTATTTTATAGATCTGTTTTCGGAAGATGACCAACCGGCTCGTTTTGTTACAGTTTTCTTTTCTTTTCAGACCCAGAAATTGGAGGCGATGTTTCATAAGAATAATTTTCCTGATAGAGATACAATAGACAATCTTTGTCAACTTTTAGAAATCAGTGATACCAGACTTGTGGTACGTATTGGCTTCATGCTCAACATTTGTCATTTGTAGAGTTCGAGCAAACTGAGTGCTGAGAAGGTGTAGAGCGACAAGAGACTGAAATATACATAAACTACCAGCCCATCGCACAACACCAACTGACATTTTTGAAAACAAGTTATTTAAAATAAATTTCTACTGGCTTAAATGCTCTTCCGCAAATCTGTCTTCGCCTGACGATAGTCGGTCCGAGACCGTAAATCTCTTTTTTTTTCGGATTTTAAGTAAAAGTTAATATTAAGTGGAATTATGTAAGATTAGATAAAGAGCTGACAGTTCTCGCTATAATAGTTAAGAAAATAGATAATGGAAAGTGAATATGTTGAAAAATGCAGTCGAATTATTCACCCTGAGCCGAGTTATCGCCATTACAAGAACGGTGTAGCTTCGATTGTTATTGCTACCGCTGTTACGATAATAAACAAAGTCTCGAAAATCTAGAGTATCCATCCATGGCTTCGAGAGTTAATTATCGTCTTGGCAAGTTATTAATATCTAATTGATAATTTATATAACATTAATTAATACCGAAAGAAAGACCTGCAATAGGCAGATTTAGCTCTTGAACAGTGCCTGTTTAATGCAGTTGATATTGAAACACAAACCACAACTTAGTAAGAACACGTTGTTTTTTGGACCTGGGTATGCCTAGTAACTTCTCCAAGACTAAAAGATTCGTTTCTAATGCTCGTTCGGATTGGGGGCACAACCGAAAAGAACAATTGCCAGTTGGAATTTGATGATGTTTAAACGCACACGCTACCGCATAGGCGCAATATACACAAAAACACTTCATTAGCCCAGTTGGTGTGGAAAAGTAGGACGATAAACTTCATTTCATTTCTTTCCAGAACTGGTTTAAGAACAGACGAGCTAGATCAAGACGAGAACCTAAAGATGGTTCCCCTAACATGGATCTAGATACAGATCTAGATGGAACTGTAGAAGATGTCACTCCACCTGGTAGTCCTAAATATAAACCCCCGGATGCCATCATAAAACCTAAAATACACACCGGGTAAGTTAGCATTGTTATGCAATCATTGGTGGTAGTCTAGCTAAACAATGGTGGGTAAAATGATACCGAGATCCCATTAGGGCATTGAGCGAATTCAGTTTTGGGACGCTGAATCGAGTATCCCCTATTTGTTTTGCACCAAATTGTGCGTATATTGAGAAAAATATTGGCATTATAGTATACAAATTGTCAAATTAAGCTGGGTATATTGAAAGTTATTTTGCAAGGACACAGGGACCCGCTATTAAGTCTGGGGACTCAATAGCCAGCCGCATTGAATCACAAGAGGCACCACGCTACGTAACAACTGACCCTGATGGTTTTATTTCAGAAGCTACTCTATACAAAGGTTAATGGAGAAAGACCCTGTCACGCCCATGGAAGTACCGGACCATCACCCCCAAATAGATCAGCGGCAGCAACCAAGAGATCCACCTCAACAAATAATGATGCCTAATCTTCTTCCTATGACAGACATGTCCAGAAGGTCGGCCAGACCAAATCGTAGGTTTCCTAACCCTTCGCCATTTTCTCACCAGCCAATCAGGCATCTTCACCACCTGACCGCACTCTTACCCCATACTCCAGAAAGATCTCTGACGTCGTCTCTATCACAAGTTCTGATGAGTCAAATGGATCATCACATCACGCCAGATATGCACGCGCGTTCTATTCGCCATCTTGAATCTCTTCAATGTCGGCCGTTCGAAAACGGCGGTATGAGAAATGGTAATGGTCATGTTAATCAAGATATGAACTACTACGAAACAGGGAATCCATTGTGGGATTTATATTATACGTACAGAGATGAGATTGTTCCGGTTAGAGAATATTATGACGCTGTTCCTGGGGTAACAAGAAACGTCATCAAAGTTGAAGAAGAGAAAACCCTGCTAGTGCTTTAATTTTAAAATTTATTACGATCGTTTTTTTGACACCTGGAAATTGAAATGTATTCAAAGTTGACAATATTTGTTGCCATCCAGAGAATAAGCTCTAGCGTGAAGATCCAAACAACACTGCTCGGAATGTAGGCCTTGACCAGTATATCGCGAACCTGTTTACTACCTAGCCCATCCGCGCCGGGCACTTGCCGGGTTTTTTTGTTTTTTTACATCGTGACCGGTTGATCATTTCACAGTGTGTTGGCGTCGCTATTACTGATTCAAAAGATGATAATTTATTCAAGATATCTGCTGCTTGTTTACTTTCGTGTCTATAGAGATATGCAATTAAGATATGAGTTATACGTACCAGTGAGTTCCAGGTGTAAGACGTAGCCTTGAACACTCACGTCGATGCTGTTGTCAATCTCAAAAGAAACTAGACTGCATTATACACACATAATGTTAGCCTGTCATAATATTATTTTTCGTTATTCAAGAAAATATCATGTATTAGCATAAGTTAAAAACACACTGCCCCTTTTTTTTTTATAAAGCCTACAGGCCTGGTACGGTTCTTTAATCTAATCTTAATAGGATTACTGTTTGACAGCAGACCATTACATTCCCTTTTCTCGTGCGTTATTTCTTTTTCACATGCATTACGTTTTTTTCCCTAATTTATTCTGCGTACCAAATGGCACGCATTATGATAATTTCACCGTAGACTTATTTCATTAATTTGTAAATACAATTTTGACAAGCACTTGAACCCTGTTAGTTATATAAGAACATATTCACTGTATTCATATAATTCACTATTTATTGTAGTTTTACCACGATAAAAACAGATTTTTTCTAATACGTTTTTTTGTTAATAGTTAATGGCAGTGCTGGCGGACAGAAGCCTAGGGCCTCGGGATCTAGGCCTCCCGTCAATGTTTGTAATATTTTTAGACACCGTCATACACCTTTCTTAGTGTGTTCTTAACCATCAATTGCGTTTACGTTTATGTTTCTTTTTTCTAGAGGGTGGAGCACGGGGAGGGGCCTATCTTCATCTAAACTTGGCCCTGATTAATAGTTGCAATATAACACAACAGAAATATATAGCTAAGGCGTCACGTGTCAAGTATGCCCCGATTGTAAAGGTCATCCTCATGGAAAAGTTCATACCGCTCCAAAAAAATCAAAAAAATCTCCATTAACTTCCTGGTACAATTTTATTTCAATAATTCGCTAGGGATGAAGTGGAGAAAACCCACAAAATTACGTACAATTCCAACTGCCAAGGATCTTTTACGTGCACGCCAATGTATACCCCGGACCTCGGTTTTTCCTCCCATCCGAACGACTATACGTTGTCCCTTACCAGTACCGTCCATTCGACACAAACCAGGTCATTTCGGGACTAACACATAGTTCAATTTTGTTTCAATAATTCGCTTGCGTAGGGGTCTTTAGCAACGGGAGGGGGTGGGGCGGAAGTCCCATAGAAAACCAACGAGGTTGGACAGGCGACCACACTCCTTGTCACGTACATGCGGGGAGCCTAATCCCCGTTACTTGATTAAGTGAAAGACCTTATGATCCAACGCGCACGCGTTAACCATTCGGCGACTCAACCCCCACCCACCGGGTCAGCACCCCTGATTGTAATAATCAAAATCTTTAACACATTGATTCACTCCCTTTGATCATATGATGCCCGACCTAAAAATATTTTCAATACAGTTCAATTTTTTTTATTCAATAATGAAGACCACCATCACCGGTCCGTAGAACAAGTGCTTACATAAATATATCAATTTGTAAACAAAAGTAACATACAAGTACCGGTACATTTAAAAAAAGTCATATCACCTACTGTCTAATATCTAATCAGAATTTTTGTGCAGACGGGTAAAGTGAAAATTTAAAATTATATAGTAATTTGGGAGATAAAACCTTTTTGCCTTTTAGCCGGCAAAATAAATGCCTGAAATTCCATTATTTTTTGGTCTGGAGGCATTCCGGATTGGGTCATCAATAATTAATTGTATCATCAATTTTTCGAAAATAGAAATTTCTTTAAATTGACTAGATAAAACATTTAAAATCAGTGTAGCTTAAATCAGTGTAATTTAAAGGCGCTAAATCTCTAATATTTGGGACCTAGAAATTGACATAAATGGGTCGCAAAGCATATAATAATGTAATATGAATGTATATAAATTGATTTACGTTCAATCGTTTCCGTTTTTACTCTAATTTCAAAGCAGTTATGTTCGGCGAAATACCGAATCAGTTTATTTACATTCATATTACATTATTTCCGACCCATTTGTGTCAATATTAGCGATTTAGCTCCTTTAAATAAAAGGTGTCTAGCGTAACATGTGTTTCGGGCATGTTTCATCAGTAACATGTGAGACGAGATATCGCTCTACGAAACTTCCTGGTGTCTTTTGCAATTTGTTTGGGGTAAGACGTTATCTCTCCCCGCCCATGCAGGGGCGGATCGGGGGATCGGGCGAAGGGCCGGCCGGACAAAAAATGAAAAAAATAAGTTTTGTCCAATTCGTCTAAAACCAGCGCCTGCCAGGCAGAATACGCCCACATTTTCGAGAGATGGATAGAGAACAATCTAAAAAGAAAGTGATTTTTCCTACAATCAAGGGCCATAATTCAGGAAATTAAAATTCGATATGCGCAAATATCGAAAGGAACCGAAATCTTTGGGTTATAAACTTACATTTCAAGTTTCAACAAAATCAGATATAAATTGTGACCTTGATATACCATGTTTTTACGCTATTTGAGAACGAAGGGCGGCCATTCACGAAATTCGAACTCAGCCGTCCTTAGGGTGTAACGGTGATACAATTATACGTTTTTTTTAAATCGGATAAAAATTATGACCTCTATAGGGTCCACAAGCTAAAAACACGATTTTTCGTACAATCAGGGGCCATAATTCAGGAAGTTACGGTCCGATATGCGCAAATATCGACAGGAACCGAGATCTTTCGGTTACAAACTTATATTTCAAGTTTCAACAAAATCGGATAAAAATTGTGATCTCTATAGGGTCCACAACCTTGTTATACCATATTTTTACGCTATTTGAGAACAAACGGCGGCCATTTTGTCTTGTCAATTTTGGGCCGATTTTCACGAAATTCGAACTCTGTCGTCCTTATGGTGTAACGGTGATATAATAATACGTTTTTTTAAATTGGATAAAAATTTTGTCTTCTATAGGGTCCACAAGCTAAAAACGCGATTTTTCGTACAATCGGGGTCCATAACCTTGATATACCATATTTTTAAGTTATTTGAGAACGAACGGCGGCCATTTTGTCTGTCAATTTTGGGCCGATTTTCACGAAATTCGAACTCAGCCATCCTTAGGGTTTAACGGTGATATAATAATATGGTTTTTGAAATCGGATAAAAATTATGACCTCTATAGGGTCCACAAGCTAAAAACGCGACTTTTCGTACAATCAGGGGCCATAATTCAGGAAGTTACGGTCCGATATGCGCGAATATCGAAAGGAACCGAGATCTTTGGATTATCAACTTAGATTTCAAGTTTCAACAAAATCGGATAAAAATTGTGACCTCTATAGTGTCCACAAGCTAAAAACGTGATTTTTCGTACAAACAGGGGCCATAATCCATGAAGTTTCGATCCAATACATGCCAATATCGAAAGGAACCGAGATCGTTTGGAGATAAACCTATATTTCAAGTTTCGTCAAAATCGGATAAGAATTGTGACCTGTAGAGTGTCCACAAACAAATTGTGGACGGACGGACAGGGGCGACGACAATATACGTCCACATGAAAATGTGGGCGTATAAAAACCTTTTCTGCTGAACATTATATGGGGGGGGGGGTATTGGACCGGCCATGGAGCGATGATGATCATGTTGTATGTGGCCGGTGACTTTAACGGGCCGCCACGCCATCACTGGGGTCTGGAATGGGCTGGTATAATAGACTTTCTGGGCCGGGTGTGCTGGGTGTTGGCCGGAATTCGGAATCCTGCGATGGGGATTCCGAATTTCATCCGAAAACTTCATCGGATTCACCCGACGCTGTCGCCAGAAACGTCTGCCGATGGTTCGTAACTAAAAAAAAAGGCCTCAGCAAAATTTGATGTTGCTGGTCTTGACGATACAATGATAATACGTTAATTAATATGACGATATGATAATTTCACAGGTTGATAGTTGTAAATTACTTGCAGGTCGGGGTTTTGGCCTAAATTAATCAATTGATGAGATATATTATTTGACAGAGATTATAATCAGATATGCCACCAAATCGCATATTTGGGGTTCATTTTTCAAAATTTAATGGGGGAGAGCCCCCGGACCCCCCATCCGGGCTCCGCGGTCAGTAAAAGGGGCCGCTCCGACACGGGAGCCCGAGCCGGTTCCCTGCCCCAATCCGCCCCTGCGCCCATGAGTAAATAATAATATTAATCGAATATATAAACCTCAGAAATTTAACAGATACAAATAATGTACATGTTATTCCACAGGTAGACATACATTGAAGGTGCCCAGTGAAGGAGACGCAGTTGCTTTAGAGTTTGTCCGACACCTTTGGGTATTTGCGTCCCATACCCCGTGAAATAATCATATTGTTTCTGATGCTCAACTAGTATCAAATATATACTCTTCATAAAAAGTAGGGGATATTCAGAAACAAAACAAAACTGCGGAAATGCACTGCTGTTTTTATTAGAGGTAACCAGTGTATGTTAATAAAAGGCCAATGCCCTACACATGAATATAAACATTTCATATGGGCGGCTTATCTGACGGTCCCTTTACACTCGCTAATAGATACACCGTCAAAAGTGAAAATGAACGTTTTTGATTTTTGTCTTAAAAATGAGTAATTGCTCCACCAATCCTCAGGCATTCAGCAATTCGTCGTGGCATGCTCTTAATGAACTGTCCAGTCACGATTTGGGGCAATTTGGCCCACTCCTCTCGCAGTGCGACGGCTAATTCTTGCAGTGTTGTCCGTTGACGTCGACGAACACATCTCCCGATCAAATTAAACGTAACACACTAAAGCAAAGATACGCTAAACAGTAAATATTATGCAAGAACCGATAGGAAAGCAAACATGGATAGATAAACCAGCACGCGGCAGTTTTCATCAACCCTTCCTTGAAGTGTCAAATTTGACAATGAACCCTCGTGTATGGCGCTATTGCGTGTCGCATGTGCCGCTCAGTGGTTCTGTTGGGGCGATAAGTTCTTCATGTGAACATACTCTCAAAGCATGTCTAGTGTCCATGACTACACATATTACAACCTGCATAGGTATTTGCATTTTAATATCCCCTACTTTTTTTTGAAGAGTATATCGTGCCTGTTACAAATCGCATCGAGCATGTTCCACACATCTCAACATTTATCAGCTTTTTGTTTAATCTATAAAAGCCTACATTCCTACACAATGTTTTGTTTAGTCGAGTGAAAAAAGAAAATGTATAGGCTAAATGGAACTATAGAACATGTACACCTTAATATCGACACATACTTAAAACTATCAAATAAGATATTGCTATGATATGATTCAACCGAAAGGTCCTATATATGCATGATATATCTACATTCAAGTTAAACGAACCGCATCTATTCATTTCAAATCTTGCGTCGAGCTAAATAAATTATGTGTTTTATAACATCAAGTTTTTACACCTTGTCTTTTGAATCTAGATGTTTAAAGCGCGTTAACAATATATTCATTTAAGGGGAAACTATGTCATTTCGTGATTAATATACCACATATTACAAGTCATACCCAACGGAAAGAAATGACGATTAATGAAAATTCCACCATTTTGAATTTCTACCATCAAGAATTCTCGAAATTAAATTTTTGAGATTATCGCTGCCCTTTTATTACCAAATTAATGGGGTTTTATTTTTATTTTTTTTGTAATTTGGCATTTACTTTGAAAGAAATGCCCGCCATCAAATGAAAAATACATTTTTAAATTGATGTTTGTCAAATTCGATTTTTCGACACACTTCGCTTGCATAACCACTCTGTGTTTGAGGAGTTTAAAAATAAATTATTTATCCTACCACCACTGAAAGACACTGATTACGATATAGCGCTCTCGATAATTCCCGAAGAACGCCAAATTGAATTATGTTAATCATGTCATTTTGCCTTGGCCGATTTTGAGTATGATTTTGTCTGACATATTATCATTGAACCAAACCGCATTGATTTCTTTTGCAATTTGTTTAGTATAAATTGTAGCCCGTAAAACGTTATACCAACAAAAAAATAAAACGTTTTGTTAAGTAAAGCTACATGACGCCATGACGTCATAGTTTTTATGGCGTCATAGTTGGGACCCAAAATGGCGCCTGTAAATGAGTTGTCGTAACTTTCCCTATACAGGGCTTTGTTGTCAACCTCCTCTCTACCCGGGAACTTTCGGAACTTTTGGTTTGCATTTTTGGTTGTGGAAAATGGCACCATCGACTACAGTATGGAAAACGGATGGTAAGTAAAATTATTATTATTTCGAATACCGAAAGAATTTTAAGTAAATAAACTAAATCAAATGAGTGTAATTGAGTATGGATTAGTCTTATGCGCGATTTATTTTAGCTAGAATGGTAGGCCTAGATCTAATGTCAAGGGGGCTCACTTAGACTTGGACTTGATAAAACTTAAAAGATGGAATTTATCTACAGGCCTAATGTACTCTACCTGTACTGTTCACTTTTTGGGTCACCATAACTTTAAGTTCAGATATGGTCGTCACGCAGGGTTGGGTGTTAAGACCAGCACTATTCATTGTTTGTGTGTTGGATCTAGGCTACAATTTTAAAGTCGTGTTTACTTTTGGCACTTTTCTTTTGATAAATCTAACACCAGTCAGCTGGAGTTGTATTGTTTTTATTATTTATTTCCAGCTTAAAGCCTGCATCACAAAGGAAACTAGTGCTACATGTATGTAGGCCTATCAATGAATCCAATCACTTGACAAGCAATCAGGTAGGCTTTGATCGTTCGTTTTAGCCTAATTCCTTTTAGGCTATACGATAGGCCTTCTGTAACAGAGTTGGATCAGCTGATATTCTAAATCTATTGTTTTTATTTTCAAAGACATTACAAATTATCAAATTAGACTATAATGCACTTGAGTACATTGAACCAGTGGTTAAACGTACCCCAATGACAGTGGTTCAATTCAATCTGCTACATCACAGTTTTATGATCAAAATTTTTTTAAAAAAAATTCAAAATGGATCAAGCTTTTGTTTATCTGGATTGAAGATTAGACATATGAATTGGTTGCAAGTACAAAAATTTCCTAGGCTAAGCAGTTAACATGTATTTATGGAAAATGATAAGTGAAAGTAGTGAATTTTCACTTTTAAGCACTCTTTTGAAAAAATTATTGCCTAAAAAATAATTGACAGCATGTTGTAACCGGACCTTTAAATAAATCAAAATTATTTCTTTCTTTCAGACAAGAAGGAAATAATCAAGTTTATAAAAGAAAACAAACAACTTTTCGGTGCGTTGAAGTGCCTTTCAGAAACCGAAGCTTATAAAAAAAAACACACGTGAAATTATTTGATGAAAGAAAGACATACAGACTGAAAGCGTCAAAAGCTCTTAAAAACCAGGTAGATAAAGAGCTGACAGCCCTCGCTATAATAGTTAAAAAAAAATAGATAGTGAAAAGTGAATGTCTTGAAAATTCAAGCAGATTTAGCTATTACATAATGCATCTTTAATATACATGTATGTGCTTTTATGGACACAATGTTTTAAATTGGACTAAATGTTAGGTGTTTAGCAGTCGAATAGCTTGATGCTTAGGCTAAGCATAGATAAACAATTTTATTGAGTCGATGATTTGGTACACAATAAAATCAATTTTAATTTAGCCAGATTGGTGAAACTTGTGTGTATAGTTTCACTACACCAAAACCTTGATTAACTTAATTAATAAGTGTCGGTTGAACACCAAAACCTTGATTAACTTAATATTATTATTATTATTATTATTATTGTTCGATTTATATAGCGCTTCATTACACGTGAAGTGTTTCTAAGCGCATATCACAAACATATACTTCAAACACGCAGAACAATCAAAATCAGGAGAACATAATTAAACGCAATTAAACACAGCTGCCTGTTAGGCGCTATTATTCAAAGGTTTATATCCAACAAATCAACCGGCTAATCTCTATATTGAACTCAGTCGAGGTATTACGTGTGGGTTGAACACCAAGCTCACTCTTGGCTTGTTTCTTCCACCTCTAAGAACGTGAAAATGATATTAGATTTAAGGGCATATAGCTCTATTCTTGGGAACTTTAGCATAGACGAAGGTGGTGGGTCTAAAAGCACATTTTACTGTATATTAAGTGATTTTTATTCAATGTTTGAAATTTTATTATAATTTTTTAATCAGTTATGTTTGGTAAATATGTGAACAGTTCAAACGTTGTTCCTTGTTAATCCATTCTACACGATTTTATTATAGTTAGTTTGCAATTTGTGAATCAGGCCTTTTTAAATACTTATTGGATATTAGGCATCCAGTTTTTCACAGTAAGCTATTGACTGAAATGGAACAGTATTAAATTTTAATTCGTGTTTGTAATTTTGAATAAGGGATGATACTGAGTTTGAGGTTTAGCGTTTAGCTATTTTAATATGAAACTTTTGTCAGAATTAAAACAGCTGTGTTTTTTTTCATTTTACTCTAAATTTCTCAAACATATATTAAGACTAAATGATTGATTTATAATAAGAACGTTTATTTTTGTTGTACATGTGTCATAGGTCATGTATTTGGATAGTTGGTATTAGTTTCAAATTCTTGAATAAATTTTATGTTTTAAAGTAATGTTGTTTGCAAAGATTATTGTTGCTGCAAACAAGATTTAGTTTACATCTAACAACTCTTGACAGTGCTACCGATTAGCGTAGACCTAACCAAACGCTCCTTCGAGTACCCCTTGATATAACTAATAAAGTAATCAACGTATATATTGTGTTTGACCCTACATCCTTCACTGTCCTTGTACCACGCCTTTCATTCCCCATATATGTGCCTCGCTTGACCCAGTAGTGCTCCCAACAATTAAACCCTCCGAGAATGCACATACCCCCCCCCCCCTCCACACCATAAGTCTAGCCTAGCAATGTTTCCTTACCAACATAAGTGTTCCCTAATATACAAATTGTCTTACCTAATGATCATGTCATAGACACCGGTATAAATAATGGCTATATATATTACTCAATGTTTAAGCCCGAGACGATTAAACAATTTAAAGGGCAATATTGGTGCCAGTCATTATCACATATGTGATGGAACTGGTTAAACACGTTCCAAATATTATTTTATCACATCGATCATTGCTACAATAGAGACGTAATCAATGCTTGAACAATCGGAAGTGACGAACGCAAAAGGAAAACACTAGTTATCCCTCTATATAACTGACTGAAGTGACGATTGATAACAGATACATGGGCGAATTTCTGCTCACTAATAATTCCTTCGAAAACCAAAAGTTGTCATATGAGACTGTAAGAGCATATCTGACAATTTAAAAAAGTAATTGAATGTCATTAGATAAGAGAACACCAGCGGCTGCCAGGCAGGTTACGCTCACATTTTCGAGAGATGGATAGAGAACAAGCTAAAAAGAAAGTGATTTTTCCTACAATCAAGGGCCATAATTCAGAAAATTACAATTCGATATGCGCAAATATCGAAAAGAACCGAAACCTTTGGGTTATAAACTTACATTTCAAGTTTCAACAAAATCGGATAAAAATTGTGACCTCTATAGGGTCCACAACCTTGATATACCATATTTTTTTTACGCTATTTGAGAACGAGGTGCGGTCATTTTGTCTGTCAGTTTTGGGCTGATTCTCACGAAATTCGAACTCAGCCGTCCTTATGGTGTAACGTGTTATATACTAATACGTTTTTTTTAAATCGGATAACAATTATGACCTCTATAGGCTCCACAAGCTAAAAACGCGATTTTTCGTACAATCAGGGGCCATAATTCAGGAAGTTACGGTCCGATATGCGCGAATATCGAAAGGAACTAAGATCTTTGGGTTATAAACTTACATTTCAAGTTTTAAACAAAATCGGATAAAAATTGTGACTTATAGGGTCCATAACCTTGATATACCATATTTTTACGCTACTTGAGAACGAAGGGCGGTCATTTTGTCTGTCAGTTTTGAGCTGATTTTGACGAAATTCGAATTCAGCCGTCCTTAGGGTGTAACGGTGATATAATAATACGTTTTTTTTTTAAATCGGATAAAAATTATGACCTCTATAGGGTCCACAAGCTAAAAACGCGATTTTTCGGACAATCAGGGGCCATAATTCAGGAAGTTACGGTCTGATATGCGCGAATATAGAAAAGAACCAAGATCTTAGGGTTATAAACTTACATTTCAAGTTTCAACAAAATCGGATAAAAACTGTGACCTCTATAGGGTCCACAACCATAATATACCATATTTTTACACTATTTGAGAACGAAGGGCGGCCATTTTGTCTGTCAGTTTTGGGCTGATATTCACGAAATTCGAACTCAGCCGTCCTTAGGGTGTAACGGTGATATAATAATACGTTTTTTTAAATCGGATAAAAATTATGACCTTTATAGGGTCCACAAGCTAAAACGCGATTGTTCGTTCAATCAGGGGCCATAATTCAGGCAGTTACGTTCCGATATGCGCGAATATCGAAAGGAACCGAGATCTTTGGGTTAAAAGTATACATTTCAAGTTTAAATCAAATCGGATAAAAATTGTGACCTCTACAGTGTTCACAATCTAGAAACGTGATTTTTCGTACAATCAGGGGCCATAATCCATGAAGCTACAGTCCGATACATGCCAATATCGAAAGGAACCGAGATATTAGGGTGATAAACCTATATTTCAAGTTTCATTGAAATCGGATACAAATTGTGACCTGTAGACTGTTCACAAACAATTGTGGAAGGACGGACGTCCGGGCGCAAGGATGGACGGACAGGGTCGACGACAATATACGCCCACATTTTCATGTGGGCGTATAACGAGAAATAGAAACAGTCCGTACATTCACGTGTGTTTATTCATTCTATACTTATATAAACATGGTATTGCACGGACTTTTTTTATTTTTCTTTCATGTTCTCTTACCTAGTGACAGTCAATTCTTTTTATGAATTGTCAGATATCCTTTCCCAGTCTCACACAACAACTTTTGATCTTCGAAGGAATTATTAGTGAGCAAAAATTCGCCCATGTACCTGTTATCACCTGTCACTTCAGTCAGTTATATAGAGGGATAACTCGTGTTTTCCTTTTGCGTTCGTCACTCCCGATTGTTGAAACATTGATTACACATCTATCGTAGCAATGATCTCTGTGATAAAATAATATTTGGATCGTCTTTAACCAGTTCTATCACATATGTGATAATGACTGGCACCAATATTGTCCTTTAAAATAAAGACATTATCTCGCACGTGCCATTCAATGTTGCATCTAGTATAAAGGTACGATTGCCAAGTTGCTCGTAAATTATGTGAAGTCACATCTGTGTTTTAAGTATAAATACTAGCCTGTCCAGTGGATATCCTGTCAGCCATAATGACTTGTCTGCCTAAAGGCTATATATATGCACTGGTCTGCCTAATGGCTATATATATGCACTGGTCTGCCTAATGGCTATATATATGCACTGGTCTGCCTAATGGCTATATATATGCACTGGTCTGCCTAATGGCTATATATATGCACTGGTCTGCCTAATGACTGTTTTATATTAACAAATATTAGGCAGACCACCAAAAATGTATATTTTTATTTTTGAGGATTTTTAAAAAAAAAAATTTCAGATATCAATTAGACAGATTTATTTCATCTTCAACAATTTAGTTTGTATTCTCAACAAATGAAATGAAATGAAATGGGGTTTAACGTCCTACTGTTCTGCTCCTATACTGGGCTAATGAAGACAGGCATACGCCATACAGTGTGCTATGAGGGAAATTTTGCCCGGGCAGCGGCACTATCGCCTACTCTTATATCAAATTCCAACTGCCAAGGGATCTTTTACGTGCATTCTAATGTATACATGGGACCTCGATTTTTCGTCTCATCCGAAGGACTAGACAGCTGTCCTTGTCAGGCCCTCCGTTCTGCACCACTGACAAGGGGAAACCACGTCGGAAAATCAGGATGAACTTTCTCGGCCAATGCAGGGATCGACACCCAACCTCCAGGCTAGTGAGCCAGCGTCTTAACCACTTAGCCACGTGATTCCCCACCTAGTTTTGCATTTTTCAAATTAGAATCTGATTAAAATACAAATCTATATTTCGTTTCGTTTTTTATACTTTCGATGGCCTACTCTTGTGAAGACAAGCGCTGATCTATATATAAATCAGTGAAGACAAGTAAAACGAAATTTTGAACTATAAAATACGAAACGAAATAGGATCTGTGTTTTAATCAGATTGTCTCAACAACAATATTATGTACCTATTCTGCTTGTTTATCTCAATATTTTCCCGTCTTCCAGTTTCTATGGTCAATTTGTAATTACCACATCTAATCTCACCAGAGCCACCTTAAAATGTGTTTAATACTGTTAAAAATACTTATCAGTACTCTTATATCGAATTCCAACTGCAAAGGGATCTTTTACGTGCACGCCAATATGTACACGGGACCTCGGTTTTTCGTACCACCCGAACGACTAGACTGCTGTCCTTGTCAGGCCCTCCGTCCTGCATCACTGACAAGGGGAACCACGCCTGAAAATCTGGATGAACTTTCTCTGCCAATGCAGGGATCGAACACCCGACCTCCAGGCTAGCGAGCCAGCGTCTTACCCACTTAGCCACGTGATCCCCCTATTCATTAGGTCGCTTTAGCCTAAATGAATAGAAACCCCTTAAAGACACTGTATATGTAGTAACAATATTAACCAAATAAAATGAAAAAAAAACCCGATTAAGTGGAGACTTCTGTGGTGAGGATCCTTCGCTGGAAGTTAACTCTAAATTAAAATCTGATTTCAATTTCGTTTCGTTCATTCTTTCTGATTTTAACACTACACAGTAGTAAAACAAAACAAACAAATAATTAAAACGAAACGTAATTGACCACCAGGTGACATGTGAGGATATACATTTTTGTGACTAAGTATCATGTATTTTGAGTGTTTTTTTAAATACTCTAATTACCACGGTTAATACTGTTTTTGTCAGACGCATTCTTAAGGATTCAATAACCCTGGGGTAAATATATGCTTTGGAGTTTTACCACGACATTAGTAAATTAATACGAAAGATTAACACACTAGTGAATTATTCAAACGACATCAACCGAATTAGTTAATTATACGAATGGAATTAACAACACTATAGATAATAATACAACAATATTAACCGCACTAGTTAATAATCAAAACGACATTAACCGAACTATATAATATAGTTAATAATTAAAACAATATTAACCGCACTAGTTAATAATCAAAATGATATTAACCGAAATATATAATACATATAAATATAGTTAATAATTAAAACAACATTGACCGAACTAGTTAATACTTAAAGCAACATTAGTTAATTACACACGCGTCATTAACTGCACAGTATTTTAATTCTAGATTTTAGTTTATGGCATTTGATACTGGTTAAATTAAACCCTGATCTATACCACGTCTCTTCATTTTTTATGAGCTTTAATAAAATCTGCGAAGAAGTCCATGATGAAATTACATTTAGGTCGTGCAGGTGCATGCTTATCCCAACATTTGGTTATCATGTTTGCCCATTCTGAAGGGGGTTTGGTCTTCAAAGTCAGCGATGGTCTGAGTCCTCGTTTTATACTCTCCTCAAAGCTTCCCATTATCATCACCTGGATATGGTCAGCTACATCCTGACCGTACCATAATTCCCACAGTATAATACCCAGACTATAAACATCAGCTTTGGTATCGTACGGAGTTTTCGTATCAACTAGAAGAATTTCAGGCGCCATGTACACTGGTGATCCAACCTGATTGGTCACACCAAGACCCACTTTAGCCAATCCTAGATCACTTAACTTCACCACTCGGTCTTCCGTTAGCTGGAATTAAAGGGGTGATAAATAAATGAAATGAAATGGGGTTTAACGTCCTACTGTTCTTCTCCTTACCTGGGCTAATGAAGACGGGCATACGCCATACATTGTGCTATGAGGGAAATTTTGCCCGGGCAGCGGCGCTACGGCCTACTCTTATATCGAATTCCAACTGCCAAGGGATCTTTTACGTGCACGCCAATGTGTACACGGGACCTCGGTTTTTCGTCCCACCCGAACGACTAGACAGGGTGATAAATAAACTGAAATGATGATTAAGTAAAGACAAACGTTACAAAACATTCTTTTTCCTGAACTCGAGACGAAAGCAAGCACATGTAGACGCCATCTCACTGTATAGTCAAATAGTCTGATCCGACTGGGCTAATGAAGCAATGGGAGCCCTAGGGCCTACTCTTGTTTCGAATTCCAACTGTCAGGGGCTCTTTTATGAGCAGGCCAATGTGTACACCTCGTAATTTTGTCCCATCCAAACGAATATACGTTGTCCCTTGCCCCCCCCCCCCCGCCCCCCCCCCCCCGCGCCCTGCACCACTGACAAGGGGGGAGTATATCGGAAAATCCCGATGAACTTTCTCGGCCAACACCGGGATCGAATACGGAACCTCCAGGTTAGCAAGCCAACGTTTTACTCACTGAGCCACCGGGGCTCCGGATACTCAAATAGAACAGCCAGTGACCCACAACTGGGTCAATGTCTGATATCATAGAGTCAAAGGCCGCTCGTACGACTCCTGACGCGACCTTCCAGTACAACCAGTCAGATCATCATGTAGTGTAGGTCATCGAAAGTATAAAAAAAACGAAACGAAATGTAGATCTGTATTTTAACCAGGCTGAAAGTCAGGGTAATCCATGTGACTTATCCACACCGCATAAATTTCGAAATCGTCTTTTCATATTTTTAGCCACACTTACCAAAATGTTTTCTGTTTTCAGATCCCGATGTACAACGCTCTTCTGGTGAAGATATCCCAAACCAGCACATATTTGATAAGCAAGATCCGCCATGTTCAACATGGCTGTCATCATTTGTGCTGGTACACTACCAGCCTTTGCCGGTAGTTTTTCAGCCTCTCTGTTGATAAGCTGTTGTAACGTCATAGTACAATATTCTAGAACCATAACAAATTTTATTTGTTGATCTTTAACGATTCTCGATGATCCGTAATACCGTATGATGTTTCTGTGTTTTAAATCCCTGGAATAGAAAGTGGGAGAAATCGGGTTTAATTAAATTTCGGGCAATCTGACTTTTCGGGAAGACGGGTAAAGTGAAAACAAAAATTAATGTTCTATGGTCAGTAATTTTTCAAATATTACCTTGGGACTAGTTCATACTCAAAACACACCTTTTTAAAGGAGGTAAATCGCTAATATTTGGGACCTAGAAATTGACACAAATGAGCCGCAACGCATATAATAATGTAATATGAATGTATATAAACTGATTTACATTCAAACGTTTCCGTTTTTAATGTAATTTATAATCAGTTATGTTCGGCGAAATACGCCAGAAGTCTCAATCGAATGGTAATCTCTAGCGTCTGGTTATTCCAGTCTACACCGATAGTATTTAATGCGCATGCTCTCCAGATAAGAATATGTGGTCACCGTTTGACATGACTTGTGGATTATGTCTATAGCCTCGTTCTTTGAGTCCCTTGTTACAAATGGCGTTGAAACGCATTATGGTACACGATTCGTGTACCAATGGTAAAATGTTTATTTTGTCTTAAATATTGGATATCAGAAGCCCATCTTTTCCCGGTAAGATCACACCATCAATGTTGATTTAAATTGACAAATAATTCGTGTTTAATGGGTAATACTCACCTAGAAAATTCATGCTCTAACAACACATCACTGACAGTCGATTCCTTTAAAGGATCTTTGCTTACTTTCAATGCCACATAGAAGTCTTCTCCAGGCATTTTCGCCTTGTAGACCTTAGCAAATGTCCCTTCTCCAAGTTCAGTCTTTTCAATATTGAACGAACGGAACGAGAAATCAGTCTTCATCAATTTTCTGGAATGGATAACAAGAAGACTGTTCGTAAATGAAATGGGGTTTAATGTGCCACTGTTCTGCACCAGTCTGTCTTATGAAGATGGCCAGACAGTGTGATATGAGGAAAATATTTCCGGGACTCTTCATCGACCATGACGAAATCTGCAGGTGGCCTTAATATTTAGACCTGACCGATACCGTGACATGCAGAAAAAATTGTACGGTAGACAATGATCTTAGATCAGTTCAAAAGAACTAAACCAAATGGGATTTAACGTCACGTCCACTAGTCACATACTAGGCTTTTTCGGGACTAACATATGGTTCAATTTCATTCCAATAATTCGCTTCTGCGTAGGTGCCTGTAGAAGTGGGAGGAAACCGGAGAACCCGGAGAAAACCCACGAAGCTCGACACGTACAAGCGAGGAGTCGAAAGCACGCCATTTGACTCAATGACAGACCTTGAGATCTAACGCACACGCGTTAAACCACTCGGCCACCCAAGCCCCCCCCCCCCCACCCAACATCAGTTCAAACACGGAGACAATTAAAAATGAAATGAAATGAAATGGGGTTTATCGTCCTACTGTTCTGCTCCTATACTGAGCTAATGAAGACGGGCACACACCATACAGTGTGCCAGAGGGAAATTTTGCCTGGGCAGCGGCACTATCGCCTATCGAATTCCAACTGCCAAGGTATCTTTTACGTGCATTCCAATGTATACACGGGACCTCGGTTTTTCGTCTCATCCGAAGGCCTAGACAGCTGTCCTTGTCAGGCCCTCCGTCCTGCAACACTGACAAATGGGAACCACGCTGGAAAATCTGGAGCCAGCGTCTTACCCACTTAGCCACGTGATCCCCAGGCAATTAAAAAGACTGGTTTGTAAAACTGTAAAAATAAAGGAATTCCACACTTACCGACAATAAAACATATCTAATCGTGATCGTAGATCAGAACAATTTGTGATCAGTTCTGGATACAGTTCAAATATTTTACTTTCGCTTTCCTGAACTTCTAGCGTTAAGGTTTTGATCAATTCGCGATCTGATTCTAGAAACTTTGGAATCAGCCCACTTATCTGAAACAGTTGTTTATATAGTTACAATGCGAGAAAATGAAACATAACATTATAAAAAACAGAAAACACTTGTACGAGAGTCTTGTATTACATCGAACAAATGGTATCTTTATCGAAAATTTATATTTAAGTGTCGTTGCAATTCGTTTGTTTTACTTAAAGACTCGATGCGTCATTTAGCGCTATATGAATCCATTGCAAACTACAACATTGTGAAAGTTCTAATAGGATTAATATCAACCCGTTCATTATTTACAAAGTTATGGATAAAAATGTTCTACATAAGCTCTTAACACAGAACACAGTTTATTTTCAATTTAATGTATTATACTTTGCTTGTTTAAAAACATGTTATGTTTTTCAACTCTACGTCTACTTGTTGTAAAATTTAGCCCACTGCCCTCAGCCCTTGATTATTAAGCCAAATAAACAATTGTTAACTTTAGGGTACCAAGGAAAGGGATACATGATGCACTTCCCCCAAGATATACATTAGGGTGTTTCACTTTTCACTTTTTTTGGAATTTCTAAGGTTTCTACCCGTCACCGAAGTCCACTCGGGGTCAAACTTACACCGTAATATTTTCAGAATTTTCTTGCCAAAAATGGCAATTTCCAGGTTCAGTCATAGTTCTGCCAGATTAATAGTGTGGTGAATATACTCCATCGAAACTTCACCTTCAGTCATTACCTTCCGCCATTTTCAACCAAAGGTAGATCAGTGTCATTCTGAACATCATTTTGGCCCTGATAATGAATTTTATGAGTGCAAAATTTATTATCAGGGCCAAAATGATGTTCAGAATGACATAGTCTTTGAAAAATGCTTTTCCATGTCACGAAAATAGAAACACCCTAATATACATGTATGTGAATACTAATGATAATTTATTTTAACAAATAAAGGTAAAATAACTAATTTAATCCTTTCCGTCATCTGCAATGGAACGAAATTTCAATCAGAAATCCTAACAAAATGCTTTAGTAAGATTGAAGGTTTTGTTTCCTTTCGAAGGATAAAAATTGTATCCATCTGTTTAGTATCCATTAAATTTTGAGTTATGTGGAGGCATCGTAATCTTTTCATTGTTTTACTCCGACACCGAGCCCACTCCCATCCATACTCCTCGCAGTGTTTCGTTTTATTAGACCTAATCCCACTCAAACACTGCTGTAATAAAAGCAAATTTCTGTTCCAAATTATGACTGGTCAATAATCCGATTAACAACCAATACCTAACTGCGTAACAATATCATTCGCGTTTAAACAGAGCTCCATATATGTTTACATAAAGTTACATCATGACTCACGAAATTTATTACGCCCAATTAACAAGTGCATAGCAGAATATTGCAAAAAAACTAATTGCGTGACAAACCAGGCTACCAAAACGACTACAATGTAAACAATACTGCTTGGAGACGAACATTACTTTCGCCGTTTTTAATACCTTAAATCACTGTCCAAAGTTTTAGAGAAGAACCCAGATTAAAGGGACAATAACACTCTTGCTGGCTTGAAAGCTCCAGAAAATAAATAATATCTCTATCTAACTACTAGATGTTTAAGTGTCCTACCTGTTGTGTAAATTATCCATTACATCCTATTTTACTTGTCCAGAGGGTTCGAAAATATTTTTAAATCGAAGTTTCATTTGAAAAGGTTTACGTTAGATGTTTCAAACCATTATGTTGAATTTTTCAAATTTTTTAAATAAGGTGTGTTAAGATGAAATTTGTATCATCAATTAATTGAAATATTCTAAAATAGTACAATTTGTTGACCAGAATAAAGATTGGGACATATTATTCAGTTACAACAAGAGTGGTATTGAACCTTTAAACGAAGGGCTGTCATGTTGCTGTACTTAGGAGAATCTGGTTAAAACACAGATCCTATTTCGTTTCGTTTTTATAGTTCAAAATTTCGTTTTACTTGTCTTTACTACACTTGGATCTAGAAGAGTTGTTATTTAACTCGTGTTCTGAATGGTGTCAGGGATAAGCCAATGAAACGGTCTGTCACGGCGAGCTTTAGGCGTGTTTTGCACGGAACTGTGGGTAATCCACTAGTAACATCAATGCTGATTGGTTAATCAAATGTCTGACATCATAGGGCCATAAGTCGGTCTTTTGACCCCTGACGTGACCTATCTCTATAACTTGTCAGATCTTCATGTAAGTGAAGGCCATCGAAAGTATAAAAAAAACGAAACGAAATATAGATCTGTATTTTAATCAGATTGTACTTAGGAGTGCTTTAATTGAACGGGAAGGATAGACACACCCTCTCAAAAGCTCCCATCCCGAAATTCTAATTAGTACATCACTAAATTAACATAGACCTACCTCGTCTATTTCTTTAAAGAACCTAGTAAAGTATTTTTTCAGAGATTCGGTAAGTGTTGATTTATTGAGTTCATGTAGAAAATGTAGAGTGGCTTGTCTCATTATTTCACCCGGTTTACTACTAGTACTATAGTCTTTAAATAATTTCTTCACCTGTAATTATACATTCATTTAATCAGGAAAACTACACAACAATTATACATTTTGTCAATGCAGTGGCATACATGTATGGGTGGGGATAGCGGATTGAAAGGGGTGTGGGTGGACATTGGGTCGTCCACCATAATCAACTAACTTTATGTCGTGGTATTGATTCCACGCCGCCTATCTCCGTATTTATGGACTTTGCATTCGGTACTATAGTTTATTACATGGATAGTTGATAATTAGGCGAAATCTACGTTCTGGACTAACACTTGTAATTGCCTCCCCTGAATTCATGACGAATATATCTTTCTCCAGCCCCCACCCTCCCCCGCATTTCTCTGTAATTTTTGTATACTTTATCTTCTATAACCGAAGAAGAGTGTGTCGATTTACATTTTCTTCCATGTTTTAGTGAATACTCATAATTTTGATTGCTGAAGGGTTAGGAGGTAAAGAAGCATGGATTTGGGAGAGCGAGAGAGAGAGAGAGAGAGAGAGAGAGAGAGAGAGAGATGGGGTTTAACGTCCACTCGACACAAACTAGGTCATTTCGGGACTATCATACGGTTCAATTTTAGTTCAATAATTCGCTTGCGCGTAGGGGTCTTTAGCAGTGGGAGGAAACCGAAGGACCCAGAGAAAACCCATGAGGTTGGAGAGGCGACCATACTCCTTGTCGCGTACATCCGGGGAATTGAAACCACACCAGTTGACTCAATGACAGACCTTATGATACAGCGCGCATGTGCTAAGCATCCCCCCCCTGTACAGACAGACAAACAGACGACAGTCACAAATATTAGTATAGACAGATGTCGAGTAATGTCATGGATCTAACATTTAAGTCAATGTGGTGGGGTTTAGTGATCTTGTTGTGAGACCCTCTTGCTGAAATTGATTGTCTCCCCTTTCAAATGGAAGCCATACCTGTGCGTCTTTAATATTCAATGAAGTTGCTTCACCGACGGCAATTCCGAGACTTGAAACCCCATAGTCTCTTTCTTTCTTTTGTGTTTTCCACACAGCTTTAACATTAGATCTAGATTTCATTGATTGGTGATATTCCGACATAGCTCTAGTTTCAGCACCCAGAAACGTTCCTTTAAATAAAACATAATTTAGTCAGGTACGTTGATATTTAATGAGCACACTGAAAAACCCGATTTGACACTTACTTGAGATTCAATGGGTTAGGTCACATGTAAAATTAAGGCGCGTTCAGAAATTAGATACATATTGTCTCGAGAATAGTGACTGCACCTGTCCATGTCATTATGACTTTCATTTCTCACATGATTAACATGCAACCTTAGCCAACTTCCTCATTCTTAAAGATGCAGTATGCAAGATTTAGATAAAGAGTAAGTCGTTCTTGTTATTGAAAATTTCATACAAATTGCTTTATTCTGAGCGACGGTACCTTTAACTTAACAAATCATCGTCTAAAATCCAAAGAAATGAACAACTTTACACTTTACCCAAATCAATGAGGTCTAGCCATTTTAATATTTTTGTATGAGATATCAAAACATACAGAAGAACGAGAAAAAGAAAACAAACCTTCTATCTCTTTAATTTGATCCTCGAACAGTTCGAATTCATTTTTAAACTTATCGAGTACACTTCTTTTAATCTGTCCCACAATATCGCGTCTAGCACACCAGTCATCTATTAATTGAGAGATTCTACTACTAATGACATTAGAAGCATTTCTTGTCACGGATTTCCAGTCCTTCTCTGGCTGTGGACAAGTTGACGGTCCCCACATTGATAGTTCGGGACTACATTGATCTAAAATTTAAATCATAAATTGTCTTTTATGCTAGGTTCCCATGGTAGTGTGATGAGTTACGATAGAATTATCCCTATTGAGTCCACGATCTGGGCCCTGTTTCTCGAAATCTCAACTAAAGATAAAATCCAAATTTTAGTAGATACTTCAATTTTGATTGGCTAAGCACTAAAATCAATCTAATATTATCCAATCAAATTACTAAAATTTGGATTTTATCTTACTTAAAATTTCGTGAAACAGGCCCCTGGTACGTGCAGATACGTTCGGATATGTTTCGATACGATCAGCACGACTGCTACGACTGACCTCAATGTATGATAAGACCTAATAGGATCATCACGATTACTCCACGATTAAAACCACGATTTTAATCGTAGCACGAATCGGATAGTGGGAACCTAGCATAAGGATTATACCAATGTCGAGCTCATTCAGAGATGATATATGCCAGTGCTTAGAAATAGTTGAAATTTGTCAACCGATTGTGACATCCTCAATGTCAACGTTTCAAGATCTTTCTTTTGTAAATATTAATGGACAACGTCATTGTTCACCGATTTTCCATATATAATTAAACTGGTTAATATAGTTATGACTTTCTATGATTGTTATGATTCGTAACAAAGATTTGGAGAACCCGGAAGTTGCGCAAATACAGACATTGTTGCCTACTGAAGTTGTGATTGGTAACAATCACACAAACGATTTTCAACTCGTGAAAACGAACAGTTCTCATATGAGACCGTGGGAATCAAAGCCTTTCGGCCACCTAACCCCTGGAGGCTACTTAATTACAGTTAAAGGACAATATTGGTGTCAGTCATTATCACATATGTGATAGAACTAGTTAAACATGTTCCAAATAAAATTTTAACACTGAGATCATTGCTACGATAGATGCGTTGTGGAGATTCAAGAAAGAGAACGCAAATGTAAAACACGAGTTATCCTTCTATATAACTGACTGAGGTAACGAGTGATAACAAATACACGGACGAATTTCTGCTCACTAATAATTCCTTCGAAGACCAATGGTTGTTATGTGAGGATGTGAGAGGATATCTGAAAATTCAAAAAAGTAATTGAATGTCACTAGATATGGGAAAACGAGAAAAATAGAAATAGTCCCTAAATTGGCCCATGTATCTATTATCACTCGTCAATTTAGTCAGTTATATAGAAGGATAACCCGCGTTTTCCTTTTGCGTTCGTCACGTCTCTTTCTTGAAATCTTCATGACGCACCTATTGCAGCAATGATCTTTGTGTTAAAATTATATTTGGAACGTGTTTAACTAGTTCTATCACATATGTGATAATATCTGACACCAATATTGTCCTTTAACGCGACACGAACTAGACTCAGTAATTATATATGTAGTTCTAAATATAGTTCACTTTGAGAGAGCACAGGCGATGCATAACGTAGACACAGATTAGCCCCTACATAGGAAATTAGATACACATTGTCCCGATAGTAGTACATAACATACTGACTGCACCTGTCAAGGGCATTATAACTTTTATTACTTAAAAGATGTCGCAACATTCACATTCTTAAAGATACATTATGTAAGAATTGGATAAAAAGCAGGTCGTTCTTAATTGCTATAATAGTTCCAAATAAAAAATGCAAAATTAATATATTGAAAATTTCATTCATATTACTTTATTCTGAGCGACGTTATCACATTTTGAAGTTTTGACTTAGATTCTTTATTATCACATCTCCATTTTAAAATTAAATCATTAAATGGCGATCGTGTTTTAATCTCCTTACATCTGCACCATTCGATGTTCTAGCGACTTGATTATAGACTTGTCATGTGAATAAATGTCTAAATAATAATTCATGTATCATTTAAAGCCAAAATAAAGACCGGTAATAGACAGATTCAGCTCTTACATAATGTAACTTTAAAGTAGATTTACTATGTAGGTGGTGGGCCAATCATTCATGCTAACCAACGTAGATCAAATATCAAGGAAAAATGTGCCTTGTAATTCAAATCGTTTTGAACGATACCGAGCGGAGAGATTAAAATATTATCTCGGGGACTATGTCCCTCAGCGAATAGTTATCCTTAAAAATGTTCTTTGTACTTCAGGTCGGATTTGTAGGGCGTATACATATGGAAGACCAAACAGCTCTTTATTCAGTGTTCTTATTCCTTATTTCTTAATCCATAGTCCTTAATTCTTATTTCTTTGTTTAGAAAATAAAAAATTAGCCTACATTTACATTTCATCAGTGAAATACAACGAAAAACAAAACTGCAACAACAAATTTCTAAATACAAATCTCCAAATACAAGTCTTGCAAAACATTTCTCCAAAAACATACAAATGTTAATTTTAGTATACAGATGTCGAAATACGACAACAAATGAAGAAATAAAAATTAAGGACTATGAATTAGGGACTAAGAATTAAGAACACTGAATAAAAAGCTGTTTGGTCTTCCATATATACAGTGATTTATTTTATAGGTGGGTGGGGGGGGCAGTCATTAAAGGACGAGAGCATGATGATCGATGCCGAGCGGAGAGGGTAAAACATTATCGGGGACATTGTCCGCCGGCCAATCAAATATCATTGAAAAATGTCCCTTGTCCTTCAGACCAGTTTTGTATGCCGCTTTCGATTATAGAAGGGAGTAGTTCGGACGCCCCCCCCCCCCCCGTCACACCTAGTTTTGCAAAATGAAATGAAATGAAAAGAAATGGGGTTTAACGTCCTACTGTTCTGCTCCGAACTGGGCTAATGAAGAAGGGCATACGCCATACAGTGTGCTATGAGGTAAATTTTGCCCGGACAGCGGCACTACAGCCTACTCTTATATCGAATTCCAACTGTCAAGGGATCTTTTACGTGTTCGCCAATGTGTACACGGGACCTCGGTTTTTCGTCCCATCCGAACGACTGGACAACTGTCCTTGTCAGGCCCTCCGTCCTGCATCACTGACAAGGGGGAACCACACCGGAAAATCTGGATGAACTTTCTCGGCCAATGCAGGGATCAAACACCGACCTCCAGGCTAGTAGGCCAGCGTCTTACCCACTTAGCCACGTGATTCCCCACCTAGTTTTGCATTTTTCAAATTAGGGTGATAAAAACGTTAAGAATGCTCGTTAAGAAGTAGTTATATATACCAAGAACCCGCAGAACTTCATTAGCGACACTTTGTATGGAGTTCTTCATATCAGTTTTCATAATGGTGATTCGATCTTCTGCACGTCTCGCAAGAGCTGCCATTTGTGCTTTAATGTCACTTAATTCATTTTCTTTATCATTTATACTCTTTGCATCAATAACTCTTGACACTTTCAATGTGTATAGAGTTCTTTTGATAACTGAAGCCAGCCATCTAAAAAAAATAAAGAACAAAACGATCAGAATTCAATAAAAAGAAATGGGGTTTAACGTCCTATTTTTCTGCACCAACCGGGATAATAACGATGGGAATACGCTATGTAATGTGTGCGATGAGGGACATTTTGCCCCGGCAGCTACGTTTCCATCTACTCTTCATCGAATTTCAACTGTCAACGTGTACGCGTGACCTCGGGTTTTCGTCCCACTCGAACGACTAGAGACTGTTCCTTGCCAGTCGCCGCCAGTCCTACACCACATAACATTCTCGAGAAACACCAGGATAAAATATCGGTTCCCCTTCTTTTTGAGCTAGCGCCTTAAACACTGCGCCACCAAAATGATGAGACAACTGTACCCTTCACCTTACTGTGGCGTGCAAGTATTATGTTCTATATTTTAATTACAATTGTTAAAAAAAAATAACTGTAGTGTAGATTTCAAATATACAACAGGTATAGTCGACATTTTATTCATACATATCACATTTCGGGCATTATTCTAAAACTAAGAGAGGTGTTGAATGGTCAAATGGTTAGCACGTGCGAACTGTATCATAAAATCTGGCATTGAGTCATCTGGCGTGGTGTCTATTCCCCGGATGTACTTGACAAGGAGTAGGGTCGCCTGTCCAACCTCGTTGATTTTCTCTGGGTCTTCGGCTTTCCTCACACTGCTAAAGACCCCTACGCGCAAGCGGCCATCCAACCCCCCTATTGACGTTGTAGAGTGATAAACAATGGGCATTATTTAAGAATATTGCATGCATCGTTATAGCTTAAAGATATATTATGGGAGATAAAATAAAGAGCTGTCAGTTCTCACTATAATAGTTAAACACCAGATAATGTAAAGGCAATTTGCTGAAAATTTCAGTCAAATTGATCCACTATGAACCGAGAATTAAGCGACTGAAATTTCGGTCTAGACGCGATCATCATTTCTAAAGTCTGTACGATAAAAACATAGTCGCGATCATCCATTTCATAATTAAATTATGAATGGAAGTCGAGCAGCAAATGGGATCATAATCCAGTAAATATCGCAGGCTAGCGATGTCATCGAAAGTTGACTATGGTCTGGATAAGTTAATTAATGTCTAATTAATAATTAAGATAACATTTCCGGCCTAAAGAGAGACCTGCAATAAGCAGATTTAGCTCTTGCATAATGTATGTTTAAACTGTTACAATTCCTAAATTACTATACATATTCAAGTTGAATAATTCAACAATTAAGATGATTACTAGCAGATTAAAGAGGACAGATTGCTACAACTTGCATAGACATATTGTCGCTTAATGACGTGTAAATAGTTGACAGTAAAACTTTTAAGGCTGAAATCCTTATACCAAGTCCTTCTCTGAGTCCGGTAACAAAATGTAATAGATACGGACATAAACATGATACGCTTGTGTGTCTTGTGTGGAATTTGATACACCATAAAACAAATTTCCTTTAAATACGTTCACAATTATCTTAAATGACGACGTGTAATTAATTGACAGTAAAACTTCTATGCTTGAATCCTTGTATCAAGCCCTTATCTGGGTCCGTAAAGAGAATATAAAAGAAACGGACGTAAACATGATACGTTTGTGAGTCTTGTGTGTGAAATTTGATACACTCGAAAACAAATTTAATCTGATTCCATTCATAGTTTACTTAGAAATAGTCAATAGAACGATTTTATTAATATCTTAAAGTACTCAATCTGATTAAAACACGGATCCTATTTCGTTTCGTTTTTTTGTATAGTTTACTTGTCTTCACAACACTAGGATCTGAACGAGTTGTTATATTACCCGCGTTCTGCGTGATGTGAGAAATTAGTCTGTTACGGCGAGTTCTTGGCGTGTTGTCCACGGAGCAGTGGGTAAACAGAATGATTGATTAATCAATGTCTGACGCATTGTATGACCCCCTGACGCGACCTCCCACTAAAACTAGTCAGATCTTCTTGTAGTAGAGGCCATCGAAGAATATAAAAACCGAAACGAAATATAGATCTGTATTTTAATCAGATTGTAAAGTACTTTAAATCTTTCGCTATAAATCAACGTGAGAAATCACTATAAATCAACGGACATAGGAGAATTCGCTATAAATTAAATGACACGGGGGAATTCACTATAAATCCATAGACCCGGGAGAATTCACTATAAACTAACTGGGATAAGATAATTCGCTATAAACTAACAGACATGGGAGAATTCGCTATCAAGAAACAGACATAGGAGAATTCACTATAAATCCATAGACACGGGAGAATTCACTATAAACTAACTGGCATAGGATAATTCGCTATAAACTAACAGACATGGGAGAAATCGCAATCAAAGAAAAAGACATAGGAGAATTCAGTATACATCAACAGACATGGGAGAATTCACTATAAATTAACTATAAATACATAGACACGGGAGAATTCACAATAAACTAGCAGACATAGGATAATTCACTATAATTCATTATACATCAACAGACCTAGGATAAATCGCTATCAATTAACAGACCTATGAGAACTAACTATAAATTAACAGACATATGAGAACTATATAAATTAACAAAAATAGGATAATTAGGAGATAACCACTTCCTGTTTAGTATTTAGAGGGGGTTATTGTCCATTTAACCATGCTTGAATCATTAGAACATTTAGAGATTTTCTTCGGAAATATTTAGGAAACATTTCTACACTCATTTTAACAAAATCGTTATTTGACCACGTGCTTGCGTTCATTTTTCAAAATATTTTCAATAGATTTAGGCCGTCCTTGCTGTCCTGCAATTTTAAAATGCTTGATTTTCGAGTCGCTGGTAAATGAATTATGAAAGAAAATGTTATTCGGATATCGACAAAAAAAAAATATTTTTAAGGCTTGAAGATTTATTTAAAAAGAACAGGAAATTACTCTTATGTCTAGCCTTGGATTCTAGCGGTTGCTATGTAGGTATACTGTTCTGACGTGCTGTCAACACATGTCAATTTTGGCATAATGATTAGGCCTGCATTTCAGCTGCTATTTTCGATCATGCTAGTTAGACTTTGATTTAAAAAAAAAAATCACCTGATTAAGTAAACATTGGTGAGTGAAGCTAGCCTACCAAAAAAAGAAAAAAGAAAAAAAAAAAAAAATGTCCACACTGTGACTGCCTAGTTACGAATATATTTGGATACCTGAAAACGGTTTTATTTAATTCATGGCTGATTCTGTACTGTTTTTTTATGTATTTCAGAAATGTGTTTTCATAAAAGATGATGTTCGAAAATGGTGTGATAGTAATGTTTGCAGAATTTTCTGAAAATTTTAATTGTTAATAAGTCCATTAACCTCAAAAATGAAAACCAGCGGCTGCCAGGCAGAATACGCCCACATTTTGGAGAGATGGATAGAGAACAAGCTAAAAAGAAAGTGATTTTTCCTACAATCAAGGGCCATAATTCAGGAAATAACAATTCGATATGCGCAAATATCGAAAGGAACCGACATCTTTGGGTTATAAATTTACATTTCAAGTTTCAACAAAATCGGATAAAAATTGTGACCTCTATAGGGTCCACAACCTTGATATACCATATTTTTAAGCTATATGAGAACGAGGGGCGGCCATTTTGTCTGTCAGTTTTGGGCCGATTTTCACGAAATTCGAACTCAGCCGTTCTTAGGCTTTAACGGTGATATAATAATACGGCTTTTTAAATCGGATGAAAATTATGACCTCTATTGGGTCCACAAGCTAAAAACGCGATTTTTCGTACAATCAGGGGGCATAATTCAGGAAGTTATGGTCCGATATGCGCGAATATCGAAAGGAACCAAGATCTTTGGGTTATAAACTTACATTTCAAGATTCAACAAAATCGGATAAAGATTGTGACCTCTATAGGGTCCACAAGCCAAAAACGTGATTTTTCGTACAAACAGGGGCCATAATCCTTGAAGTTTCGATCCGATACATGCCAATATCGAAAGCAGCCGAGATCTTTTGGAGATACACCTATATTTCAAGTTTCGTTAAAATCGGATAAGAATTGTGACCTGTAGAGTGTCCACAAACAAATTGTGGACGGACGGACGGACGGACGGACGGACGGACAAACAGACGTCCGGACGCTGGGACGGACAGGGGCGACGGCATAATACGTCCACATGAAAATGTGGGCGTATAAAAATGTACACTGTAATATATATACGCAGTAATTCTCCTTGACAATAAATTAGATGGGGTTTATTGTCCAATGTAGCATAAATTAGAAATTTCCTCGATTCTGATTGGTCCTGTTTTGTATTTTAGGGGGGTTAATTGTTCACTTAACCATACTTGAATAATTAGACAGCTTCGAGTTGTTCTAATGGATAATTCAAGCATGGTTAAATGGACAATAAACCTCCGATCAATACGAAACAGGAATGTTGGTATATATATTGTAGCTCAAATTTTTAGGGATTTTCCCCGGAACTGTTTAGGAAACATTTTTACACTCATTTTAAAAAGTCGTTATTTGGCCACGTGCTTGCGTTCATTTTCTCAATAGATTTAGGCCGTCCTCGCTTTCCTGCAAATTTAAATGCTTGGAATCTCGATCGTCGCTGGTAAATGAATTATGGAAGAAAATGTTATTCGGATATCGCCAAAAAATGTTTTAAACGTGTGGAGATTTAAAAAAACCCCAAAAAAAACCCCAAAAAACAAAAAAATTAGTCTTATTACGGTGTTTTGAGCCATCAGTGTCAGCCTTGATTGAAATAGTTCCGACCTATAAAAATGTGTGATGTCTAGGATTCTAGAGGTTGCTATGTATACTGTTCTGACGTGTTGTCAACAAATGTCAATTTTGGCATAGAATCCCTGTTTATTAGACCTATTTCAGCTAGGGCCTACTATTTTCGACTCTCTCGTTATATTTTCAAGCGATTTCTTGTGACTAATGACTTATTATTAGGCAGATCATGCTAGTCCGAATTTGATCAAAGTGTGATTTAAAAAATCTACCTGATTAAGCCATAAACATTGGTGAGTGGAACTAGCCTACCGAAAACGAAAACGAATGATTTAGGATGCCTGAAAATGGTTTAAATTAATTTATGACTCATTTTCTACTGTTTTATGTATTTCGGGAATGTGTTTTCATAAAAGATGGCGTTTGAAAATGGTGTGATAGTCATGTGTGCAGAATGTCTTGAAGATATTTGTCAATAAAGATTTGAGTTGAGGAAGATAATTAAGCACAAAAATGAAAAAAAAACTCCAACAAAACAAGTTCACTGTTATATTTATACATAGTAATTAGCCTTGATAATTTAGAGAGGGTTTATTGTCCATTCGACCACACTTTCCGACCAATCAGAATCGAGGATATTTTTGATTTGTGCTACAATTCGCTATAAACTAAAAGACACGGGAGAATTCACTATAAACTAACAGACATACCATAATTCGCTACAAGCTAACATACATGGAAGAATTCGCTATAAATTAACAGACATAGGAGAATTCGATATAAATTAACAGACACAGGAGAATTCACTATAAATTACCGACATAGGAGAATTCACTATAAATTAACAGACACAGGAGAATTCACTATAAATTAACAGACATAGGAGAATTCACTATAAATTAACGCACATATGAAAACTCACTATAAATTGACAGTCATGTGAGAATTCACTATACATTAACAGACACAGGAGAATTCACTATAAATTAACAGACATGTGAGAATTCACTATACATTAACAGACATATGAGAATTCACTATAAATTAACAGACATAGGAGAATTCACTATAAATTAACAGACATAGAAGAAGCCAATCAAACAATTAACACAGAAGACACGCCTATATAACAGTTCCTCTTTAATGAAATATGATATAATACCTATAATGTGCTGCTAGTTGAGAATGGAATATTTTAGGTAGAACATCTCGTACACCTGTAACTAAAGCCGTGTGTTCTTTCAACATACCACGATTATATTCAGCTGTTTTAATAGCCTGAAAAATAAATTCATTTATAACTGAATGAAATAAAAAAATCATGCTTGTATTTATGCTGAAAATTCTATGTTCAGTTAAAATCACTGACTGACTTTTATTTGCATTTTCTGATTGTGACCGCTTAGTCCATGCTACAATATACTCAAACTGGTTATTTAACGTTTAGTTAAAGGGACAATAACACTCTTGCTGGCTTGACAGCTCCAGAAAATAAAAAAATAGCCTTATTCTAAGTACTAGATGTGTTAGTGTCCTACCTGTTGTGTAAATTATCCATTAAATCATATTTTACTTGTTCAGAGGGTTCAAAAATATTTTTAAATCCAAGTCACATTTGAAAAGCTTTACGTCAGGCTTTTCAAATCATTTAGTTGAACTTTTCCAATTTTTTAAATTAAGTGTGTTAAGATGAAATTTGTATCATCAATTAATTGGAATATTGTAAAATAGTACAATTTGTTGACCAGAATAAAGATTGGGACATATTATTCAGTTACAACAAGAGTGGTATTGAGCCTTTAAGAAACAAATATTATATCATCTATAATAATTCAACACTATTTTAAAGAAGAATTTTGCGATTAAACAAAACATGCAATCTGCGCATGTTCGAGTCTCGTAATGGCTTATCAGTTCAAACGTCTTTTGTGTATGTTTTTTAATTGCATAATTCTACTTGAAAATAGTGTCTAATTATTGTAAATTTGTGTCAGATGTGGCGAGAAATGATTCCCTTTGGTGAAAAATAAAAAATCCGAAAGGAACTACTACCGACAATTCAATCGGATTAACAATTATATGATTTGATCATATCTTTGTTAAAGTTTTCAAGGGATTCCATATCGATCAGAGACTTTAAACCATTGTAGATTTCGAGACGGGTGTTAAAGGAGGTACACTGTTAGTGGTTCTTAAACATGTATGTTCTTGTGTGGCCATGAATATGATTGTTCGTAATTTAAACTTGTTTTGCTCTCTTGCACAATTACGTAAGTACGAAAGTCCACCAGACCCAACATGATTTAAAATAGATGGCATATCATGTACTGAGTTACACAAATCAAGATATTGACATGTACAAGTCAAAATATTTACATGTACAAGTCAACATAATCAGATAAGTCAGTATACTGAGATGTATAATTCAAAGTCAGTATATTGGGATGCACAAGTCAGTATATTGAGTCAGTATATTGAGATGTACAAGTCAAAATATTGAGATGTACAAGTCAAAATATTGAGATGTCAAAATATTGAGATGTACAAGTCAAAATATTGAGATGTACAAGTCAAAATATTGAGATGTACAAATTGAAATAATCAGATGTACAAGTCAGTATATTGAGATAGATATTTAACTTGAGAACGTAAACTTGAACAGCTTGCTTAAACAAGAACTTAGTTAAGGAAAACCCCACTGAGGGTGGGCATATCGTTGGTCAAAGCAGTTACAAAATGAAATGTGTAGAGAGGGGTCTGATGGCGATAAAGGATATAAATAAAATGTCTCCTTCGCCAACAAGACTAGAATGTCACGGCTCCTCGCCCCCCCCACCCCCCTCCAATAAAATGTCTCCTTCACCAACAAGACTAGAATGTCACGGCTCCTCGCCCCCCCCACCCTTCCAATTTCCAAAGACCGTTCTAGTAGCAAGACTTAAATAAAATGTCTCCTTCGCCAAAATGTCACAGCTCCTCGCCTCCCTCCCCCCTTCAGTTTCAATATCAACATCTAAATGAAATGTCTCCTTCGCCAACAAGACTGGCATGCCACAGCTCCTCGTCACTCCTCAAATTTTTAATGACCGTTCTAATAGAACGATTTTATTTACCTCTCTAGAAGATATAGGATATAGTTGATCACTCTCCACGCCTGGGTAACACATCTTTAACTTTGCTATCGTAGCTTCCATAACTTCCGCTACGTCAGACTGTTTGATTAAATCCTGTTTGTTACAGACGAATAAGGCTGCGGATGGGTCAAAATCCTCATCTCCACGTTCTTGGGCCGCCCTCAACAATCTACCCAACTGAAAAATGTTACAAAAGAAAAAAAATATAAATTCTTGAAAGTATATTGTGAACGCAATACAACACCGTGTTCTTCGTCGTATTTAATGCTTTCTCAAAACAGGATGATACTGTTTATTGGTTTATTAGAGCAAGCACAGTCTACAGTAGTTGCTTGTATTTTATAACAGGATATGAACGAATCGACAAACAATGGAACCAACGAAGAGAAACCATTGAACTGACCAGACGATGTTGAACTTTATTGAGTTTAAAATGTCCGATGAATAAATTGGCCCGAGTCTCCCCCCCCCCCTCCCCACTACACACGTCTTGTATCAGTTCCCTGACTCGATAGAAAAACAACTTTCTATTTCAATGCTGTAGATTGATTGTGCAGCCCTATAAAAAGTGTCGACCTGGGTCGTCACAATTCCTGTAACCCCAAAGTTCCTAAAAAGGAAATTGATCATTACTTTCTTTTAATAGATTGTAATCCTAAATGTTTTAAACTATAATCCCACACTGATCAGCGGTGAATATTCGTTAGGCTGCTGCAGTCACTGATAAGGATGACATCGATGCGAATTAATGAGTCACAAATATTAATTTTTTCTTCCGTCAAATTAAATTCTAAAACATTTTTTTATGTATTAGAAAAATAAATAAATTGCTATAATCTATGATAGATAATGGCTACGTAGGTGATGCCCCGTGTATCTACTTACCCTGTCTCTGTGAACACCACCGGCTGCAGCACTATTAATAACATATATAAAACCAAATGTTTTCCCCATGTAGGTTTGTAAGCTTTTAGATAAATTGAGATTATCACCAATGCCAGGAGTATCAACAAATACAATATTATCCTAGAAATATTAAATATTATCATTTATAATAGCGATATCATCCTACAAACAATAAAAATTACGATATTATCCTGCAAATTATCATATATTATTCTACAAATATCACATATTGCCATTTCTAATATCAACATATCAAATATTACCACTTACAATATCAACATTACCAAAGTGGGAGTCACGGTTGCACAGTGAGAAAGACGTTGACTTGCTAAACTGGAGGTACTGACCGAGAACGTTTATCGGGATTGGCCGACGTGCCCCCCCCCCCCTCCCCTTGGCAGTGGTGCAAGACGTTGGGTCTGACAGGGGTAAACTTATAATCGTTCGGAAGGGAAAAAAAAATAAACAGTTGGAGTAGGCCGTAGTGTCGCTGTGCGGGCAAAATGTCCCTCATAGCACACTATATGACCTAAGCCCGTCTTAATTAGCCCAGTCGATGCAGAGACGTAGGACGTTAAACCCCATTTCATTTCATTTCATTTGGTTGGTACGACAAAGTATCTGTATTATAACTATATCTTTATTATAACTATTCTTGGGGTGGGTGGTCTAATGCGCGTGAAACCATAAGGTCTGTCATTGGGTAAGTGGCGTGGTTTCGATTCACCGCTTATACGTAGGGCCGCCAGTTCAACTCCGTGGGGTTTTGTCCGGGTACCCCGGTTTCCTCACACTCGCAAGCGAATTACTGAACTAAAATTGAGCCATATATTAGTCCCGAAGTGACGTAATTTGTATCGATTGGCGTTAACCCCGCCTACCCGACCACCTCTCTCTCTCTCACTCTCTCTCTCTCTCTCTCTCCTATACTTACCATGTTAAAAGGAAACGGCCAATAAATTTCAATCTTTTCATATTTACTTTCCTCCGTAGTTTGATCGACTAACTGTATATGACCGGCCAGATTTTCTAGAAAATGTTGTACACCCCCTCTTTCGTCGTAGTCCACAATCTGTCGTTGTTTTCGTCTTTCATTCTCTTTTATTCTATGGACGAGAACGTAGTAACGCCGGTCTGATTTCCTGAGTTCACATATATTAGCTGTACACTGTAGATCACTAGTAGGTAGAACATTGCTACCTAATAATAGATTGATTACACTACTTTTACCTGCCCCGGTCTCACCTGTGAGTAGAAGAAAAGAAAATCATTTTGTAGTAAGTTCAAAATTGTTCTGAAAGTCAGTACGCAGCAGATTCTATTTTGCTAAGTCCGTACAGCGCATTGGATGCTTAGTTGCTTACGGTTGGCATCAAGATCTATTCATTTGGTTTGATATTTGTTGCGTAGCTTGTCTTGTCCGCGGGTTTCTCTTATCGTGTTTGTTTGCGTGTAGTGGGGTTCTCCTGCAGTTACTAATATATAAAACCATCATTTGACCTAATGCCCCAAAACATTTCTGAAGGTCCATGCATGCGAGGTTCTATTATCCTAAGCCTTTCGGATTGGCACATACAGCCCATCGACGTAACTTCCAAAACAGCTAGGGGGGTTGGATGGCCGAATGGTTAGCACGTGCGCGCTGTATCATAAAGCCTGTCATTGAGTCAACTGGCGTGGTTTCGAATCCCCGGTTGTACGTGACAAGGAGTAGGGTCGCCTGTCCAACCTCGTGGGTTTTCTCCGGGTCCTCCGGTTTCCTCCCACTGCTAAAGACCCCCACGCGCAAGCGAATTATTGAAATAAAATTAAACCGTTTGTTAGTCTTGAAATGACCTAGTTTGTGTCGAGTGGATGTTAAACCCCATTGCTCTCTCTCTCTCTCTCTCTCTCTCTCTCCCCCCCCCCTGTCTCTTATCGTGATTATTTGTGTGTAGTGAGGTAAGCCTGCACAGTTACTAATATATTAAACCATCACTTGACCTAATGCCCAAAAACATTTCCGAAGGTCCATGCATGCGAAATTCTATTATCCTAAGCTTTTCGCTTTAGTACATAAAGCCACCTATCGAAGTAACTTCCAAAACAGTTCTAAGGTCCACGTACATGAGTTTCTATTAGGCTAAGCTTTTCGCTTTAGCACATAAATCCACCACTCGACATAGTAGACAGACTGCTTTCATACCTCATTCCTGTTCTTACTAGTATATTTCAAAACAAATCAAAGAGGGTTTGACTTCCTACTTTTTAAACCGACCGGGACGCTGAAGATAGGCATACGTCAAGCAATTTTGCCATTTTGCCTACTTTTCATCGGATTCAATAGCTATGACCTCTTGAATTACGTAGACGCTAACGAGTGAACGAACTATAAAACTCCCTAACACGACCTTTTCACGATAAGCTGACGTCTTAATTTCTTATCTTCAAAAAATAATTAATTCTGATTTAAACACAGATCCTATTTCGTTTCGTTTTTAATAGTTCCAAATTTCGTTTTACTTGTCTTCACTACACTAGGATCTGGAAGAGTTGTTATAGTACTGGCGTTTTGGGTGAAGTGAGGGATAAGCCAATGAAACGGTCTGTTACGGCGACTTCTTGGCGTGTCATGCACGGAACTGTGGGTAAACCACTAAAAACGTCAACGCTGATTGATTAATCAAAAGCCGCTCGCACGACCCCTAACACGACCGTATAGTACAACTTGTCAGATCTTCATGTAGTGTAGGCCATCGAAAGTTTAAAACTACGAAACGAAATATAGATCTGTATTTAAATCAGACTGTAAAGTACTTTAAATAAATAAATCAATATGAGAAATCAATATCGAAAGTATAAAAAAAACGAAACGAAATATAGATCTGTATTTTAATCAGATTGAAAATAATTGTTTATACCTGCTACTAAAATATAACAACTTGATATCTGTAGATCTCGTTCTCTTTGTTGAAAAACTGTCTCAAACTCTGGAAAAGTTCGTCTTAAATCATCCTGGAACTGACTGGACATGGATCTTAAGTAAGCATCACACTTTCTGAATAGCTGAGTCAACTTTTCCCGATTGGCTTCGTTCTCTTTCAGGGCGAGTTGCATGGGATCTCGGTCCTGTAGGAGAGACTGTGTAGATGGTGTCTATATATTTATTTGTTAGTGCTGGCGATGGGGAGGATGATGACGATGATGATATTATGGTGTTTATTTGTGTTAATGGGCGGTTACCTGTGCATTAGAAGCCTTAAGTATGATTTATCTATAAATATGAATTTTATTAGTGTATATCCCGTTTAAAGTAGCTAAGTCTCTAACTCAATATCATCCAATGTCTTCGACATTGAAAACGCAAATCATTTGTCAATTTAAATCCACATTGATGTTGTGATCTTACCGGGAAAAGATCGGCTTCTGATATCCAATATTTAAGACAAAATAAACATTTTACTATTGGTACACGAATGGTGTACCATAATGCGTTTCAGTGCCATTTGTAACAAGGGACTCGAAGAACGAGGCTAGACATATTCCAAACGGTGACGCCATATTCTTATCTGGAAAGCATGCACAACAAATACTATCGGTATAGACGGGAATAACCAGATGTTAGAGATTGCTATTCGATTGAGACTTCTAGCGTATTTCGCCGAACCTAATTGATTTGAAATCAGAGAAAAAACGGAAACGATTGGATGTTAATCAATTTATATACATTCATATTACATTATTATATGCGTTGCGACCCATTTGTGTCAATTTCTAGGTCCCAAATATTAGCGATTTAGCTCCTTTAATTAAGAATTCTTATTTGGATATACATCAGTAGTTTCAGTAGGTATTATTTAGAGATGGGTTAAAATCGCAGAGGTTAAATTGGTGCTTATAGTAGGTAGCTAGTTCGGATTAGAACCATGGTGAGGGTGAGGGTTAGGGGTGGGGTTGGGGGTTAACGTACACCTACACATTTAGTGACAGGTTAAAATCGGAGAGGTTAAATTGGTGCTTATAGTCGGTAGCTAGTTCGGGTTAGGGCTGGGGTAACGTGTACCAAAACATTTAGTGACATATTAAAACCCGAGAGGTTAAATTGGTGCTTATAATACACTGTAGTAGGTAGCTAGTTCGGTTTAGGGTTAGGTTAATGTGTACCAACACATTTATAGTAGGTGCATACATTAATAGTCTAAATAAATTGTAAGTGATGGGGGTAGGGAAATATATGCTATAATTTAAAGATAGATACATTATGGGAGATTTTAATAGAGAGTTGGCCATTCTTGCTATAACAGTTCAAAAATAGATGATGAAGGAAGAATATATTGAAAATTTCAGTCAAATTATCACTATTGTAATTTTTGACTAGAAATGGGAGTCAATTCTCTCTTCACCGTCTCCGAGAAAAGACAATCGTTTGATTGACAGGCGTTAACTCCACCTACATAATCTCGATTATCAAGTAACGTTTTCAATGGCTGTGGTTTAAGACGGGGTTGCCATTCAATTCGTATCACATTTATTTTTACTACAAATTAAAAATAAGACTTTTAATATATAGATATGGACCAAAACAATGAGGCATAATTATAGCCGACTTCTTGTTAGCCTGCGTGTACTCTTGTACTGTAACTGGTAGGCCTGCGTAACTCCCGAACAGTGATCCAATGGAGCTGCAATTCAACTGGGGTGATGTTAGCTGCGATGTTTACCAATTTCTATAATTGTTCTGTAAACGCAAGTGACAAAAGAGCGTAGCCTATAATATCGACATCCAAACTCTCATTTTAAGAACAACTAAACATAATATCAAGGCCGTATACATGTATATCGACCTTTAATACAAATTGACTGACATGCGGCCTCGCTCAACAGCGGTCTCGCTTCGTACAATCTATCATTTAGCCTCGATCTAAAATTATTTCCGGGAGTATGACGTCAACGTAACGGTTAATCCCCGCTTACGACGCCATTTAAAAATTTAATCAATCAACGAAATCCTATTTAAATCCATGCCGAATCCAAGCCATCCGTGGGTCTACAGAGTTGATTTTGTGCTTGTTGTTTAAATAAAGATCTAATTTATAATTTCTATGACATAATGTATGTTTAATTAATAGTCATAAAGATGTTTGTCATCTACAGTTATAAGTACTTTAATGTGGATTGCAAAAAAAAAAAACGATATACAAATAAAATAAATCTACTTTCAAGAAGTTCAACGGCTTTCATTTAGCTATTTAGTACATCTATAATCTTTGTAAAAATAATATTATGATATGATCTGTCAATTTAGGGTAATTTGGAGTAGAGTGATGTAGGCCATTGATTTTGTAAATTAATTGCCGCCATTAGAGGAAAACACTCCATTTGAACAATGCACCACAATCACTGTTTCACCTAGTGACGAGGCACACACAAGAAAGAAAGATATCACCACATCATTTAAAATGGGCTGCTTGAGTAGGTCACAAGACATTATGCCCTAGTTTTTTTTTTAAATTTTATTTTTTAACAATTTGGTTAGTTATATAAATGTCTGGGTAGGGATTTAACTCAATTATTTTCAACTTGGTAAACAATTAATTTGATGCTTGCTGAACAACACTTTGTTTAATTTGACCTTCATTGCTAACCTCTAAGCGAGCATTCAGTAGTTTGAGATTACGTTTAACCTGCATTGTGGATTAAATAAGAAAATAATCAGTTATAGAATTCAATTTCAATATTAACGTAGTCTTAGATTTGAGTGGCGGTTGGGCAGGGCCCGCCATTTACTTAAGTGTGCCACTTAATTGAATATGAGTCACTTCATATTTATAAACGTAGACTAATACACCGATTCTTTTTCTCATGTGACCACTTGAAGTGTGTTGAAACAGGCGTATTATATATATACCTGACAATGTTTAATCCACAAATTGCCAATGAATCATTATTATAAAAATACAAAAGAACCCGACTTATAGGCGGTTTAAAAGATAATACATCTATCGTTTTTTTTTTTTTTTAAAAAACCCCAACTAATAATTGACGAACACAGTGTCATTTTCCTAACGGGGTGTTAAAATACTGGGATGGGCTTAAGTTGACTAGCTCTTAACTAGCGTGTTATCATATAGTCTTGTAATTATCGTAGTATTTATATTGCTAACAATGCTTTTTTAAAATAATACTTTTATTTTTGCGTTGAAAAAAAAGCTATTTGCTAATGGCCGCCCGGAGCTGTGTTTAACTTAATTTGTCATGTACAGAGAACCTACGAACTGAACCCTTTTGCCTTCATTTTCATCCTCGATGGAAGCGGACGTTAAATCCTACGACCCAACGAACGAAAGAGAACTCACTTGTTTTGTTAAAGCGAGAATTTTTAAGAAAGTCAAAACATAATTATTTCTGTCTTTTGCTCAATAGGTTATGAAATCACTATTATACGATCATGGGCATTATTTCCCACCCTTAAAAATCTATGACACAGGAAATAACACAATTATCTCCCCTGTTTTGCTATTGACACCATGGGGCAGCCATTTTCTAACGTTGGAATTTGAAGTTAAAAATGATATTTTTGCCAATTTCTCAGCTGACAATGACGAATTATAGGATTAATAGGATTATTCTTTAACAAGGTAGGACTGTTTATGGATACCATCTATTTTAAGGCTTTATTTTAATACATTTTAAAAATATAACTTGAAAATTTGCAATTGCAACTTTAATCTCTGATTCAAATAATACAAAATAAAACGATACCCAACATTAACAGAAACATTCAGTTTTAAATTTATTTATACTCAGAGGGATCGGCAGGATTTTTGCTAGATTGAAAAATATTGCAACACCGTAGATGACAGTTCCGACTATTTCCCCCACCCCTTCGGATCCAAACCTATATGTGTAAAATACATCTTAACTGAAAATTGCCCGTCGAATTTTGAAAATTATTACATTATGATGATCATTTTAAAGGCCCACTATAGAGAGAGATAGAGAGACATGGGGTTTAACGTCCACTCGACACAAACTAGGTCATTTCGGGACTAACACATGGTTCAATTTTATTTCAATAATTCGCTTACGCGTAGGGGTCTTTAGCAGTGGGAGGAAACCGGAGGACCCGGAGAAAACCCACGAAGCTCACTATCGACTATATATAAACATTACTTGATTTGATAGGAATTACTACAGTTTGACATAGAATGAGATTTCTTACATTTTGATATAGAAAGAGAATTCTTACATTTTTATCCTTTTTGATATAGAATGAGAATTCTTACATTTTTGTCCATTTTAACATAGAATGAGAATTCTTACATTTTGATATAAAATGAGAATTCTTACATTTTTGTCCATTTTCATATACAGTAGAATGAGAATTCTCACATTTTTGTCCATTTTAATATAGAATTCTTACATTTTAATATAGAATTCTTACATTTTAATATAGAATGAGCATTCGTACATTTTTGTCCATTTTGATATAGAATGAGAATTCTTACATTTTTCGTCCATTTTCATATACAGTAGAATGAGAATTCTCACATTTTTGTCCATTTTAATATAGAATGATTCTTACATTTTAATATAGAATGAGAATTCTTACATTTTAATATAGAATGAGAATTCTTACATTTTTTTCCATTTTGATATAGAATGAGAATTCTTACATTTTTGTCAAATTTGATATGAAATGAGAATTTTCTTACATTTTTGTCCAATTTGATATAGAATGAGAATTCTTACATTTTAATATATAATGAGAATTCTTACATTTTAATATAGAATGAGAATTCTTACATTTTAATATAGAATGAGAATTCTTACATATTAATATAGAATGAGAATTCTTACATTTTTATCCACTTTGATATAGAATGAGAATTCTTACATTTTTGGAGTAGATTTCATGAGCCTTTTCTTTTGAGAAGTTTTCGATGATTTTGGCTTTGGCTTGATCTAAATCTCTAACACCAGTTGTGGTTATATGTAACTCTCTCATCACCTTCATCGCCTGTAACAAGTCTGGTATACGGCTAACATCATCAACTGTTTCAACCCTGATCGTTGTTGAACGACTAGACATTTTCAATCTGGTTTTCTTTCACAACCTGTTTAAAGTAGTAAAAAAGTTGGTTTAAACAATATATATTTTCAATGTTTACAATTGTATAAATCTGCCTGCGGATCGATCTTCCTGATTATGTCTACTTCACCTGTTAACACTGTTCATTACGTACATTTTTGTATACGGATAGTCCATTGGCCAATTACGCTATTTTACCGAGATTTCGTCTAATGGATTGGATGCAGCTATGGTGGGTGTGGTACCAGGCCGGGTAAGCTTACTCATCCGGACACCTGTTACCATTGTTGGTCGTGTATTTTCTAACGATGAACAGTGCATTTAATGATTACACTATTTTGCATATACCGTTTTTTTAGGACTTCGAATTTTGTCTAATAGTTTGGATTGTTCGTACTTGGTTTTATTTTATTCTGACTTAAAAACGTATATAAACTATTATTTAGATATTAATTCACATGACAAGCATATAATCAACTCTCTCCACCATCGGATGGCCGAGATTTAAATGGATTAGAACACTCGTGAGATTTAAAAGAAATAACAATAAAATGGATACTCGAGACTTAGTCTCGGTTGTCAAGTACTGTTGCTTCGATAATAAACGATCTACGCTACATCTTGAAACAGTCATTACTTCGTCCAGAATAAAGTAATTTGAATGAAATATATTCACTATTTCTTTTTGAAATGGCAAGAATGTTCAGGTCTTTATCTTAATCGTGCATAGACGAAATGTCGTCAACGAGTCAAAACAATATGGCGGGTGATACACTTTGTTTAAAATACTGTAATATATAGTGAAGCAGTAGTAAGAAGTTGTATTTTAATCACTTTAAGTGCCCTTGTTTCAGGCAGTCCAGCATCCAGACACGTTAATTTGTTTTTTCTTCACATTTTGCGTACTCAAACTACTTATATATATAGAGAGAAATGGGGTTTAACGTCCACTCGACACAAACTAGGTCAATTCGGGACTAACGTATGGTTCAATTCTATTTCCATAATTCGCTTTCGCGTAGGGGTCTTTAGCAGTGGGAGGAAACCGGAGGACCCGCAGAAAACTCACGAGGTTGGACAGGCGACCCTACTCCTTGTCACGTACAACCGGGGAATCGAAATCACGCCAGTTGACTCAATGACAGGCTATATGATACAGCGCGCACGTGCTAACCACCTCCCCCCCCCCCTAAAACTAATTATAAAATTTTGCCCTGTGTAATCAATGCAACTTTAAGTATGTTGTATAATATGTTCTCACGTGCCTTCGTGTAATTTGTACTCTTTTTGCAGCCATTCAACCATGCCACCCTCAGGTTCTTCCAGCTTTGTTTGATCTTCCATTGACAAGACCCACAATGATTATTATTTATATTTAGATTCCTACACAATTCGCATATCGAGAAATCAGTTTACCCCCATTACGAAAGTACACAAGGGCCACGAGACAACAATAAACATGTACTTCAATACACCTAGCACACTAAGAGATAACAGCAATGAACACACCCCGAGATCAATATAACTACCACACCAAGGGATAAATAATTAACATACGAAGAGATCAATGCACAAACTATATTTAAAACAACAGATCTAGACGCACATTAAAGCGGAGAAAGAGAGAGAAAGAGAGAGAAATGGGGTTTGACGTCCGCTCGACACAAACTAGGTCATTTCGGGACTAACACATGGTTCAATTTTTTATTTTAATAATTCGCTTGCGCCTAGGGGTCTTTAGCAGTGGGAGGAAACCGGAGGACCCGGAGGAAACCCAAGAGGTTGGACAGACGACCCTACTCCTTGTCACGTACAACCGGGGAATCGAAACCCCGCCAGTTGACTCAATGACAGACCGTATGATACAGGGCGCGCGTGCTAACCATTCGGCCATCCAACCCCCCACACATTAAAGGTGCATTAGCCAAGAGCTACATCTGCCTATTGCATGTCTTTCCTTAGGTCTTAAACATACATTATGCAAGAGCTAAATCTGTCTAGGCCTGAAATGTTATATAAACTATTAATTAGACATTAATTAACCTATCCAGACCATAATCAACTCTAGATGGCATCGCTAGCCGGTGATATTTAGTGGATTATGAGCCGATTTACTGCAAAACTTTCCTTCACGATTTAACGATTAAATGGATAATCGAGACTATGCTGTTTATCGTACTAATTTTAGTAATGATGATCGAGGCTATGCGGAAATTTCAATCGCTTAGTTGTCGGTTCATAGTGGATCAATTTGAATGAAATTTTCAGCAAATTGCCTTTACATTATCTAGTCTTTAACTATTATAGTGAGAACTGTCAACTCGTTATCGAATCTCCCATAATGTATCTTTAAATGTTATCAGACATTTATTAACTTGTCATGATCATAATCAACTCTAAACGCCATTGGATTCCGACGTGGTTTCCCCTTGTCAGTGGTGCAGAACGGAGGGCCTGACAAGGACAGCTGTCTAGTCCTTCGGATGAGACGAAAAACCGAGGTCCCGTGAATACATTGGAATGCACGTAAAAGATCCCTTGGCAGTTGGAATTCGATATAAGAGTAGGCAATAGTGCCGCTGTCCGGGCAAAATTTCCCTCATAGCACACTGTATGGCGTATGCCCGTCTTCATTAGTCCAGTATAGGAGCAGAACAGTAGGACGTTAAACTCCATTTCATTTCATTTCATTTCAAACGCCATTGGATGCTGTATATTTTTAACAAATTGAAATACGATTTGCGGTTAATGATTTAATTTAAAAAGGATAATCGAGACATTGTTTATTATCGTAATAACGGTATCAATGACTACACTGTTCTGCAATCGATGATTACTCGGCTCAGAATGAAATGTTTGTACTGACAGCTCTTTATCTAAATCTTACATATGCATGCTTAAAGTTAAAGAGCTGGCAGTTCTTACTATAATAGTTAAAAACTAGATAATGTAAAGGCAATTTGCTGTCAAATTGATCCAGTCTGTACGATAAAAACATAGTCTCGATCATCCATTTCATGATTAAATTATGAATGGAAGTCGAGCAGCAAATGGGATCATAATCCAATAAATATCGCAGGCTAGCGATGCCATCGGTAGTTAATTATGGTCTTGTCATGTTAATAAATGTCTAATTAATAATTTAGATAACATTTCAGGCCTAAGGAAAGACCTGCAATTGGCAGATTTAGCTCTTGCATAATGCATGTTTAAGGGATCGGAACATCGGCCACATAAAGAAATGACAACATCGACCACACCAAATTCAATTTCAGATGCAGCAAGAGACCAGTATAAAGGTCTCGCGAAAAGATCTAGCTGGCTGGTCACCCCTTCCTTACTATCGTGGTTTCTATCCTAGTGTGACACTTTGTGGTAGGGGTGTGGCTATCCTGGTCACGGACTCCAAATAAGAGGAGATAGGCTGTTACACTATAGGTAGAGTTACATTGCGACTATCCTTCGTCACGGCACTAAAAAGAAATTAGATGTGACACTTTCGTCCAGGCCTTTCTTTGACATCACTTTGTGGGATCAATTATTTCAATCATCAATTAACTGACTCTGGAAGACCGTTTATGTTGTTACTAAGTTTATATAACAAATACAGCAAACTGCAAAAGGTTAAATACAGGAAAACTACAACATATAGATACCTTATGAATTTTTAAAATACCCACGGTCCGAGTTTAACATCCTTTATAACTCTGACCTAACGGCTGAAACGTGGCAAGAGCTACATACGTCTTGATAGTTCTACATGATGGTCTTCCTAGGGTCTCTGAAATGATGTCTTCACCCTAGCCTCTAAGCCGAGGAGGTTATGATGTTCCCCTCTCGGACCGCTCTATGATGTTTGAGGGGAAATTAAACCAGCTATTTCTCATATAGAAAGTATAGATGCGTCAGCTATTAGGGCGGGACAATCAACATTATTCTATTGAATTGTACTAATCTGTGCACGAGATGCCCGAACGATAGTTACATAACTAAAATAACCCCTATAGTATTGCACTAGATGTAAGCGTGTGTAGCGGCACCTCCCACATGAATGATTCTCTACGTCTACGCGGAGTATAAAAAACAACTTTTCTGCGTTATCTCCACGGTGGAAGCAGATGTTAAACCCTACATACAACACCCCAACCTTAAATACTATTAATTAATTTGATAACATCTCTCAATTAAATAGGACCCAATGCAGATCTAAACTAAACAATGATCATGTAGGCGGTTTTGAGCGCGGGTGGACTGGAGTGGGGTGCGGGTATTTTATCTTTCACGTCATATCTGATCACCATCTTTGTCTTCAACTACATGAACACAGTCCTACATGTAGTTTCTATATATAACGTGTAACGTTTTTCTGCATTAACAGATTCCGCTTCAATGGTTTATTTTTTTATTTTTTTCTTAACGAAAAGAGAGATTAGTGTTTGATTTGGGATGGGTATAAGCAAAACGACCGACAATGGCTGGTAAATATGACATCAACACAAAGCGATCCTACCGACATACCCAAACTGGACACCATTAGTATATGATGAGTATGATCCTCACAGTATCAACCTATTGCATAAATTCCTTGGAATCGGGTATAGAATAAAATGGATTTTTAGCGGATATTAAATGTCCACCCTATATCAACAATTATTGTGCACAAATCCCAGACAGGGCTTACTTAAACTAATAATATTATTATCCTGTTAGCAGCCAGTCTTTGATTAGCGATCAAAATAATACACTTTAAATAGGGGTAATATAATTCTCTCTCAATGTCCTCAGCTCCAATTTGTTTTATTGGGAGAGAGAGAGAGAGAGAGAGAGCGAGAGAGAGAGAGATGGGTTTAACGTCCACTCGACACTAACTAGGTCATTTCGGGACTAACATATGGTCCAATTTTATTTCCATAATTCGCTTGCGCGTAGTGGTCTTTAGTAGTGGGAGGAAACCGGAGGACCCGGAGAAAACCCACGAGGTTGGACAGGCGACCCTACTCCTTGTCACGTACAACCGGGGAATCG